ATCATACCTTCAGGCCTGGTCGGCTGCCCTGTAAAGCTTGTCATTTCGAATTCCACAGGAGACAAATCATGAATTCCTTTCCCTAACTTCTTGAGAGTCTTCAATGGCATAACATTAAAGACTGCTCCATTATCCACAAAAACCTTTGTGATTGGTTTCCCGCAAATGTGAGCACTAACATACAGAGGTTTCAAATGGGAGATCGCACCCTCTGGAATAGGAGGAAACACTATCGAAGGTGTTTCCGACTGAGACTCGGGATCTGAAGCCTTTGCCCACTCTGTTTCCTCCAATTCGTCATCTGCCAAGAATGCCCATAAAGGTTCGTCCGTAGGATCATCTACCAGACTTGCCCACATTGGTTCATCTCTTATCTGATTAATCTCCGTCATTCGACAAGGGATTCGTGGCCCTAGACGAGATTTAACAGATCTCGAATTTTCCTCTGTAGTTACAACTTCTTCCTTTGTCTTATTCCGAGATTGAACCGTCAAAGATTCTATACGGAATTCTTCAGGAGATGGATTGATGTTGATCCGTTCACAATGTTGGCATCTAAAACCTCTAATTATTTCATCTGATATTCCTTTACCTTTCCCCTGTCCCGACGAACTTCCTTTAGTATACTCTGAAGCGTCTAATCCGTCGTTCGGTTGCTTTCTTGAACAGACCCGAATGGACTGATCCCCTGCCGAGTGGTCGGCTGCTTTTTGTTCGTCGGTTAGTTGTTTTGCTGAAGGAACTCGTTTCCCATACTTCGCAGCATACCTGCGTTTGGCATTGCGAATCTGTGTACGATTCATACCTGGGAAACGAGGATCTATATCAACTGGTAAAGGCTTTTTATTTCGAGCCCAATTGTTTCCGACTGACCCTGTTTTTCTGGTCGGGTGGTCACGCACCAAAACCTTTTCTTTCACCTCCACATTAAAAAAACCGTCTGGATGGTCCCACTTTTCAGCGACTGGCTTTTCACAAACTTTGAGTCTTTCTTCCGGTCGGCCACTGTTTGGCTGACTTCCTTTTTTTGTTCCGGGGCTTGCCTGAGTTCGTTCCCCTGTTTGTCCGCTATTGGCCGAATTTTTTCTTGTTTCCGAACTTGGTTGGATGTCAACCATTGCCGTTGTTACTTTCGGAAACGGTTGCTGGTCTACACCTAAAGTGATGTACTTGAGCCGACCTGTCTTGATGGCCTTTTGAATTTCCTTCCTGAAATGAGTACACTGACTTGTATTGTGTGTGAAAGAATTATGCCACTTACAATATGGTCTCCCTTTGATTTCTTCTTTAGTGGCTAATCTTTGCCCCTTTGGAATACGGATCTGGCCATCAGTCAACAGGATATCAAAGATTTCGTCAGCTTTCGAACTATCAAACGTCGGTTGATCCTTTCCTTCAGACCCTGGTACCGGCTTCAATTTGGAGCATACATAAGGTTTTCCAGAAAGGATTTCAGCTGCCATCTCTTCTGACTGATTAAAATCAAAGTCACATGTTTCTGTTCCCATACTCGCCATATGTTGGCCTCTATTACGCCTGTTATGCTGATCTTCCTCTCTGAACAAAGACTCTAAACGTCCTGCCTTAGATGCAAGACTTGCCAAATCCTCAACGTCTAAGGCAGTGAGTGCCTTTCTTAAGCGAGTATGCATATTCCGGACCACTAAATTGGTCATCTCTTTCTCACTGATTACCGTAGGACATCGCCCTTTCATCAATCGCACCCTTTCTATAAACTGTGAAGGAGATTCTTCTGGATACTGTCTCAATTCTAGTAAATCAGTTAAAGAAACAGTCGGTAAAGGATTGAAGAATCTGGCATGAAATGCCATCTCCAGTCCTTCCCACGTCTGAATTTGTCCATGAGGCAGACTTGCAAACCACGAAAACGCTGTTCTAGTAATAGATAAACCAAACAGTTGCAACTTATAAAACGGGTTATTACCAACTTCTCCCAATTGTGCTGTGAAACGACCAACATGTTCAATGGTGGAAGATCCGTCCTCCCCTGAGAATGCATGAAAATCGGGTGGTCGATAATTCCTTGGGAGGGAGTGTTCATTAATGATCCTTTCTGGGAAAGGTCTCTGATATGCAGGGCGGTTAGCCATCTGAGGAGTTAATCCATACTGATCCCTTAATATATGTGCAATCTCATCAGGATCTACATGAAAGCGTTGATGATCAGGAACATGGAAAGGATCCTGCACAGGAATATGAATATGATCATGTATATATCCTTCAGGCCTGTCCTCCCTTGTATTGTTCGGCTGCGGATTGGAAACCCTTGGTCCCAGTGGAACAGTGTTGGGAAAAGTCAGAGGAGATTTTCCCCTATCCATTCGGTTGGGATTTGTGGCACTTGGGAATGTACTATCCACGAATGATGGCCCTGCGAAATTTGCCTGTAGTCTGGATGGTGATACTCCTGGTGGAGTTTGAGTGGGTTGAAGACTAACCCTTGACAGTGCTTGATCTAACATGTTCTGTATCAGATTCTGTTGCTCACGCAACATGTTCGTTTGTTGCTCACGCAACATGTTCTGCATAACCAAAGTTTGCTGGTTGTTCATTTGTTGAACATAAGACAACCAATCATTTGGTGGTTGTGGGATTTCCCCGGCATTTGGCACAATAGGTGGTGGAACGGATTCTCCCGCCGGTGCCGAAGATGATTGAGGTTGTGAACCTGCCATATGGACCCTTCCGATGATACGGCCGGATCTAAGACGTATGAAATTATCGCCGGAATTGGAATGAGCAATTTTGTCTTGCTCCCACTGTGGTCGCCAATTTGTTGATGTATTTTTTCAACAAAAATAAAGTAAAATTCAAAGATATAGAAAATATCCTTAAACTTGATTAATTAGTGCCTGAGATTAGGAATCTCTAAACACTGTATGGTACAGAAAATAAACTGGAAAATAAAAGACTGAAATTTAAAGTGGTGATCCCCAAATCTGACTTTGCTTTGTTGAAGTTGATTGAAGATCCCTTGCGAAATGATGATCCAAATCCTTAAATATTCTTTGGGAAACTGTACTGAAAACCGTCGCCCGAACGGTTACAACATCTCCTTTCCAACCGTCTTCCAACCCTTCTCCTGCTGACACGTGTCCTCAGCGGACCAAAGTTGTCACTATATTTCACTCTTTGAGCCGACCACAGACCTTCCGCCCTTTTGGCCCGACTGCCACTCTACAACCGTATTGGTCCGACTGCCAATTGTCCCGACTTGCAAACCAATCTGACTTGTTTAGTTCAGCTACAGACCTCCCGACTAAAAGACCATCCGACTTGTTGGTCCCGCCGCAGAGTTCCGACCTGAAGACCTCCCGACCTGCGGACTTCCCGTCCTGATGACTTTCCGTCTTGATGACCTCCCGACCTGAGGACTTTCCGTCCTGATGACCTTCCATCTGGAGGACCTCCCGACCTGAGGACCTTCCGACCTGAGGTCTTTCTACCCTGAGGACTTTCCGTCTTGATGACCTCCCGACCTGAGGACCCCCCGACCTGTATTTTCCTTAGAAATAAACTCATTTTCCTTGAATTCCCCACAGTGTCCTTCAGCTAGTTCAATCAACTCTATTGCCAAGCCCATTTTCCTTTCACCTTGGGCTTTTTAACCTAATTCTAAATTTCATACGTAACAATCACATTATTTATTTTTATTTAATATATTATATTTAAATTTTTGTATATTTAAAACATAAAATTGTGTTTGCTTCTTTATTCTCTTTCTTGAATTCTCCCACAATTTATTAATACAAAGAAAAAAAAAATTCAATGACCACTGGATCCGGGCATTACATGTAAGATCAAAAAATAATAATAATATTGCCTTAGATTCAAGAACGCGTAGGCACAAGTGGATACTCATTTTGTTCAAAGTTAATTCATCTTCTGAGGGTGTGTTTGTTTGGGGTTTGGATTTTAAGTTGGGATTTGAATAGTAAAAATTTTAAATTTGAATAGTTGTATGATGTGATGTTTTGAATATAAAATTTATTGTTAATATAATATAAAAAATGAAAAATATGTGTTTGATTTGATATTTTTTGGAGAGAAAAATGAGATGAATAATGAAAATCTAATCCAATCCCCAAACAAACACACCCTAAGTGTCCCGGACCGAAAGGGTGGCCGAGGAACATCAAGGAGGATGCGGACGAACGACGAGGAGGGGTCTGCGGCGCACCAATGCAAAGAGACTAGCGGAGATCCTTCATGATATTTCAGAACCTTCCGGAATATTCCAGAACCTCCTGAATTATTCCTGAATATTTCTAGAACTTTCGAGATCGTCTTTCAACCAAATTGATAATTATCAACTAGATTTAGTTTATCCATATAATAAAGATATATAGTTTATTAAGATATAACATATCCAAGGGTAAATTTGATAAGATATAGCATATATATAATTTTCCGGGTACATCTTAGAGTTGCGTGGGACGCTCTAACGAGGAGAAACCATCCAACCCCTAACACAAAGAACAACATAATATACTTCGAAAAGTAAAGTGATATATAACATTCGCTGGATTTTGAAACACATTTTTAAATTTGTTTATATTACATATTTTTATTTATGTGATACTATTTATTATTTTAAAAGTAATCACATCAACTATATTTATTTAGTAAAATATTATATCAAACATTAATTTTTTACTATGTTTCAAATTTTAAAAATTTTCAAAAACTTGTTTTGAAACAAAGCCAATTCAATACTATTTGAATAATAATAGTAATATTGAAATCAAAGCCTCGTAGAAAGCAAGTGCAAAGTGAAGGCGAAAATGAAATTTGGAAAATTGAGCCGCGAAAATACTAATGAAATAAAATACTAATTATTATGGTATTTAAAGTCGTCTGCTCAAATTTCAACTGGGTTTGACATTTTCTGCACGAATACGACTACTGAATTCCATGTCCGTACCTTTCTTTATTAGTTATATCGTCTCCATTCGATTTTCTGCAAACAAGACTGTAATTTGATTTACAGAAATTTTGACATCATGTTGCAGGCCGATCAAGAGGAATACTCCTTCAGATTCAGCTACCCGCCGGAGGTTAACCCAGCCGACCACCCGCCGGCGACTGGCGACTCTACGTGGGATCAATCGCCGTCGTTCTGGGAGGAGCCGCCGTCGCCGATATCCAAGTCGCCGTGGTCGTCGCACGTGGCGCCGGAGTTGTGTCCCTACACAGGATTAATGGGAGCTCTTGTTCGAGAAGAAGGGCACGTCTATTCATTAGCCGCCGGCGCCGGAGGGCTGCTGTACACGGGCTCCGACAGCAAGAACATCAGGGTGTGGAAGAACCAGAAAGAATTCTCAGGGTTCAAATCCAATTCAGGTTTGGTGAAGGCGATCATCGTCGCCGGCGACCGGATTTTCACCGGCCACCAGGACGGTAAAATCAGGGTCTGGAAAGCGCCGGCGAGGGATTCCGGCGACCACAAGCGGGTCGGAACGATGCCGACATTGAAGGCCTCGATTAAATCCTCGTTCAATCCGAACAACTACATCGATGCCCGGAAGAATCGCAAGATCAAACACATCGACGCCATTTCTTCCCTGAGCTTGAGCGAAGACGAATCGTTGCTCTACTCAGCTTCGTGGGACAAAACCATCAAGATTTGGAGAATCTCAGATTCCAAATGCCTCGAATCAATCCAGGCCCACGACGACGCCGTTAATTCCGTCGTCGCCGGATTCGACGGCCTGGTCTTCTCCGGCTCCGCCGACGGCAATGTCAAGGTCTGGCGGCGAGAATTCCAGGGGAAGGGGACGAAGCATTTCTTCAACCAGACACTTTTAAAGCAAGACTGCGCCATAACCGCCCTGGCTGTAGACCCTTCTTCCTCATTCCTCTACTGTGGGTCGTCGGACGGATTAGTTCACTTCTACGAGCGCCATAAGTGTCTGTCGCACGCCGGCGTGTTGCGCGGCCACAGGCTCGCCGTGCTATGCCTGGCGACGTCGGAAAATTTAGTGTTCACAGGATCAGCCGATACAAACATTTGTGTATGGAGAAGGGAGGGGGCGAATCACTTTTTCTTGACAGTTCTGAGTGGCCACGACGGCCCTGTCAAGTGCCTGGCCGTCGGAGACGACGGCGGCGCACATTCCGGCGGCCTCGACAGGCACTGCACGGTGTACAGTGGCAGCCTGGACAAGTCGGTGAAGATATGGCGCGTCTCTGCGCAGACGGCGGCGATGTATTCCCGACCAGGGCCGCCGTTCCAGCGAGATCATCGGAATCACAGTGCAACTCATGGTGTTCCTTCGTCCCACAATAAGTTAAAATTAAAGCGAGTATGATAAATGTATAATTAATTTCTGAGAAACCCTAATAATCATGCAGAAGGAACGTCGTCGTTTTATGGTGTATTATGTATTTTTACGCTGTCAAACCCTAAATTTGGTAATACTTTTATTTCTTCACTAAATTGATGCTGAGTGAATCAGCAATGTAACAGTAGCTAAAGAAGACGAAGCAACAAGTGGATTGAGGGATCGATTAAAAAAGTAATAAATGTTTGGAAAATTTTCGTTCGCAGGTTCCAAGAATTGTCCAAAAATGAAGCAGCAGTGGAGTGCAGCCATTACCTGGTTCGACAGGTGGGCCAATCAGTTTTCTGTCCTGACCGCCATTGAAAGAAGTTATTCATCATCAATGTTTATAGCGATGTTGCGCTGAGCAATGTATCTCCATCGATGCCGTGCGATGAAGATATATGTAAAATTGGCTGGCATTGTATATGTGACTTTTTCATGCCCTGCTAGCCTACTTGTCCGATAAACATAGGGCCAGCAGATTTGCTCTCTATCCATACGTCACTTTGTTTGTCCATGTCTGAAATATTAGTTTGAGAAGAGATAACCTTTGACTAAACGTACAACATGACCGCAAGAAGTGCAAGAACACCATCCGCTTTATTCAATTCGATCGAACAACTAACTCAAGATCCCCAATGTGAAACGCAGAAATGACCACCTTCAGTTCACCTCAATCTAACCAAATGGTGATTTGCTTACATCACATCAGTTCTAGAATGGCGTCACTCCAACAGCTATCCGCTTTCCCATGTCAAAGTTGTATTTAAAAATACAATCTTGAATAAAATAAACCCGAATAAATGGAATGAAAACGAAAAAGATGCCAAGCTCCAAAACTGTGCCCACCACCATTTCTCCCACTTTCCCTTTCCCAAAAACCTTTTTTGCTCCACCCCACATGCCATCTTTGTATTTTCCTCCACATTCTTCTCCTTGCCCTTGATCTTGTTCGATTTTCTTGGTTTCAACTGAAGGGGGAGGGAATATTTCGTGTGATTTTGTCACCTAATCTCGTCCCACTCTTCCTCGGAATCAAATTCTTTGCTTGAAGCTAAAGTTTGTTTCTTTTTTATTTGCTACGCCACACTCAAAAGAGCATGCTCTTTTTTGTTTGCGCAAGATTCGTGGGTTTGTTCATACTTGTATAGATGAGAAGCGACCTTTGAAAAAATCTAGGGCTTAATTTGAGGAGGACATGTCGGTGGAGGTGGTGGAGGTGGAGGTGGTCAGTGCTGTGGAAGATGCGGCGGAATATTCCTTCGCCATGGAATACGACGGGCCGCCGATTACCTGTGAGCTACCGCGTGCGCTGCCCATCAATGTGGATCGAATTCCGGTGGCAGCTGTTGTTTCTCCGATGCCGTTTTCGGATAATTTTTCTCTGCCGGTCGTCCAGCCGATATCCGCCGGTGACATAATTAGTAAGAAGATGTCGACGGATCTGAAATTAAGCTCCTCCTCTTCCGCCGAGTTATTGACAGTTTCCCCAACTTCAGTGATTGCGTTCGAGTCACGGAACAATGAGGTGAGTGAGGGTTCATACAGTAAAGAATTAGGGTTGGGAACTGAAACTAGCGTTTCTCCTAGCTCGGTCAATAATGCGTCTGGGGAAACAGCGCCTGAAAATTGCCATAGAAACGATGTCTGCGTTTTATCTGGCGAGTTGAGTAGTGATTTTGAATGTAGTAATAGGGGCGTTAGGGCTGAGGAAATGAATGGGAGGGGATTTTCTTCAGTTAGTCAGGACGACGATAATTCGGGGCTTTTAGGGTCTTCAGATAGCTTTGACAAGTCTAGGGAATTCTCAGGGGGTTTGCTTAAGGTAAAGCTGTCTGTCAGTTTCAAAGAGAGCTTAGATTTCAATGAGTCGAACCGCACGGACTGGGCATCAAATGAGTCAGTCTTGAGTATGGATTATCTGTCGTCTCGGGTTTCTTCCCGGAAGTTTGGCAATGGAAACCATGAATCTAGTTGTGATGCAAGGCGTGCCCACATGGTGAAATTCTGCGGTATAGAGTCGGATGATGAAATTAATACTAATGAGTATAGTCGTTCGGACCCTGAAATTGTCAGAATGAAGAAAGAACCTGTGGTTAGAGTCAGGAAAGGAGCTTGTTACTGGTGTTTGAAAGGAAATAGATTCACGGAGAAGGAGGTTTGCATGGTTTGTGATTCTAAGTTTTGTTCTAATTGTGTGCTTAGAGCAATGGGGTCGATGCCTGAGGGTCGGAAATGTGTGACTTGTATTGGATTTCCGATTGATGAGTCCAAGCGAGGCCATTTGGGAAAATGTTCCAGAATGTTAAAGCGTTTGCTCAATGACCTGGAAGTTCGGCAGATCATGAAAGCTGAGAAATTGTGTGAAGTGAATCAATTGCCTCCCGAGTATATCTGTGTGAATGGAAGGCCTCTTTATCACGACGAGTTGGTGTTACTGCAGAGCTGTCCTAATCCACCAAAGAAGCTGAAACCGGGGAATTATTGGTATGACAAAGTATCGGGTCTTTGGGGAAAGGTGAAAATCGAACTCAGCTTATAATTTCTTGTATTTGACTCTTTGTTTTGGTACTGTGGTTGCTGAAGTTGACAGTATCTGCATTTTACAGGAAGGACAGAAGCCTACACAAATTATCAGCCCCCATCTCAATGTTGGGGGTCCAATTAAGGCAGATGCTAGCAATGGGAACTCCCAAGTTTATATCAACGGTCGTGAAATCACTAAATTGGAACTGCGCATGTTAAAGGTTTGGATTTGGTGCACCCGGACCATACTTGTGCATTAATTTCTTGTGTATGATGTTAAAAAGGTCAACTGTTGTATTCTGTAGTTGGCGGGAGTTCAGTGTGCTGGGAACCCACACTTTTGGGTGAATGAAGATGGTTCATACCAAGAAGAAGGACAGAAAAATACAAAGGGTTATATCTGGGGAAAGGTTCAAACTTCTAATTTATTTATGATGTTTATCTTAAAAAACAGAGTGACATAGTTCTTTCATAACCTGCCAGCCCCCTATACAGCTGAACTGTTGGTTTTTCTGTTCAGGCGGGGACAAAGCTTCTTTGTGCTGTACTTTCTCTCCCATTTCCTTCTAAATCATCTCATCCATGTGGAGAGCAAGTAAATAGCACACCTAGTTGGACAGTGCCTGATTACCTTGAACACAGAGCAATTCAGAAACTTCTCTTGATTGGATGTTGTGGATCTGGGACAAGTACCATCTTTAAACAGGTAGGTTTTGAGTTTTTCCTAGCTATTTCTTTTGCTTTGAAACTGATTGTCTGTTTTCTCATTGTCTGATCAAGTATTACACCAATGCATCCCCTAACTGTGGTTTCTGGTGTATAATATGCTGCAAATAGTCAATGACACCGCTACTATGTTTGCTTCTGTTGGATAGGCTAAAATTCTTTACAAAGATATACCTTTCTCGGAGGAGGAGCAAGAACACATGAAAGTAGTAATCCAGAGCCATGTGTATAGTTACATTGGAATACTTCTCGAGGATCGTGAGCTCTTTGAAGAAGAAAGTTTAAATCAGCTGACGTATAATCAGTCTTGTGAAAGTTCAGTTCCTTTAGGTACATGCTTGCCTGAGCTTTGCTTATTTGTATGTGAAAGCCTAAAAGCATATCGATCATGAAGCCCGCATTCTCTTTGTAGCAGGAGGAAGGCAAGTTTACAACCTGATAAGTTTGATCAGGAAATTATTCATGTGCATCATACATGTAAAATTGAATATTGCTTCTCACATTAATTGGTGTAGAAGACTATATTATCTTGTAGGTAAAAATGAAACAAAAAAGGGGAATAATCAAGCGAAGGCATAACAGCTAGGGTCTAGAGACCATTTGTTTCTATGGGGAGCAGGGAAATTATCTCTCTCCCTCTCTCTCTATATATATACGATATTTGGTTTTTTCAATGGCTCGTTTCAATTTGTGAGCCAAATATTATGAACAACTGTTTGTGTTCTAGAAAGGCTGTAGTTTTTTTTTTTCCTTGGTTGGGTTAATAAATATAATAAACACGAAAAGACAGGGAAAGGGAGGGAGTGACAATGACCACTAGAAGTACATAGTGAAAGAGGCTATGATACAATTAGGTAGCTGATATCAAATTTAAAAATTTATTTTGATCTATTGTCTTTTGCTCTATTATAGGAGATACTGGTGGCAATCATGAAAGGACTGTTTATTCCATTGGCCCAAGGTTGAAGGCATTCTCTGATTGGCTCCTTAAAGTCATGGCATCAGGAACATTGGAAGAAATCTTTCCAGCTGCTAGTCGGGAATATGCGCCATTGGTTGAGGAGTTGTGGAGTGATGATGCTTTTCAGGCAACTTACAAACGGAAAGCTGAATCGGAAACTCTCCCCAGTGCTGCAAGTTATTTTCTTGAGCGGGTAAGATTATGTACTGACTTGGCTAGTTAGATTGAGCTACACTTTCAGCTGTTAAAACTGAAGACCGTTTTAGTGAGTTGTGCTTTTATTCACTTCCTGTGCCGTATTTGGAGATCATCTCTTCTGATCTTAGATACCATATCTTTTCCTGTGACTTGATGCAAACATTTGAGTGTCAACACTAATCTATATGTGTTTTGCGTCCTCATACAAAATGTTAAACTTCGTGAAAGCTAAGACCAAGACTAAGATTTCCCGATATGTTGCTAAGAAAGAATTAATATATCCAATAATGCGCGTATTGATCCATTTATATGAAAATACCAGATTATCTGTTATGGATGTGTGGTACCCTTCCCTAGGAACTTTAGTTGGAATTCAAGATTCAGTTAAGCGACTTCCCACATAGAAATATTGATACAAAATGTCAGAAAATATGTGAATGATTGCCTCTTTTGCAAGCTAGCAATAGAGATATAACGGCCATTGCTCTTCGGCATGGTGACTAGAAGAATTAGTTTCTTATTTATTTATTTATTTTTATTTAGTTTTTGCTTTGTTCGTTGTGTGGTTGTCTGTGTGCAATGAATGATGAAACAAGAAAAGATTCGCAATTAGAAAATTCTCAATAGTCCTTTAGGATTCTGAAAGAACATTTTAATACTTGCCAAACATGTAGATTAAATTCTTGACTCAGTGTGCAATGAATTTCTGAAACTGTATTTATGCCTACTGCCTGTGGGTTTATCTGAAATGATGTGCTATTTTTAATAAAAAGTTCCTTATGATATTTTTGATGGCATGTTTCATTAAAATTCTCTTGGAAAAGAGTATATTGTCTGTTAGCTTTTTGCACATGATAGGTTTTGGTCTTATATTAAACCCTCATTTTTTCCCCAAGTAGAAGTAAATTTATTTAATAGAACTATTTATTTCATAGTAAAGGAATAGGGTAGACTAGAAGGGAGAAAGAGTAGCCTTGCACTAGGAAAGCTATCAATTGATTAGAGTTTCTAGAATAATCCAAGGTGGTTTATTTATTTTAGATTCTTCTTATTCAGTTAATTGTGTTTGATTTTCTTTGATTTGTGCTTCCTTCAGGCTGTTGAGATATTGAAACCAGATTACAAACCATCTGATTTGGACATTCTTTATGCGGAACATGTTACTTCTTCGAATGGACTTTCTTGCATGGATTTTTCGTTCCCTCAGTCTGCATATGATGATGATGCTGACACTGCGGATCTTCAGGATCCCTTGCTGAGGTAGTGTAACAATACATTTTTCTGTTGTCGAAGGCTGTGTATTTGTTTTTTAAATTTTTTTCATGATCTCATTAATTTCCTGGTTGACTCTCGATAACCAGATGCTAGTGTAGTTTTTGTTGAGCACTTTTAGCCGGATCGATTAATGACAGCAACTTTCCATAGAGCTTATCTAGTAACTCGATTAAGAAATGCATTTAATTTTAGAGTTGCTTCTTAATAACAGATTTGTATTTTTGGTAACAGATTTCAGCTGATAAGATTACAAGCGAAAGGCTCTGGAGAAAACTGGAAGTGGATTCAAATGTTTGAAGATGTTCAAGTTGTTATCTTTTGTGTTTCCTTGGCTGATTATGATCAGTTTGCTTTAGATGCTGATGGAAGCACAGTCAACAAGATGCTCTTGAGCAAAAGATTTTTCGAAAACATGGTTACTCATCCAACCTTTGATCAAGTCGACTTCCTTCTCCTGCTAAATAAATTCAGCTTGTTTGAGGAAAAGATAGAGCAAACTCCTTTGAGTAAATGTGACTGGTTCGATGATTTTCATCCAGTCATCAGCCGTAACCGCACCAACAATTCAAACCATCCCACCCTGGGCCAGTTGGGTTTTCATTATATAGCTGTCAAGTTCAAAAGACTCTTCTCTGCCCTGACCAGTCGAAAGCTTTACGTATCATCTGTGAACTGTCTGGAACCAAACAGCGTGGATGCATCACTCAGGTATGCACGAGAGATTCTAAAGTGGGATGAAGAGAGACCCAACTTTAGCTTGAGTGAGTACTCAATCCACAGCACCGAGGCAAATTCCTTTTCCCACTGAGGTAAGCAGCTAATTTCTCCGCACGATTGTACAGAATTTTCTATATTAATGCAAAAACATGTTAGATCATACTCTGCTAATGTTTTCTGTAGTCGGGCTATTGCTGATAGGTTGAATAGTAGCAGCTGCCCTTGTAAGAATTACGTGTGTCTTGGGTTTTTTATACGTTAGTTCTCTACCCCATTTATGATAGATAGTTCGCTGTAAAATTCACGAAACAAAATCGTCTGTGTAGAGTATGCATTTGTTGCAATGGAATTTGATTCAATGTTTTTCCATTTCATTCCATTCTACTGATGATCTTATAAATATGCATTCATTTTTGTTTCGCGACGTCGAATATTTGCTCATGCTAAGCTTGCAAACGTTAGTTTCTACTTCACCCCTGATTGGATAAGAAATGGAAACATGAGTTGGATCATATCACTGTGTTGTGGAGAAACTCATCACAACTCTTGTCTTGAAAATGTTCTGGGCAGTATCTCCAGGGCCATCAGGATCATCACTTATTTCTGTCAGTTCAGTACAGATTCATTAGTTATAGCATTAATGGCCTAGACATCATAACAGGGAGACTTCCAGCGGCAAAACACTGCAGTTTCTTTACAAAACTAAGGTGGTATTCGCTTTGCAAAAGCTTCACACAATGCAAAATCATTAGCCGAATCATCACTAGTAGCCATTATACCATTGCTTAGACTTCCTAGTTTAGAAGAGAAGTCAACCTCAATGATGGGGAAAGCCTCCATCCTAGGCTGTTGGTTCTTATTCAGACCTGGTTTGATCAGCACTTACAAGTTGGCTACATTTATGGATATGGATATTTACAAGGAACGACTCATCAGGGCTTCTGTGGCTCAGCTATGGCTTCCTGTCTTGCAGCACCCTTGCCAAATGCAGAAACATCAAAGATCAGACTAAATCATCAATATCCATCCAGACTAATTTGCTCCAGCGCCTGGAGAACCAGCATTGCTCATCCTCGATTCTTCAAGTTTAACACTCCCGATTTCACCACAACTGGTTCTCTGTGTCCCATTTTCTGGCGGCAATTCCTTGTGGTTTTGCACAAAAACGGGTGGAAACCTCTGCAGTAGAAACACCACAGCACTGCCTTAAAACCATGTAGTTGGGAGAATACTTAATATATAGCTTTGGGATTTGGATAAATGAGATTCCGAATATCAGCAGCAGCATTGGACGAACAAGTCATATGCAGCTTTCAATGTTAAAAACAGAAAATATAACAAACTTAACCACAGATATCCATCAAATATCACAGTATCTTGTGAATTGGTTGTGCAGTCTTAAGCGAAACCTTATTTACTATCAGCCTGCTTTTCATCTTTATTGTTGCTTTCCATTTTACGCTTCTTGTTGGAGATTCACAATCTAATTTCATTGTTCAGAAACATTTAACACCACAAAAAATCATTGTTCAATTCTTTCCAAAAAGAGAAAAAAAAAAAAAAAAAAAAAAAAAAAAAAAAAAAAGCACAAAGCTTGCCCACCCTTACTATCCATCCAATGGATGGAATGGAAGGTGCCTTGATGTCCCTTTCAATCAAGAATTTGGCCTATCTGCAATCACTAGCCAACAATATTTTCTCCTATGCCTTTATTAGTTCATAGCTCGATAATCAGGGGTCCTAGGCAAAGCTAATCCCCTATTTAATGACGGCAATTCTCCATAAAAATCTTTTCCGGAAGAAAAGTTGAAGAATTTTCCAAACAAGAAGCGCGTAAAACTTCGCGATCTTCCCCAACATTAAGCTTGATAGAAGTATGGCAGCCCATCCAAGAAGTTGACCTGAGTGAGTGCAGTCCCATCATGCTTGAATGTAACGGAAGGACTTTATTGTTTTTTTTCCCCCTTTAAGATGTATCATGGTAAGGGCCTTCTTTTTAGGCGCATGTTTAGGTTTGGTGAATTGCAGCTCTCTCTTTATAGAGTACTAAGCCAACACAGCACAAGAAAAAAGAGTCTTCCTTTAATGCCAATAAAGCACTGAAAGTGGATTCTCTTTGTTAAAAAGTCTAGCCAATCATACCTGCTTGTTTTACACTTCATTGTTCCACAAATATTGCCAGCGCCTCCACAAACCTAAAGAGCTTTTCATCCTTTTTATCCCAACATGTATAATTCCAGTCAATAAAAATCAAGCTGCCATTAGCTGCATGCATGCATGGATCACTTTACTGAACAATCATTCTGTCCCTTTTCTTTGTGCTTTTGTTTTGTAATGGCTGGTTGAAGTTGAATGGTTTCGTTGAAAGGTTAAGACTTTGATAATCATCACATGCATTTCTTGAAAAGAATGATGCAGTGGAGATCCTTCCTGTCAAGCCAAAATCAAGAAAGCCCAATGAAGAACAAAAAGAGGAAGCATAATCATTCACCACTTGCATCATCCATCCTCATTGCAAAACAGATAAGTATTTTTAATGGTGTGTCCAAGAATTAATAGCCACAAATCCAAATAGGACTCACAAGATGATCAATGTACAGTACAGTACAGTGTAGTGTCAAGAAACCAAACATATAAGTTGAATTTTTACACAGCAGATAGCATTTTGATCCACATTTCTTGTAGATATGGGATGCTATGTTCTTTCTTACCTGAGGACTATCGAATTCTGAAATGATACAAATGATTAAAACCAGCTCTACCAGAAAACCAGTGACAAAAGTCCAAACAATAAAAAACAGGAATGCACAAATTAGAACAGCAAAAGATGCAGTAGGGGCAAAAGAATGCATCCAGCAAAACCGTTTCGCCGAATCTCTTTTTTTCCATGGCATATTGATTCTTCTGGTCTGCCCCAGCATTAGGATGTCTATAAGAAATGCGTCGCTGCATCTTCTGCTTGTGGTTGGTTATATGAGAGTTGCAAAGAAGCATTTAGTTGAGCTACTGTTGTCATTCCTCAACTTCTTCTGCAACAGATGGAAGTACACCCTCTTTCACAAACTCTGGGTTGAGAAATTTAGCCACGAATTTCCACAGCTTGTAGACATCGTCAAAATTGGTCAAAAAGCCAAGCGATGCAGTGACAACCTCAACTCTGATGAAGCCACTTTTACCATCATGTTGGCCGCTTTCCATTGGCTTGCAAAGGGCAGTATCATTGAGATTCAAAGCTGCTCCACGTTGCTGTTTACGGCTATTAAGGATCCGTATATGACTCAGTATGCCAACCCCCAAAGAAATACCACGCGACTCAGCCAGTTTTTGAACAAGTTCTGGACTAACCAAACTGTTGTTTTTACCTCTCACATTGAAGGCAACTGCTGCACCTCTTTCATACTTAATTTTTGGGCCATAGATTTGAACCAATGGAGCACCTTCCTTTTCACCTGAACCAGGCAGCCTTAATTGCAGCAAAGATGTAACAAGCCAGTTAATCAAGAATCGAAGTCGGGAAGTGGTCTTGTTGAGACCCAGCATGTTTATGTGATCAAGATGTCTGCAAATTATCTCTGGGTCGCCCCTCTCTGAACCTTGCCCATCACCATAGTCATTGCTCGCATAATCTTCATCGTCCAGACTAGTAGCAGATAGTTCTACTGGTTCTTGACTTTGACTAATATGTCCTCCGTGATTGTCTTCTGTGCTAAAGGATACCCTCCTTCCCTTGCTTCCCGACTGATCGATCTCTTCTATTCCAAACAATCTGCCACCAGCAATTCTACTTCTTTCCCGTCTGTCCAATAACCTGAACTCTCCTTCTGTCTCTCTTCTTATTGCACTCTCCTTCTCCAGGAATATCTCCGAGGCCGAACCATTCTGCCCGTTATGTTGATTTGAGACAGATGCCAGATTGTTTTGATTGGAGCCTCTGACAGAACTGAATGATTGGCTGATTACAGGCTCTTCTTCAATTTCATAAAAGCTATGATGATCTGGAGTTTCAGATTCAACCATAGCATGCCTCCTCTGAGTGAACTTTCCTTCATCGGGATTCTCCTTCACATGTTCCACGTCATGAGATACAGATCGAACTGCAGCATCAAAGGATAATACCTGGTGGTCTTCAGAGTGCCCCGTGTTCAATTCCTTGTCATAGATTGGGCTGGTTGATGATTTTGAAGCTTTTGGAGACATCAACTTGTTATTCTTCCGGCCAGAAAACCAAGCAGGTGGCAATGGAGATGAGACCTTGAGTTTGTTTGAATGACCAGCAATATCTGAATCTGCCGGGCTGTGGCCCAAATCAATCCAGAGAGAATTGTCAGATGATTCATCCTCACTGAAGACTGGACTTTTCATTACATCTCCAACAGAAATGCTTTCAGTCTCTTCAAACACAGTGCTCGTCCCATCCCTGTCGGAACTGTTGTCATGTTCCATCTCACTTTCGAATACATCCCTTACCTGAGCAGAAGTATATGCACCAGAAAAGGCAGGCAGCTGAGATCCTGGACGAGTCTCAGAATGTCCTTCACCATTCCCACTGGCTTCCTCAACTTCACCAAATCCAGGGAAGTTATCCATTGAATCACTCAAGTAAAGCGGAAATACAGGAGTGATTTTCACAATACCAGAACCTGCATGACCAGTTTGGTTGTGAAGGCTTCCCATGACAGATTTCTTTATAAGAAGGCATCCAAATCCAGTTGGGTCATACCCAAACACTCTGTAGAACGAAGTGATGATAAAATCAGGCCGGAATAGAGATAATCCAAGAGAATCCATGTCCTTCGGACCCAATGCTCCAGCATCAAGCAAGACGTGCCAGTTGTTCTGTTGAGCCAGGGCCATCCACTGATACGAGTACTTTGCACCAGTAACTCTAGACTGAACAGGGAAAACAAATAAACCTGTGGCTGAATCTTTCTTTCTCCTCTTCTTGTTAGAAATTTGCTTTCTCAGATCAGTCGAACAGAGCTTAAGCGTAGGCCATTTAAACCAAGCACTCTGAACCTTAGCACCTTTCTCTCTAGCACTCTGAGCCATCCAATTCACTGACTGACTTTCATGATCAAACATGGTTAACAGCCTTTTATTCGTGTGGAAAGGGTATGATTCTGCAAGCAGTTTGAAGGCCGAACCACGGCTGACAGTAAAAACAAGGCCGTATTCATTCTCGGGGATGTTCAAATAATCCATTATTCGGATCTTGATATCATGTTCCACCGTACCTCTCTCAGCTCCCCCATACAAAGCATGGTTGCTCAAATTGGCAGTAATTTCAGACAAACTAAACGTAGACGATTCCCAATAATGAACAGTTTGCAGGAATGAAAACAGCCCAAATCCACAGTAGTCAAGGCATACCTTTGAAGGAACCACCGACAGATGCGAGTACTCGTCTGATCTTAACTGATCAATCCTCTCTGATGACTGATACTTGGGGTACATTGTGAGGAACTTCGAGAATGCCTCGTCAAGCTGCGGTATGGAGTCGCTGGACTGAAATGTACGCTCCGTCGCTAGAGCCGTCGCCGTGAGGAATTCCTTCTGTGCATTCAGCCGCGCCAGCGACCGTGATCTGCCCAAGCCCTCATCTTGATTCGCCAAGGCCTCGGAATCCATATCCTGGGACTTAACAAGAGACCCATCTTCAGATGCTTCCTCAAGAGCCTCCCTCAGCTTATGCTCTTGCAATTTCCTCAGAATTGAAGGATTGGCCTTACTTTCTTCGTCGGAACCGTCTCTTCGTCTGCTCTTCTTGTCCAGGATCAGAGCAGCACAGTGAGACAATGGTTTCCATAGAGATAGATGCATTAACGCTCTCCTTTTGAATTTCTTCCTCGCAAGTGCGTACAATCAGAGCAGACTGCTGGTTTAATTGGGTTCAACCAATTTAACAACCAACCCCAAATATAGGAGGTACAGTTCAAAACCCTAAATCCCCAAAAGCAACAGGAATCTTTTACCGAAAAAGCTTCTTCCAGAATAAAACTTTGCTTTGCAAAAGATAAAGCCCTAAGCTTGAGGAGGGAAAATACAGACACAAGGTTTAGACGAACATTCAAAACACACAGCCATAGGTTTTGAATTGGGCATAAGTGCGATTTGAAGAAATAGAAAGTCAATTGTGCTGCAGGAATCCCCGGAGTCGACTTTTCATCTCAGATGACGACAAGCAAGCGAGCGTTTACGAGTATGACTCGACTGGCGATTGGAGAAGTCTCAATTCAAAGGCTCGCTTTCCATTGTTCAAGAATCAACAATGAACAGAGAGGTTGAGAGAAGGAAATCACATGCATACTTGTGTGCTTTCTGTTTTATTTGAGTAGGGCCTTTGCAGTGGCAAGATTGTGAACACATATAATTTTAAGCCCTATTTAATTAAAAATTTGTTGGCATATATTATACATATATATATATATATATAAATAAAAAATTTTGGGCTCAAATGTATTTGATTTTTTTTTGAAAAAAATCATTATTAATAAATAGTATTAAAAATTTTAAAATTATTTATATACACATATTATTAGATTGTTGTTCTTGTAGATGCAAATTCTGACACATAATTATAACATAATCCACTTGATCACATAAACAAACAAAATTATTGAAAGTGATACTTTTGAAAGCTAAACTCAAAATTAGAAATTGTAAGTTTAGATACAAATTTAAGAAGCTAAAATTGACCTTAATGGCTAATGCCTAGCTTATTTATGGAGACAAACTCCATCTAAGATATGTCGATGGCCCCACACTACTTAAATCTAATGCAACCATATATATATATATATATATATATATGCTTTCAGGAGGTGAGAAACCTTGTTTTAAAAAGTAAATTAATAAAACAAGACTCACAGTAAAGCAGAAATTATGTTTAATGACATGTCCTAAAATTAATAGCCACAAGCTCGTACAGGACTCACAAACAAGATGATAAATGTACAGTACAATGTAGTGTAGTCGAGAAACCAAATAGTACATCATAACTTGAATTTGTACACAGCAGATAGCATTTTGATCCACAGGTCGTTGCAAACAAGGCATGCTATGTTCCGTTCTTTCCTTACCTCACAACTATCTGAATTCTGAAATGATACAAATGTTTAAAACCAGCTAAGCTCTACAGGAAACCCCACAAAAATTCAAACAATCGAAAACAAGAATTCACAAATTAGAACAGCAAAAGATGCAGTAGGGGCAAAAGAATCCATCCAACAAAACCTTTCCATCGATTTCTTCTTCGGGTCTGCCCCAACTCTGCATCTTCTGCTTGGCGTTGGTTTTAGGACGGCTGCGCATAAGCATTTGGCCGAGCTCCAGTTGTTCATTCCTCAACTTCTTCAGCAACAGGTGGAAGCACTCCCTCTTTCACAAAATCCGGGTCGAGAAATTTAGCCACAAATTCCCACAGCTTGTAGACATCTTCGAAATTGGTCAGAAAGCCAAGCGACGCAGTGACAACCTCAACTCTGATGAAGCCATTTTTACCATCATGTCGGCCGCCTTCCATTGGCTTGCAAAGGGAAGTATCATTGAGATTCGAAGACCCTCCCCGTTGCTGTTTGGGGTTATTGAGGATCCGAATGTGACTCAGTATACCAACCCCTAAAGAAATACCATGTGACTCAGCCAGTTTTTGAACAACTTCCGGACTAATCATACCCTTATCCGTACCCCTCACATTGAAGGCAACAGCAGCACCTCTTTCGTACTTAATTTTCGGGCCATATATTTGAACCAATGGCGCACCGTCCTTTTCACCAAAACCAGGCAGTCTTAACTGCAGTAAAGATGTAACAAGCCAGTTAATCAAGAATCGAAGTCGAGAAGTGGTCTTGTTCAGGCCCAGCATGTTTATGTGATCAAGATGTCTGCAGATTATCTCCGGATCGCCCCTCTCTGAATCTTGCCCATCGCCATAGTCATTGCTCGCATAATCTTCATCGTCCAAACTAGTCGCAGATAGTTCTACAGGCTCCTGACTTTGAGTAATATGCGCTCCACGGTTGTCTTCTGTGCTAAAGGATACCCTCCTTCCCTTGCTTCCCGACTGATCGGCCTCCTCTATTCCGAAAAATCTTCCGCCAGCGATTCTACTTCTTTCCCGTCTGTCGAGTAACCTGAACTCTCCTTCTGTCTCTCTTCTTATTGCGCTCTCCTTCTCCAGGCAAATCTCCAAGGCCGAACCATTCTGCCCGTTATGTTGATTCGAGATAGAAGCTGAATTGTCTTGACTGGACCCTCTAATGGAGCTGAATGATTGGCTGATTACAGGCTCTTCTTCGATTTCGTAAAAGCAATTATTATCTGGAGTTTCGGTTTCCGCAGTGGCTTGGCTTCTCTGAGTAAGATTTCCTTCTTTGGTTGTCTCCTTGACATGTTCCGAGTCATGAGAGACTGATCTAACTGCAGCATCGAAGGATAATACCTGGTGGTCTTCAGTGTGCCCCGAGTTCAATTCCTTGTCGTACATTGGGCTGGTTGATAATTTCGTAGCTTTTGGAGATATCATCTTGTTGTTCTTCCGGACAGAAAACCAAGCAGGCGGCAGTGGAGATGAGACTTTGAGTTTGTTTGAATGACCAGCATTATCCGAATCTGCCGGGCTGTGGCCCAAATCAATCCACAAGGAATTGTCGGATGATTCATCCTCACTGAAGACTGGACTTTTAATCACTTCTCCAACAGAAATGCTTTCGGTTTCTTCAAACACAGTGCTCGTCCCATCCCTGTCAGAACTATTGTCGTGCTCCATCTCGCTCTCGAATACATCCCTTACCTGAGCAGAAGTGTATGCACCTGAAAATGCAGGGAGATGAGATCCAGGACGTGTCTCAGAATTCCCTTCGCCATTCCCTCCTGCCTCCTCGACTTCACCAAATCCGGGGAAGTTGTCCATTGAATCGCTTAAGTAAAGTGGAAAGACAGGGGTGATTTTGACGATACCAGAACCTGCATGACCAGTTCGATTTTGAAGGCTTCCCATAACAGATTTCTTTATAAGAAGGCATCCAAATCCAGTTGGGTCATAGCCAAATACCCTGTAGAACGACGTGATGATAAAATCAGGCCGGAATAGAGACAATCCAAGAGAATCCATGTCCTTCGGACCCAATGCTCCAGCATCAAGCAAGACGTGCCAGTTGTTCTGTTGAGCCAGGGCCATCCACTGATACGAGTACTTTGCACCCGTCACTCTAGACTGAACAGGGAAAACAAAAAGTCCGGTAGCTGCATCTTTCTTTCTCCTCTTCTTGTTTGAAATTTGTTTCCTCAGATCAGTCGAACACAGCTTGAGCGTAGGCCATTTAAACCACGCACTTTGAACCTTAGCCCCTTTCCCTCTAGCACTCTGAGCCATCCAATTCACCGATTGACTCTCATGATCAAACATGGTTAACAGCCTTTTATTCGTGTGGAAAGGGTACGATTCTGCAAGCAGTTTAAAGGCCGAACCACGGCTGACAGTAAAAACAAGGCCGTATTCATTCTCGGGGATGTTCAAATAATCCATTATTCGGATCTTGATATCATGTTCCACTGTACCCCTCTCAGCTCCCCCATACAAAGCATGGTTGCTCAAATTGGCAGTAATTTCAGACAAACTAAACGTAGATGACTCCCAATAGTGAACAGTTTGCAGGAATGAAAACAGCCCAAATCCACAGTAGTCAAGGCATACCTTTGGAGGAGCCACTGACAAATGTGAATACTCATCTGATCTTAACTGATCAATCCTCTCCGAAGACTGATACTTTGGGTACATTGTGAGGAACTTCGAGAATGCCTCATCAAGCTGAGGTATTGAATCGCTGGACTCAAATGTGCGCTCTGCAGCCAGAGCCGTCGCCCGGAGGAATTCTTTCTGAGCATTCAGCCGCGCCAGCGACCGTGATCTGCCCAAGCCCTCATCTTGATTAGCCATGGCCTCGGAATCCATATCTTGGGACTTGAAAAGAGAGCCATCTTCAGATGCTTCCTCAAGAGCCTCCCTCAGCTTATGCTCTTGCAATTTCCTCAGAATTGAGGGATTGGCCTTTCCTTCTTCATCAGATCCGTCTCTTCGTCTGCTCTTCTTGTCCAGGATCAGAGCAGCACAGTGAGACAATGGTTTCCATAGAGAGAGATGCATTAAAGCTTTCCTTTTTAATTTCTCCCTCACAAGTGCTTACAATTAGAGCAAAACCTGCAGTGAATCAAAGCAAATTGCTGGTTTGGCTGGGTTCAACCCATCTACCAACCAACCCCTGAAATCCCCAAAAGCAACTGTAATCTTTGCCAGGAAAAGCTTCCCCAAGAATAAGACTTTGCTTTGGAAAAGATAAAGCCCTAAGCTTGAGGAGGGAAAGGACAGAGACAAGGTTTATGCAAACATTCAAAGCACGCAGCCCAAGGTTTTGAATTGGGAAGAACTACGATTTGAAGAAATCCAAAGTCAATTTTGCTCCAAAGAATCCCCGGGCTCGTCTTTTTTTCTAGATTTAATTCAGATGACGACAAAGAAAGCTCGTTGAGTATGACTCGACTGGCGATTGGAGAAGTCTAATTCAAAGGCTCATTTTCCACAGTTCAAGAATAAAAAACGAACAGAGAAGCTGATAGAAAGAAAACACAGACACTTCAAGGCCAAGACAAAAAGATTCGAAGTTCGATTTGAAAATAAAAAGAGGCAAGCAAGAAAGCAGTGAGAAGAGAAGACAAAATCCCAGATCCCTCTCCAAAAAAACGAAGCACAGATTGGAGAGACTGAATGCAATATTACAGAAAACAAAACAAATCTGCAATCAGAAGAACACCTGCTTGATGGGAAATGAAAAACTCTCTTACAAAGGACGCAGCTTTGCAAATCAGAGAGAGAACCCTTCTTCCTTCGTTCCTCTTTTATTGAATCGGCTATGAGCGACGAGCACTAATAACTTCTTCTCAAGATTTCTTGTGGCTCTCTCTCTCTCTCTCTCTCTCTCTCTGCCTTTCTGCAATCCAATTAAAGGTAGACCCTCCACACCAAATGCACATTTACTCCAGTTGTGAATCCGAAAACATACCCCTATTCATTATCTCTCTGCCCCACCTTCCCCTCCCAGTGTCACACTATCTTTCTCTCTCTATCTATCTTTCTCTCTCTTACCCCCTTTGACATTGACCCTAATGGGGGGCGTTAGGGGGCTTTATTCGTTGAATTGGCTGTCAGTCTGGCTAAAACGCAACGCTCCCGATTACGCTTTCCTTTGCTTTCCCTTGCCTTGACAAACAGCGAAGAAAACCACGTCTGACTTTTACTCCCCCAATATGTCTCGATTTCGCTTATCTATAAATCTTTGATTACACAAAATTGGATTCTATAATCATCTCGTCCTTTGCTGGGACCTACCATTACTGCTCATTGCTCAATGACCTTTTCCTCCGTCTTCCGAAGTCAACAATCCGCTGGTTTTTTTTTTTTTTTTAATTTTAATTATTAGTATTAAAAAAAGCTGTTTTCCGTCTAGTTTCTTCCGTGTCCACTTGTTCCTGCCAGCTCCTGGGACCTCAACTCCAGTTCAATCCACACCGCCCACTTCTGGCCTGGATCCCACACTGTCAACGGTGTGGATTCATCTTATTAAAAGATTATAAGTTCACTCTCTTATGTCGCGTTAACGATTTTATTTTATTTTTTTATTATAAAATATTTTTGTTCACCAAACTCCGACGTTGCTATAAAGTTTTAGACGTTCGAGACAGATGTTTGGTCCCTCTCTACATAACATTGGCTTAGGGCAGTTTAATTATTATGTCACTATTAATTAATGCCTAACCTAAAAATAAAAAATCAATATATAATAATATATCTGGACAGCTCCACTTGCTTAGATTTTGATTAATTTATTACAGCCTTGGTCAACCATACAACCAGTTAAATTACTGAGGGCAGTTTATTTTTCCTTTTATATTATACAATTGAACCAAATATATATATATATATAAATTATTGGGGTGAATTGGGTGTCCAAAATTATCGAAGGTAATAAATAAATTATTAGATGTCAGATTTTTTTATTTTTTTTATTTTTGTATGGGTGGGTAAGCACTGAATACTTATTTATTTATTTTTGAAATTACTGTGGATGTCACTCTTTGAGAGTCGTTTTCAGTAATAAATGCACATAATGTGGTCGTTCCATATCATTTATTACCAACGGAAAACAGCATCCTATGGTTCGTATAACAAATAAACGTCTAATATAAAAAAAAAAAAGAAGGTTTTTTTAATGACGTCACACCGCATTGTGATTAAGCACCGAACCCAATTAAGCATTGGTTTAATTAATAATTTCAAGAATTGTGGTATTTAATGTTGACATTTCATTCGACGTGCAAATTACGTACGTACACGAAAGATTTGATTTTTAAGTTGTTGAGTGGATTTTAAGGATGTATTTATTTATTTAGTTGAATTCTTCCTTAAGAAAAACCTATATTTAGGTTTTTATTTCAAAATAAATATATATATGGTCAACTTGTAATAATCCCATACTAAGTCCCTTTCATGTCTAATAATTATTCAAAACTACTATAAAACTGTGGTACTTATAGTATTATTTTTATAAATATATATATATTATGTATACGGATTGATTATTGGGCCTTTGGTGAAGACCCGGTAAATAATTTAAATGGGCTGAAGAGGGTTTTATTTATTGGGCTAGATAAGGCTAGCTGGGCCGGGTTCAAGAAAGAAGAAAGAGGTTTGAAAATAATTAATTATTTTATTTATTTTTTGGGTCTGGTGAGATGGCGCTCTTTTCTTCTTTCTCAGTCTAGGGTTTTAGGGAGAACGATGATTCCGATTCCGGCCACTTTAATATGAGGTGGATCAAGTTTCGGGTTTTCGAGCCTTGTCGTGTGTAATTCTTGACAATGGCGTTCTCATTCACTCCGCAGCAGCAGCCGCAGCAATCGCTGTTCCAGTCTCCATTTCAACAATCTTCTCCGTTTCAACAGTCTTCTCCATTTCAGCAGCAGCAGCAGCAGCAGCAGCAGTCTCCTTTCAATCTACAATTTCAGCAGCAACAGCAACAGCAGCAGCAGCAGCAACAACAACAACAGCAGGCGCAGCCCCAGTCTCAGCTCTTTCTTTTCACTAATGATAAAGCCCCCGCTAGTTATAATACTAAATGGGCGGACCTTCATCCCGACTCGCAGAAAGTCCTACTCCAAATTGAGTAATTCTCTCGTCTTTTAATCACAGATCTTTTGAGTTTTCCCCTTGAATTTGGTTTTTACTTGGATCGTTTAGGCATTGAAGTTTGTTGTGGTTGTAGGGAGAAAATATTGGAATACAGAGATGAGAGCCAGAGATTGGATCAATGTAGCAGGCTATATGACTCCTCGGTTTCCAATAATGGATTCGAGCTTGATGCTAGCTATCTTGTTCAGGTACACATTTTTCTTACACTTCTGTAATTTAGAGATGCTTGAAATTATACTCCTTTTATTTTTTTTGAATTTAAGTGATTTAGTGCACCCCCCTCCCCCACCCCAAACTGCTTGCGGCTCTCAGTGTAGCCTTTCTTATGGAGATACTAGGAATTATATATATATATATAGAATTATTTAATTTATTGAATTGACAATTATTATCATTCACTATTAAATTCCTTGTATCTGTGCTGGGACATTTTTATTTAGATTAACCGTTTTGAGAGGGATTTATTTTCTTGTTTAGCTGGTTTCTCGTGAAGCTATGAAGTTACTTTTGCAATCAGCATAACTATTGCTTGCTCTTATCGAAGGGGGAAGTCTATAAAGCTTTGTTAACTGTGCAGTGCATATTGCTCTGTTTCTCTGGCTACACTATTCAATGTTCTTTCTTTATCATTGAAGACTGGGTCTGTGGATTTGCAGCATACCTTTCAGCAGAGTCACTTGATAATATTAGACAAGAAATTCACATATTCTTTATGATTTATCCTGCGTGTCACTAGCATGTGTACTTATATTTGGTTAATTTCCTCGAAGGTTATCATTGTCATTTAGCAGGGTTTGCTTATTTGGAGTATTTCTGGTGTGTTTCTGTTAGGAACTTGGTGGTATTAGTATATCCATGGAAAGACAGAAGACAACACTACAAGAGCTAATGGCTTCTGTTAAAGATATGCTCCGAAATGCTGAAGTGGCTGTTCGATCTTTTATGATGGTACGGCCAAGGTTTCTTCACCAAAATAAAGCTACTGCAGCTAGCACCAGTGCACCTCAACCATCCACTACAAACCAAGCGTCACACAATCAAGCAGCAACAACCTCTATGGTGCCGATAATTGATTTTTACAGTGGACTACCAAAGAAGCCATCTCCCTTTTTGCAGCAAACTGTTGCTAGATTTGAGAAATATATCTCTGAATGCCATCAGTGGGTTGAAGAGCTGGAGCAGTTGTTACTTTTAGATGCTGAAAAGAGCTCTGTTAATTCAAGTTCTTCACTTTTACAGTCCCTGCCTAAGACCATGAGCAATTTACATGACTTCTTTGTGCATGTTGCAGCAAAGGTAGTGAATACTAAATTTATGTGTTGTAGGAAGTGGTGCATGTGCTTGATTATTGTGAATCATTTTTATTGTTATTCTAAATTTTGTATTTCAATTTTTGGTTTCATTTCGGCATTGTGATGCTTTATCACCAGCTGCTTATCTATCCATACTTGAATTACCACGCTAGTTGAGTTTGAATGGATTTACTCATCTTTTCTGCTACCAACTTAGTCTAGCTATCTTTTGAGAGTTTAAATTATACTGCTTTCTTCATCACTTTTGTATAGGATGATGCCATCATGTGAACACTGCAGAAACTGAAAAGTGAAACTTTGGTTTATGGAGTCTATGCACTTCTATATCACCCTGTTCACTAATAATGAGATTGTTCTATCAAACTGTTTTAATAAGGTTTATGGTTTTCTATTTTAATTGCAATGTTACTGATGGCTTGCCTTCCCTAATGATTACGTAGGTGGAAAGTATTCATCAATATATTGAATCCATGAAGGCGGCATATCTTGCAGACCAACGTCGCCGTGGTGATGGGAATGATCCGTTTCTTGAGGCTGATAGACGGGAAACAGCCAAGCAGGAGGCTGCAGCTCGAAGGGTTCACCCAACACAACATTTACCTGCTAGTTCACTACCAACTGGTCAATCTACTGGAGCGGTCGGCATCTCAGCAGCAGCTGGAGCAACAACTAATATGCCTGCAACAGTACCAGCAGCTTCAAGTGGAAGTGGATCGTCGCTCTTTTCTACACCTGCTGCTGCTACCTCAACTCCTTCCCTGTTCTCAGCTCCCACCACTTCTGTTCCAATCCCATCATTGTTTGGAACTGCTTCTTCAACACGGCCATCACCTTTTAGTTCCTTGCCAGCTTCAACATCAGCTTTTGGTGCGTCTACTCCTTTGTTTAGTTCAACCCCGGCTTCTGGAGTTTCAAGCTTTTCAACTCCTTTTGCTACAGGTTAGTTGTTTATAAATTCAGTTTTGTGTTTTTGGCTAAGCTATTAAGAGTAGTCCCAGCTCGGAAATAGAATAGACTTATGTCCTGTAATATGCTATTAATTGCTGTTGGCCATGACATTATGAAGATACATGTGAATAATACTTCTTAAAAATGTTATATCATTGACTGAATATTATGTGTTCCAGGAAACAAAGAAAAAGTTACTTATTGCATTACATTCTCATTACATCCCTATGGTATCAAACTTTTGCTTTATTCTAGTTATTTTTTATTCTCTCTGTCTTTTACTTTGTGTGAGCAGGAGCTGCAACCGGATCTGGGGCGAGCTTTGGAACTGTAGCGGTGAGTTATTTTGTCCTTTCCCTATTGTCCAATTATGGCATATTGCTTAAGCATCAGAATTCTAGAATTACGAAGTATGTCTATAGATGTAATAAGCTGTAAAAGGTTTCAGTTGGTTGAAATCAGGTGGTTCAAATTTAGTTTGAAGGGTGGTTGTTGTGTGCTGAAATTCAGTTTGGTTGTTATATGACCTGCGCTTGAATTTAGCAGCTTGATACTTTTGAACACACTGTTATTATTCTTGAATTAGTAGCCAAAATCAATGTATGCTTTTACACACAAGGTTCGAACTGATCAATCTCCACATAATTTGGTTGATTCTGTCTTTTCCTCTGCTCGCACTAATAATTAATTGCTTTTGCATTTAGTTAACATAATCAATCATTCTAACTTGCCCTCCCACATGTCCTGCAGAAAGCAAGAGTGAAAACTCGCACTGGGCGTCGCTAAGTCCGCAAGAAGATGATGCTGCAGTTACCATCTGATTTAGCTTGTTTGTCGTCTACCCACATGTAGCAATGTCGTCTTTCAATGAATGATTTTGTTGCAGCTGAAGTCGAGCCAAATGGCATTCCCGGAAACAGTTTCATCTCGGGACTTCAGACAGCCATATTCCAGGATTAGTAACCTTTACAGCTTAGCTCTCTTCCTTCCCCATCTTACATTGTTCAACCTTGTGGTTGGCAAGTATATTCATATGGTGATGTTGTCCAGTTGCCAGGAATTGTGTTCTTGTCTTAAAGATTTAGTTACTCAGCTCACCTGATCCTTTCTATTTCTATTTCTATGCAACTTTCTGATTTCAGCTGAAACATTACAAGAACGATGCTATGCTGGTTTAAGTCACATCGACTATTCGTTCATCACCACAAGTGTCATTACAAGAACGATGCTATGTGGAGCCCCACCCATGTTGTAGTGTGTGTATATATATATATACTAATACTTGTATGAGCCGCGCAAGTTTTCGTTATGGTAGAATATTTTTTGTAAATTTTTTTTATATAAATATATTGTATGAATTCATTAGCGGTGCATATTTTACATTTTTAATTTTTTGAAAAAAAAAATATAATATAAATATATTTTAGAAAAAAAAAAAATAAAAAAAAATTGACCGATTTATTTTTACCAAAGAGAAAGAGATCGAAGAGAAAGAGATCGAGAGAAAATGAAAAAAAAATAATATAAATATATTTTAAGAAAAAAATAAAAAAAATATTGACCGAATTAGTCTCATAAATGAGAGAACAACAGATAATGTAAGGGTTTTTTTTCTGTATTATTCAAAATATTATACTATCCAAAATAATATACATTGATGTATTTTAAATTTCTATAGAAATTTTAAAAATTACATATGAATATATAAATTTAAATAAAAAAACCCTTATGACAGATAATAGAGAAGAAAGAAAAAAAAAAGTCTTATTAATTGGTCGGATGAAATGAAATGAAGAGAATCGTCCAGTCAATTGGGCGGGAAAGAAAAGAGAAAGTGTCTGGTCGGAAAACCGACCTCTCAGCTTCAACCGACTTCTCGCTGGCTGCTACAAATATCCTCGAGGCCGACCGACTTCCCTCTCCAATCCTTTCCATTCCAAGGCCAACCGACTTCTCCGGTGCTCTTAATCTTCCGTCGCCTTCTTCATGGTTTCGTCACCAATCGGGCAAAATCCAGCCCTAATATTTTAATCTTCTGCAATTCCTTCATTCAGTCGGTCGTAATCCACAGGGCTGGATGGATCTGCAGCATGGCAAAAGAGGGCTTTCTTTCTCATCGTTTATTGGGCCTTTTATCTCTTACAGAAAATATATATATATATAAAGAAATGTCTGACCAAATTGGTCTGATGAAATAAAAAGAACTGTCCAACCGCGTTAGGATGAAAAAAGAAAAAGAAGTTTATGGTCAGATAAGAAAGAGGACAATCAACCATTCGGTTGACAGAAAAATGAGATAAAAAATATAATAAATTATATAAATATCAATATTTTTTTAAATTGTGCAACAAATCAATTTTAAAAAATTTAATTTTTTATTTTAAATATTATTTTATATTATACTTTTGTTTAGCTAATTTTTACAAATTTATATATATTAATATATTTGAAATTTCTAATTAAATTTTAAAAATTACATGATATATAAATCTGTAAATAAATAAACCATCAAAAAAAGAAAGAAGTTTCTGACCGCTTTGGTCGGTTGGGATGGAAAGAGAAGAGAATGAAATATAATAAATTATATAACAAAACATAATATATTAATTTTTTTAATTCTTTTTTTGGAATTGTAAATCACTATCACGTTACAATATGCAATTTAGAACTTTTTTTTTATGGTAAAATATTTTTTTTATATTAATATGTTGTATGAATTCATTAGTTTGTGTGCATATTTTGCATTTTTAATTTCTTGAAAATAAAAGATAATATAAATATATTTTAGGAAAAAAAAGAAAAAAAAAATTGTCCAACTTAGTCTTATGAGAAGAGAAGAGAATGAGTGAAAATAAATAAATAAATATAACATAAATATATTTTATAGAGAAAAGAAAAAATAAAATATTAACCGAATTAGTCTTACGAAAGAGAAAGAAAACTAGAAAAAGATAATATAAATATTCGATTATCTTATGAAAGAGGTACATAATGAGAAAAAAAAAAAAAATTTTTAAAAAAATAATAATGCGATAATAAACTTAAATAGATAAAATCGTATATAATTTTGGCCGCTCTCCCAATTACAAGGATAGAAACCTTTTGGTAGTTTGCCAATTAAAATGAATCTGTAAAAAAAATAAAAAATATCACAATAATAAAGCTATAAAAAAAATAAAAAATATCACAATTATGTCCAAGTTCGTTAAAAAATTTGAAGCTATAAAATACAGTCTTATGGTTTGAATTTTTTTTTTAATATTAAATTTTTATAATTATATAATTAAGACAAACCATACAACGGATAAATCAGATTTAAAAAATTACCAAATCTACCATAATCACCAAACTTACCATAATTACCAAACTTTCCTTACAGGAAGAAAGAATGAAAGCAAGGGCTTCTGCCCTGACGTTATATAAAATTGTTTCCGATGGGTTTTCTTCTTACCCTTCTCAATAATTCTATAATTCTAGGGCTCCGGCCGCTGAAGTGTCCGTCGTGCATTCCGGCGAGCGGCAAGCAGAAGCAGCCGATGGTCCGCTACTTAGGGCTGTAACTGACGGCGCTGGGCACCGGCGGCCTGAAGTCGAGCGTCTCCGGCTTCAGTTCCGATCAGTTCGACGAGACCGACGGGGGCGAGAGGAAGAAAATGGTGAAATTCTTTCAGTGGTTCTTCTTCTTTATCAACATCGGGCACTCGGCCGGGAATGGGGCTACGGAATCTGCGCCTGCGCCATTGTCGTCGGCCGGACGGCGTTCCTTGTCGAAGCTCCCTTGAGAATTGACCTCCATTCTTACACTATTGCGTGTTCATCTTTATTTTCCTGAGAAAATTAGCTTCGAGCGGGAGAGAGAAGCCATCGATTTGGACGCCACTGCGGTTGCTCTTAAGAATGAAAGTAGGTTCCTAATCGGCCCTATTTTTGTAACTTTTCATTCGAATTTTCATTTGCCTTCAATCTGTGGGATTTTACAATCTTCTTTTTTTTTTTCTTTTGATTGCAGAAGAGATGGAGAGAAAAAGGGAAAAAAACCTCTGTTCCGCTTTGCCCTGTCTTTTCTACTGTGCCCACCGGACCGATGTAAGTATATCTGATGCAATGGGTTTTCTGTTCTTTTCAATTATATTGGTCTGGTTCTACATTTTCTTGGTTGTTAGTTTGTTTAATAATCATATATGGTTTCTTGACATAACAGGAAACAAATCTTCGGGACAGTGGAAGTATTAAACAGAGAGCTCACTGGAAATATAAGAATGTGCTTTGAAAGGATTAAATATCATTTCAAATGCATTCGGGAAGCACGGAGGATTGCACGAGGGAAGCAGAAGGGATTTTCTCGACCGCACCAAAAAAGGGAGAATTTCGAAACTTCAACTTTTACTGGTTTTGTTTATTTGCATTGCATTCATTTTAAATTTTTCTTGCATTTAGCATTAGCATTAATTTTACGTCCCGGGATATGCATGCTTAGATTTTTATACAAAATTTTAAACGAATTATTAATCGCATACTAAATATCTTGTTTTTTTAATTATGTGTAGGTAAGCGATCGTGGACATTCCAGAGCCGACAGAAGCATGGAGGATTGCACGAGAGAAGCAGAATGGATTTTTTCGACCGCACAAAAAAAAAAAGGGAGAATTTCGAAACTTTAACTTTTACTATTTTTGTTTATTTGCATTGCATTCATTTTAAATCTTCTTTGCATTTAGCATTAGCATTTATTTTACATCCCGGGACATGCATGCTTAGATTTTCATACGAAATTTCATATGAATTATTAATCACATACTAACTATCTTGTTTTTTTATTATGTGTAGGTAAGTGATCGTGGACATTCCGGGGCCGACGGGGATGCATTTGTCCCACATTACGAACAAATGGAGGTAACCTTCTTAAATTTATTTTTCTACTTTCAAATGTGTACATACTTATATTTATTTAAAATCATTTCAGATGCATTCGGGAAGCACAGACGATTGCACGAGGGAAGCAAAAGGGATTTTCTCGACCGTACCGAAAAAAGGGAGAATTTCGAAACTTTAACTTTTACGATTTTTGTTTATTTGCATTGCATTCATTTTAAATCTTTCTTGCATTTAGCATTAGCATTAATTTTACGTCCCGAGACATGCATGCTTAGATTTTGATACAAAAGCGATCGTGGACATTCCGGGGTCGACGGGGAGGCATTTGACCCACATTACGAACAAACGGAGGTAAACTTCTTAAATTTATCTTTCTACTTTCAAATGTGTACATACTTATATTTATTTAAAACCATTTCAGATGCATTCGGGAAGCACGGAGGATTGCACAAGGGAAGCATAATGGATTTTCTCGACCGCACAAAAAAAAAAAAAAAGGGAGAATTTCGAAACTTTAACTTTTACGGTTTTTGTTTATTTGCATTGCATTCATTTTAAATCTTTCTTGCATTTAGCATTAGCATTAATTTTACGTCCCGGGACATGCATGCTTAGATTTTGATACAAAATTTCATACAAATTATTAATCGCATACTAACTATTTTGTTTTTTTATTACGTGTAAGTAAGCGATCGTGGACATTTCGGGGCCGACGGGAAGCACAGAGGATTGCACGAGGGAAGCAGAAGGGATTTTCTCGACCGCACAAAAAAAAAAAAAAAAGGGAGAATTTCGAAACTTTTATTTTTAATGTTTTTGCTTATTTACATTGCATTCATTTTAAATCTTTCTTGCATTTAGCATTAGCATTTATTTTACGTTCCAGGACATGAATGTTTAGATTTTCATACAAAATTTCATACGAATTATTAATCGTATACTAACTATCTTTTTTTTTATTATGTGTAGGTAAGCGATTGTGGACATTCCGGGGCCGACGGTGAGGCATTTGACCCACATTACGAACAAACGGAGGTAAACTTCTTAAATTTATTTTTCTACTTTCAAATGTGTACATACTTATATTTATTTAAAATCATTTCAGATGCATTCGGGAAGCACGGAGGATTGCACGAGGGACACAGAAGGGATTTTCTCGACCGTACCAAAAAAAAAGGGAGAATTTCTAATCTTTAACTTTTACTGTTTTTGTTTATTTACATTGCATTCATTTTAAATCTTTCTTGCATTTAGCATTAGCATTTATTTTTCGTCCCGGGACATGCATGCTTAGATTTTCATACAAAATTTCATACGAATTATTAATCGCATACTAACTATCTTGTTTTTTTATTATGTGTTGGTAAGCGATCGTGGACATTCCGGGGCCGACGGGGAGGCATTTGACCCACATTACAAACAAACAGAGGTAAACTTCTTAAATTTATTTTTCTATTTTCAAATATGTACATACTTATATTTATTTAAAAACATTTCAGATGCATTCGGGAAGCACGGAGGATTGCACGAGGGAAGCAGAAGGGATTTTCTCGACAACACAAAAAAAATGAAGAAATTCGAAACTTTTATTTTTATTGTTTTTGTTTATTTGCATTGCATTCATTTTAAATCTTTTTTGCATTTAGCATTAGCATTAATTTTACGTCCCGGGACATGCATGCTTAAAATTTCATATCGATTATATATCCCATACTAACTATCCTATTTTTTTATTCTGTGTGGGTAAGCGATCGTGGACATTGTGGGGCCGACGGGAATGTATTTGACCCATATTACGAACAAAAGAAGGTATGTTCTTTAAATTTATTTTTCTACTTTCAAATTATGTACTTATATTTATTTGAGATCATTTCAGATGCATTTGGGAAGCACGGATGATTGCACGAGGGAAGCACAATGGATTTTCTCGACCGCACAAAAAAAAAGGGAGAATTTTGAAACTTTTACTTTTACTGTTTTTGTTTATTTGCATTGCATTCATTTTAAATCTTTCTTGCATTTAGGATTACCATTAATTTTACGTCCCGGGACATACATGCTTAGATTTACATACAAAATTTCATACGAATTATTAGTCGCATGGTAAATATCTTGTTTTTTTTTATTATGTGTAGGTATGCGATCGTGGACATTTCGGGGCCGACGGAGATGCATTTGACCCGCATTACGAACAAACGGAGGTAATCTCCTTAAATTTATTTTTCTACTTTCAAATATGTTTATAATTATATTTAGTTAAAATCATTTCAGATGCATTCGGGAAGCACGGAGGGTTGCACGAGGGAAGCCAAAGGGATTTTCTCGACCGCACCAAAAAAAAGGGAGAAGTTCGAAACTTTTACTTTTACTGTTTTTTTTATTTGCATTGCATTTATTTTAAATCTTTCTTGCATTCAGCATTAGCATTAATTTTACGTCCTGGGACATGCATGCTTTGAATTTTATATCGATTATTTATCGCATACTAACTATCTTGTTATTTTTTTCTGTGTAGGTAAGCGATCGTGGACATTGCGGGGCCGACGGGGATGCATTTGACCTATATTACGAACATACGGAGGTAAGTTCTTTAAATTTATTTTTCTACTTTCAAATGTCTATGTATTTATAGTTATTTGAAATCATTTTAGATGCATTCGGGATGCACAGATGATTGCATGAGGGAAACACAATGGATTTTCTCGAACGCACCAAAAAAAAGGGAGAATTTCGAAACTTTTACTTTTACTGTTTTTGTTTATTTGCATTGCATTCATTTTAAATCTTTCTTACATTTAGCATTAGCATTAATTTTATGTCCCGAGACATGCATGCTTAGATTTTCATACAAAATTTTATATGAATTATTAATTTTATATCGATTATTTATCGCATACTAACTATCTTTTTTTTTTTATTATGTGTAGGTAAACGATCGTGGACATTCCGGGGCCGACGGAGATGCATTTGACCCACATTACGAACAAATAGAGGTAAACTCCTTAAATTTATTTTTCTACTTTCAAATGTCTATGTACTTATATTTATTTGAAATCATTTCAGATGCATTTGGGAAGCTCGGAGCATTGCACGAGGGAAACAGAAGGGATTTTGTCGACCGCACTAAAAAAAGGGGAGAACTTCGAAATTTTTACTTTTACTGTTTTTGTTTATTTGCATTGAGTTCGTTTTAAATCTTTCTTGCATTTAGCATTAGCATTAATTTTACGTCCCGGGACATGCATGTTTAGAATTTTATACTTTTGAACACACTGTTATTATTCTTCAATTAGTAGCCAAAATCAATGTATGCTTTTACATAGAAGGTTCGAATAAGCTGTTACTGATCAATCTCCACATAGTTTGGTTGATTGTCTTTTCCTCTGCTCACACTAATAATTGATTGCTTTTGATTTTGCTTAACAAAATCATTCTAACTTTTAATTATCCCGACTCGCAGAAAGTCCTACTCCAAATTGAGTAATTTTCTCATCTTTTAATCAAAGATCTTTTGAGTTTTCACCTTGAATTTGGTTTCTACTTGATCGATTAGGCAGTGAAGTTTGTTGTGGTTGTAGGGAGAAAATATTGAATACAGAGATGAGAGCCGGAGATTGGATCAATGTAGCAGGCTTTATGACTCCTCGGTTTCCAATAACGGATTCGAGCTTGATGCTAGCTATCTTGTTCAGGTACACATTTTTCTTACACTTCTGTAATTTAGAGATGCTTGAAATTATACTCCTTTTATTTTTTTTTTGAATTTAAGTGATTTAGTGCACCCCCCTCCCCCACCCCAAACTTCTTGCGGCTCTCAGTGTAGCTTTTCTTATAGAGATACTAGGAATTATATATATATATATACAGAATTATTGAATTTATTGAATTGACAATTATTATTATTCACTATTAGATTCCTTGTATCTGTGCTGAGACATTTTCATTTAGATTAACTGTTTTGAGAGGGATTTATTTTCTTGTTTAGCTGGTTTCTTGTGAAGCTATGAACTTACTTTTGCAATCAGCATAACTATTGCTTGCTCTTTTCGAAGGGGGGAGGTCTATAAAGCTCTGTTAACTGTGCAGTGCATATTGCTCTGTTTCTCGGGCGACGCTATTCAATGTTCTTTCTTTATCATTGAAGACTGGGTCTGTGGATTTGCAGCATACCTTTGAGCAGAGTCGCTTGATAATATTAGACAAGAAATTCACATATTCTTTATGATTTATCCTGCATGTCACTAGCATGTGTACTTATATTTGGTTAATTTCCTCGAAGGTTATCATTGTCATTTTGCAGGGTTTGCTTATTTGGAGTATTTCTGGTGTGTTTCTGTTAGGAACTTGGTGGTATTAGTATATCCATGGAAAGACAGAAGACAACACTACAAGAGCTAATGGCTTCTGTTAAAGGTATGCTCCGAAATGCTGAAGTGGCTGTTCGATCTTTTATGATGGTACGGCCAAGGTTTCTTCACCAAAATAAAGCTACTGCAGCTAGCACCAGTGCACCTCAACCATCCACTACAAACCAAGCGTCACACAATCAAGCAGCAACAACCTCTATGGTGCCGATAATTGATTTTTACAGTGGACTACCAAAGGAGCCATCTCCCTTTTTGCAGCAAACTGTTGCTAGATTTGAGAAATATATCTCTGAATGCCATCAATGGGTTGAAGAGCTGGAACAGTTGTTACTCTTAGATGCTGAAAAGAGCTCTGTTAATTCAAGTTCTTCACTTTTACAGTCCCTGCCTAAGACCATGAGCAATTTACATGACTTCTTTGTGCATGTTGCAGCAAAGGTAGTGAATACTAAATTTATGTGTTGTAGGAAGTGGTGCATGTGCTTGATTATTGTGAATCACTTTTATCGTTATTCTATATTTTGTATTTCAATTTTTGGTTTCATTTCGGCATTGTGATGCTTTATCACCAGCTGCCTATCTATCTTACCACGCTAGTTGAGTTTGAATGGACTTCCTCATCTTTTCTGCTACCAACTTAGTCTAGCTATCTTTTGAGAGTTTAAATTATGCTGCTTTCTTCATCACTTTTGTATAGGATGATGCCATCATGTGAACACTGCAGAAACTGAAAAGTGAAACTTTGGTTTATGGAGTCTATGCACTTCTATATCACCCTGTTCACTAATAATGAGATTGTTCTATCAAACTGTTTTAATAAGGTTTATGGTTTTCTATTTTAATTGCAATGTTACTGATGGCTTGCCTTCCCTAATGATTACGTAGGTGGAAAGTATTCATCAATATATTGAATCCATGAAGGCGGCATATCTTGCAGACCATCGTCGCCGTGGTGATGGGAATGATCTGTTTCTTGAAACTGATAGACGGGAAACAGCCAAGCAGGAGGCTGCAGCTCGAAGGGTTCACCCAACACAACATTTACCTGCTAGTTCACTACCAACTGGTCAATCTACTGGAGCGGTCGGCATCTCAGCAGCAGCTGGAGCAACAACTAATATGCCTGCAACAGTACCAGCAGCTTCAAGTGGAAGTGGATCGTCGCTCTTTTCTACACCTGCTGCTGCTACCTCAACTCCTTCCCTGTTCTCAGCTCCCACCACTTCTGTTCCAATCCCATCATTGTTTGGAACTGCTTCTTCAACACGGCCATCACCTTTTAGTTCCTTGCCAGCTTCAACATCAGCTTTTGGTGCGTCTACTCCTTTGTTTAGTTCAACCCCGGCTTCTGGAGTTTCAAGCTTTTCAACTCCTTTTGCTACAGGTTAGTTGTTTATAAATTCAGTTTTGTGTTTTTGGCTAAGCTATTAAGAGTAGTCCCAGCTCGGAAATAGAATAGACTTATGTCCTGTAATATGCTATTAATTGCTGTTGGCCATGACATTATGAAGATACATGTGAATAATACTTCTTAAAAATGTTATTATCATTGACTGAATATTATGTGTTCCAGGAAACGAAGAAAAAGTCACTTATTGCATTACATTCTCATTACATCCTTATGGTATCAAACTTTTGCTTTATTCTAGTTATTTTTTATTCTCTCTGTCTTTTACTTTGTGTGAGCAGGAGCTGCAACCGGATCTGGGGCGAGCTTTGGAACTGTAGCGGTGAGTTATTTTGTCCTTTCCCTATTGTCCAATTATGGCATATTGCTTAAGCATCAGAATTCTAGAATTACGAAGTATGTCTATAGATGTAATAAGCTGTAAAAGGTTTCAGTTGGTTGAAATCAGGTGGTTCAAATTTAGTTTGAAGGGTGGTTGTTGTGTGCTGAAATTCAGTTTGGTTGTTAAATGGCCTGCGCTTGAACAAGATTGAATTTAGCAGCTTGATACTTTTGAACACACTGTTATTATTCTTGAATTAGTAGCCAAAATCAATGTATGCTTTTACACACAAGGTTCGAACTGATCAATCTCCACATAGTTTGGTTGATTCTGTCTTTTCCTCTGCTCGCACTAATAATTAATTGCTTTTGCATTTAGTTAACATAATCAATCATTCTAACTTGCCCTCCCACATGTCCTGCAGAAAGCAAGAGTGAAAACTCGCACCGGACGTCGCTAAGTCAAAAGAAGATGATGCTACGTAGCCTTTATCTCGGGACTTCAGACAGCAGATATTCCAAGATTAGTAGCCTTTACAGCTTTGCTCTCTTCCTTCTCCATCTTACATTGTTCAACCTTGTGGTTGGCAAGTACGGTACTCATTACAACATTGTATTAATACAGTGGTAAAACTAAATCCTCCCTTGTTAACCCCCCATCATGTGTTTCCATATTTTATTCCATTGTTTATTGATTAAAACAAAAAGACGAGATTACCTACTACTGGACAGAATATTAGGTCATTTTATAGCTGTTGCTGTTAATTAAATGTTTTGGACAACTTCATCCAAAACTTTGGTTTTATAAGCCACGTGATGCAGTCCAGAAGAGACAACAATTTTCCGGACATGGAAATGGAATGTGCCGGAAAGACCAACCAGTCCCACTTCGTGCTCATTCACGGTGCCGGCCATGGCGCCTGGTGCTGGTACAAAGTTGCGACAAGCCTGAGAGTCGACGGCCACCGTGTCACCGCCCTGGACATGGCAGCCTCCGGAGCTGATCCCAAACCTTTGAAGGATGTGAGCTCCTTGTCCGATTACTGCAAGCCGTTGATCAATTTCTTGGAGGCTCTACCGTTTGGCGAGAAAGTGGTCCTTGTCGGCCACAGCATGGGTGGATTTTGTCTATCTCTTGCGATGGAAACCTTCCCGGAGAAAATCGCATTGGCTGTTTTCGCCGCGGCTTTTATGCCGGGACCTGATTTGCCCGCTTCAGCCGTCTATGCTGAGGTATGTCGACGACCATTTTGGCCTGGGTCTCCTAATTTTGCATACTTTATTTATATGCTTGTATCTTCTGCAGCTCCCAAGGCATCTGGATTCTTACATGGATTCAGAATATTCTTTCGACAATGGAGTCGAGAACCCTCCGACTTCCATGGTGTTTGGGCCCGAGTTCTTGGCTTCTCGATTGTATCAGCTTTGTCCTCCCCAGGTTAGCGCCGGGCAGGGGTCAGGGCAGGATTTGGAACCATCGTTGTTCTGTCGATGATGTTGATTTTTGTGTGTTTGGATCGACCTAAAACAGGACTTGACTCTTGCAACGTTGTTGTTGAGGCCAGTGGGTGTTCTTAACCAGATGGATGAACTGGCGCTTTCGCGGGAAAGATATGGCTCGGTTCGACGTGCGTACGTAGTTTGTGGAAGTGATCTAACTCTGAAACAGGGCTTCCAGGAATGGCAGATTGAGAGGAACCCAGTTGATGAAGTGAAGTTCATTGCAGGCGCGGATCATATGGTGATGTTGTCCGGTTGCCAGGAATTGTGTTCCTGTCTTAAAGATTTAGTCACTAAGTTCTCCTGATCCTTTCTATTTCTATTTCTATGCAACTTTCTGATTTCAGCTGAAACATTACGAGAACGATGCTATGCTGGTTTATGTCACATCGACTATTCGTTCATCACAACAAGTGCCATTCAAGGAACGATGCTATGTGGAGCCCCACCCATGTTCTAGTGTGTGTGTGTATATATATATATATATATATATATACACAACACTTTTAACTAGTATATATATGTAGTATATATACTATATGGCCTACACTTCATAATTCAACAAAACTGAACATGTATTCACAACTACAAAATTAGATTCTTGCTAGATGTCACGATCCAACCATTCATGTTGGGACAACATGTCAACATGATTTAATTAGTATTTATTTTGACTAGACTTACATATGAGTTTCCTCGTTCACACGTAATCCTATCGTATGTTGTGGAGTGGAAGGATGAGTTCATCCATGACATTAATTTTATACCACACAATATATACACAAGGATTACGACCAGCTAGCAAAAATCTAGTTTTGATAAGAGGAAATGGAACACAGCGGAAAGGACCACCACCACTTCGTCCTGGTTCACGGCTCCGGCCACGGCGCCTGGTGCTGGTACAAGGTGGCCACCGCTCTGCGATCGGACGGCCACCGTGTCACCGCTCTAGACATGGCGGCCTCCGGCGCCAATCCCAACCGTCTGGAGGAGCTGAGCTCATTGTCCGACTACTCCCAGCCGTTGATCGAATTCATGGCTTCTTTGCCGTCCGATGAAAGGGTCGTCCTCGTCGGCCACAGCATGGGCGGCTGTGGTGTATGTCTCGCCGTGGAAGCCTTCCCGGAGAAAGTCGCCGTTGCGGTCTTCGCCGCCGCGTTCATGGCGGGGCCTGACGCCTCCGCCGACGTCGTTTATGCAGAGGTATGGCGCAATTACCGTAATGCCCTCAGCTTCAGGAACACCACAGTAGTGAAATATATATATACATATATGTTGTTGTTAATTCCTTCTTAACAATTACAGATTCATAAGCACGTGGATTCTTACATGGACTGTAAATTCTTTTTCGACAATGGGGACGACAAGCCCCCAACCTCATTGCTTTTGGGCCCTAATTTCTTGTCTTCCAGAATGTACCAAATGTCTCCTCCCCAGGTCAGGCCAGACAACCTCAATTCAATTTCCAGACACATTATTTATCGCTTCTTTTTCATTACATAGCCAACTGATTGTTCTTCCCGGCAGGACTTGACTCTCGCGACAATGCTGGTGAGGCCAATCGGATTTCTCGAACAGATGAAAAAGCTCGAGCTCGATCTATCCGAGGAAAAGTTCGGCTCAGTTCGACGCGCCTACGTGGGTTGTGAAATGGATACCTTCATAAAACAGGACGTATTGGAATGGCTGATTCAGAAGACTCCAGTCGATGAAGTGAAGATCATCACAGGGGCAGATCACATGGTCATGCTCTCAAAGCCTCTGGAATTTTGTTCCTGTCTTAAAGATTTAGCCGATAAATTTAAAAATTGAAGAAAGAAAAAAGGCCATAGCCAATAATGTATCCATAAATAAAAGTATATCAAATTCATTACATTACATTATAAGATACATATATTGCATTGATTGCAATTGCAACCTTAGTCTAATCAATGATACTCGGCAGCAATCTTGGTAAGAGATTCGGAAAGCTGTCGAGGCGTGGACAACATGGCCATGTGGTCAGCCTCGGCAATTTCAACGACTTCATCCACTCCTCCATTGGCCTCGATCATCCAACGCTGGAAGGAGGCCGGAATGCCGATGTCCTGTCCGCACACAATGTACACTTTCTTGACTGCTCCAAACCTTTCTTTTGAGAGTGGTTCCATTTGGGACAGATCTTCGAGGAACAAAGAGCTTGGCCTTATCAGAATTGTTCCCAATGCCACATCCTAACTAAGTTTGCTTGATTAATTATATAACCATCATTGTAATAATTATAGCATATGAAACTAAATTCTCTGTTTCAAATTATACCTCTGGAGGACTTAAATTGTAGAGCCTGTCGGAGATGAATTTAGGACCAAAAGTCATTGAACTTAAGGGACTTTCTGGCGGGCGGGCAGGTGAGAATTGTGTATCCTCCCAATTCTCTGCTGGAATTCTCTCCACAAACTGTATAAGATGTTAAAACAATTTTTAATTTAAAAATATATAACTTTTATTCAAAATATTGCTTTCAAATACTATTGTTTAATTAAGAAATTAAATCTAAATGTGTCACGGTCTAGAGGGCAAAGCATGATCGTAAAATTTTTACCAATATAATTCAATTATAATTAATTAAGTCACGTGTTAAATAAATTGGTGGCAGTATTATTGGCCCTAGATGTAAGTAGGGTTTGTAAGTCGTAACCAAGTGGGCCAACATAATAAATACCCGGTCCAAACCGGGTTTAAAATTTGAGCAGATGAAAATTTTAGGGTGTGGTTGTTACTGTTTTCATTCTTGTCGTTGTAAACTCTAATATCTTTTCTGTTCAAAAGATATCATACCAAACACATAATTTATAACCGACTGAAATATTCGGAGAATCTATTTATGTATATTTTTTTTATCAAAGCAATCTTATACACTTTTCCCTCATTAAAACTACAATATCCAAAATCAGATCTCTGGCAAATCCAAATTTAAATTTATTAAAAAATTCACCTGTTCCATGACGTAGGAAGGCTTATGTTCCAAATCAGGCAAGAAAGCCGTCACGAAAACCGCCACGGAGATACTGTCGGGGTACCTCTCCATCGCCGCCGCCAAGTTCACCCCGCCGAGGCTGTGCCCGACCAGGACCACCTTCTCCGGCGGCGGGATCGCCGCCAGAATCTCCAGCAACGGCTGGTTGTAGTCGTCGAAGGAGCAAAGGTCCTGCAGGCGCCTCAGGTCGGTGCCGGTGGCCGCCAGGTCAAAGGCGGTGACGCGGTGGCCCGCCGCCTCCAGGAGCGGCTTCAGCTTGTACCAGGTCCAGGCGCCGTGGCCGGCGCCGTGGACCAGAACAATGTGCGGCTGCTGCTGCTTCTTTCCAGAATCCATGGCGATTTCAAGCTTCTTGCCTGACTGCCTCTCGAACTTGTTTATATGGAAGGAAGATGATAAATGATGGATGAATTATTTTTTAGCCAGAAAAAAAAAATAAATAAATATATAAATAAATAAAATTGATACATATTAAAAATGAAATTATTGGTCCACTTAACAAAATATTTTTAAGTAAACACGATTGTGCTTTATGACAGAACAGTATAGTTAATCATTAATGTGCCTTTATTATCAGTTGAATTTTTGAGTTAGAAAATGGATTATAGTGGATTTATTTAATTCATAATTTGATATTATGTAATATATATAAAACTAAAAAATATTAAAATATGTATTTAATTATTTTAATAAAATATATATAATATTGATGTTTTTAGTAGAAAAAGAAAGTTTATATCATAAAAAGAAGTAAAAAATATAAATATTTATTTATATGTAATTAATATAAATTAATTTTGCTAGTAAATGATAAGTTTTAAATATAAAAACTGTAACCAAACGCTGTGGTGGAGGCATGAACAGTGTATATATTATCTAAATATGCAAAGTATTTGATCATTGCGGTAGGTATATTGATGCATCTAACTTCCACCACTCTTCCTTTCCATTAATTTTATAGTAATTTAATAAATATAATATTATATTGGTTTATTCATATAACAAACAAAAGTATATTGATAAATTTATGAGTGACATAGTGAGATGAGAATTTATTTATTTTCTTGATAAATTGAACATATAACTAATATTTGTAAGTAAATGTAATTTTAGTCTCCATTTTTCATTTGATCATGTTCAATTTATCAGTTAAATTTCTCTGGACTTCCATCTCCAAATTTCTGCATGTTCGTCCATCCACTTTTGGGTCATCTCATATATATTGACTAATTCCACGTGATTTCAAAGTTGGAGTGATTTGTGTCGTATAGACAATTTTTGAATAATATCGATATAAAAACCTTTTTACCCAAATGTGGCTGGGTTAAGAAATAAATTATTTAAATTAGTTTGATCAATTACTAATAAACTCATAGGCTCACAAATCAAATTTAACACTTCTTAATTAAAATTTTATGTCAAATATGAAATTAAACATATGGGACTATTTATATTAGGCCGCGCAATTAATAAATACAGTGGAGTTGTCGCTTGATATATGTATAAGCTATTGCGTGTTAGATTTCTCATTATTTTATTATTATTAGTGTTTTTTTGGTGTTAGATTTCTCATTATTAATTAAATGTCATGTTGCACTAATTTAAAGAAATTAATATGGATAAGATACTGTCTAGATTTGAATTTAAGTGGAAGAAAACAATATTGACGTACATAAAAAATAATAATAAATAATTGAATTATTATCATCGCGGCATCCCCAAATGTTTATAATACAGACAAATGATATTAATATTATATTTCATAATTTGTGTCGTACTATTGATTTTGTCGCCACAACATTTGTTTGATTCAACTTTATTATAAATTTGGGTTTATTGGCTTTGTTTTTTTATATTTTGATTTATTTATTTTTTTAGAAAAAATAAAACAATAATAAATTTAAATAGATAAAATCGTATATAATTTTGGCCATTCACCCAATTACAAGGATAAAAATCTTTTGGTAGGATGTCAATTAAATGCGTTACACTATCACATATATTGTCAAAATATCACAATAATGAAGCTATAAAAAATAAAATATATCACAATAATGTCGAAGTTTGTTGAAAATTTTAAAGCTATAAAATACAGTCTTTATGTGAAAAATATGGTTTGAATTTTTTTTTAATATTAATTTTTTTATAATTATATAATTTTGAAATAGTATTTTAAAATTAACACAAATCATTAATAAACGGATACATCAGATTTAAAAAATTACCAAATCTACCATAATTACCAAACTTTCCTTACATGAAGAAAGAATGAAAGCAAGGGCTTCTGCCCTGACGTTATATAAAATTGTTTCCGATGGGTTTTCTTTTTACCCTTCTCAATAATTCTATAATTCTAGGGCTCCGGCCGCTGAAGTGTCCGGCGTGCATTCCGGCGAGCGGCAAGCAGAAGCAGCCGATGGTCCGCTACTTAGGGCTGTAACTGACGGCGCTGGGCACCGGCGGCCTGAAGTCGAGCGTCTCCGGCTTCAGTTCCGATCAGTTCGACGAGACCAACGGCGGCGAGAGGAAGAAAATGGTGAATTCTTTCCGTGGTTCTTCTTCTTCATCAACATCGGGCACTCGGCCGGGAATGGGGCAACGGAATCTGCGCCTGCGCCATTGTCGTCGGACGGACGGCGTTCCTTGTCGAAGCTCCCTTGAGAATTGACCTCCATTCTTACACTGTTGCGTGTTCATATTTATTTTCCTGAGAAAACTAGCTTCGAGCGGGAGAGAGAAGCCGTCGATTTGGACGCCACCGCTGTTGCTCTTAAGAATGAAAGTACGTTCCTAATCGGCCCTATTTTTGTAACTTTTCATTCGAATTTTCATTTGCCTTCAATCTGTGGGATTTTACAAATTTATTTATTTATTTTTTTTTGCAGAAGAGATGGAGAGAAAAAGGGAAGAAACCTCTGTTCCGCTTTGCCCTGTCTTTTTATATAATATAAGAATAAAATAATAATAAAATTTCTATTGTTTCTGTCAATCAAATGAACTATCACCATTTTAATAGTCTCTCCCCTCCCCTGGCTTGAACCAAACATACCCTAAGATCTTTCGGCAGAAGAGTTTCCCGATCCAGTGGAATATTGGAGGCAGATAATTCAAGAATTCTGATATTGAATCTGTGATTCATTTTTTAGTTTCTACAAATTGATCTCAACATTTGCTGTTCACGAATCTCAATCTCGCAGGCGAATTGGTAAATGACGGTGAGGACGGGGGTTTTGAAGGCGGCGCTGGGGCTGATGGCGACGTGCCTGGCGGCGTACATAGTTGGTCCGCCGCTGTATTGGCATTTGATTGAAGCTTTCGGATCCACTGGTTGTCCGCCTTGTGACTGTGACTGTGATTCGTTGCCTGATCTTCTCTCCATTCCCCAAGGTCTCAATTTGTTTTCGGATTTGATTTGATTCAACTCGAATCTCTTTTCAGTAATTAATCATAAATTGCGTGTGCGTTTGTCTGCATTCTCTTCAATTGTCTATTAGGAACTGGCTTTGCGACGTGTTTTTCCGTGAAATTGACGCCGCTTGTTGTATCGAATACAATTTACTTCATAGGACAAATTTGATTCTTAGCACAACTATTTTCCCCCGAAATGATACAATGAATTCGTAGCTACGAGTGCTTACCTTTCTGGTGTTATATGCTGTAGTTGGGGTAATGTGTTGTGACATTTTTGCATTCTCTGTTAATTGTTTAAGTCAAAATGCATATTCATTGAGGATTCACAATATAAAGTTGTTCAAATGGTTCAGTTGCTTCAGGTTGATCTATGGAGAAATTCCTTTCTATTTTTTCATTTTCCTTGTTTGATTTTAATCCTCTGTTGAGCAGCTGTATGTTGATTACTTGTTTACATGTCTTGCAGGAGTTAATAATGGTTCCATTACAGGTGAGCAAACAGTTTCTTTCTGTTGATCACTTTCAGTTTCTGGTGTTACATGCTGTAATTGCGGTCATGTGTTGTGACATTTTTGCATTCTCTGTTAAATTGTTCGAGTCAAAATGCAGATTCATTGAGGATTCACAATATAAAGTTGTTTCAAATGGTTGTTCTTGAATTGACTATACCATTGCTACATTTGGGAAGGACTAACTACTATGGATGCAAATAGAACCACTCAATACATTAACATATACCACCAACTCATATTGCAGATTGTGCTAAGCACAACCCGGACGAGAACAAGGATGCGCAGAAGAAATTAGCAGAATTGTTGTCCGAGGAGCTAAAACAGCGAACAGCCGAGGCTTTGGAGAAGCAGCAGCGCGCAAACAAGGCGCTGCTCGAGGCCAAGAAGATGGCATCCCAATACCAGAAAGAGGCAGACAAATGCAATTCTGGAATGGAGACTTGTGAGGAGGCAAGGGAGAAGTCGGAAGCCAATTTGTTATCCCAGAAACAGTTAACAGTTTTGTGGGAGCAAAGGGCTCGACAAAAGGGCTGGAACGACGGCAATGCCAGGTCTCAGGGCAATGCTCAGGCCATCTAACAAGCAACCAATCTTCCTCTAGATTCAAGTTTGAAGGTACTAATACCTCACCCCCCCTCATTCAATTAATTTTTTTCTAATCCTTTTAAAAGTTTTTGATAAAAATTTCTGTCCTAAGAGTGACATATAATATACCATCTTATGGGGAGCCAATGAGTGCTTGAGCTTCCAGCATTGATTAAGAATCCTTGTCCCTGATGCAACTCTGGAATTCTTGTCCATTGGGTTGTGGGTATTTTGTATTGGGCCTTTTATTTACTTTATGAATTATATATATCTTGTGGGTTGATGGTGATGAGATAATGTTAAATATGATTGGATGCATGGAAATGGAATGATAAAGGGGGATGGAGATTGGGGTAACGTGGTGTTGAGTCACATTGGATTTGGGAAAGTGGGGCCATGAGTGTGCATGCTGTCATTCTTGCATCACTGTTACTACTACTTTAATCGGGCCACTATGGTTTGTCTCCAGCATTTTGTTGAATGTTTAGCATGTGAAAGTGTAAGAATAAAAATCTGTCCTAATCTTGGAAGAATCAATCAATCAATCAATCCTCACACCTTCCAATGACTGCTTGTCTTAGATTTCACATATGTTATATGTATACACACATATATAGCCCAAACGTACATTCATACTTTCATACATGCATGCATGTGTTTTTTTTTTATATATATACTACTGTTCCTGCTTCAGTTGCAAGTCTGGTGAGTACAGCTTTCGAGGCAGTTAATTTATAGTATTCTTATTGTAATTTACGAAAGAGGATAGTAAAATTACTGCTAGTACTGTTTATTGCTAATATTTATATAGGGATGGGTTAGCTCCGTAGTATGATATTGGGACTTCTCCAAAATAGTTATATGCTAATTGCTCATAACCAATGATTTTTATTTTTATTTTTTTGGTGTGTACATTTGAGTTTGTTTTTCTAACAAATTCTGCACAGTTTTTATATATCATCAACTAACTCCTTAGGTTTTAATACTAGATTGTTGGGATTTGGGTAAAGTATTATTGTGGAGTTAGATTTTATTTTTATTTTTTAAATAAACAATCATTTATTTATTGGGGATGTAGATTAGAGTTTGTTTAACCAATCAATAAAAATAGTAATAACAATGCCAGGGGCTGGGTGGGGTGGGGTGGGGTGGGGAAGGGCATGAATACATGATAGAATGATTCCATAGAGAAATATGGAAGAGAATGCATGCAATATAGTATAATAGTACAATATATATATATATATATACATATAATAGCAATAATTGGCAATGGAATGGTGTGTCCTGAAAAGAAAAGAAAAGAAAAGCAAATGAAATTAAATTAAAGGGCATGCAGTCCCTTCCGGTCCGGTCCGGTCCGGTCAGAGTGATTGCGACAAGGCGGAGCGTGTGCCGCGTTTGTGGTGCTCCCCACCAGCAATCCCCGCCCGCCCGGGAATCGAGGACGACCGACCATCAAATTGATTTTATTATTATTAACTTTGTTTGTACTAGTAATTGATTTTGAGTACTGTGTGTGTGTGATATGAGATGATTGATTATACTAGTTAGTGTATGATATAGGCAATGAAATTAATAAATAATCCTCCGGTGGTCGGTCGGGTCACTAATAATTGGTACTCAAAAGCGATTCCCTGTTTTTATCGATCGTTATCGGAGAGGTAATGGAAATCCAGAAAGATAACAAAACAAAGCGGCCGGGGATGAGTTTCCGGACAGCACGCGCGGTCAGGACCTGTCTGCTCTGCTCTGCTCAGGTGTACGTATCTACTGTTGCTGAGGCTGAGGCTCTATTGATATCCAATCAATCAATGAATGAATGAATCTCCTTTTTTGTACATATATATATTTATTTATTTATTTATGTGGTTGAGATAGCTAGGTTCGCACATATATGGAAAGAGGAAACACCTTCCTACATTCTGATTCAGGCATGCCATGCCATTATCAGATCAGATCAGATACAGTATGCATGGCCTTTAACTTTTTTCATCTCTCTGTGTCTGTGTCTGTGTCTGCATTATATTGTAGTACTATATATATACTTACATGTTACTTTTGTTCTTCAGTTTTCGTTTTCATTAGTCCCACCACTCCCACTCCTACACACAAATTAACACACACAACCCTATACTATATACATATCTGATCTTCTGCTGCTTTGACCAACTCTCCATTCATTTGACTAATTATATATACCCACTCTAACACAGCTATGTCATTAATTATTATTATTATTGTTATTAACACTCGAAAGTAAACTGCATGCCATTGATGTGTATATATACATAAACTTTACGTAGGTTGATATATTCATCATCGTCGTCTTCGTCGGCAAGAGCATTAATTAATGATTAAATTGATCGATGGTGTAATCAATAAGATATGTATGATTAACTTGATTTGATTTGATTGTGGGATGCCATTCCATAATTAAACCTTAGCTTGACACTACCTCGTGTACTAGCAGACAAACTATAATGTATGAAAGGGGCAATGATATCATATCATATCATATATATGATTCCGCAGCTGTCCTCATCCTATATATCATATGTGCCTCTGTGTTGTGTGTGCGTGTGTTCATCCCAATTTAAGCCATAAGTTTCGGGCCATAACACAAACTTCTTCTTCAATCTTCATCATCATATATCATTCGATCTACTTACTAATAATTAATTAGCTAGCTTCTCTAATGGTGGTAACTGTCATGCATTTTTTGCCCTTTACACGTACACCCTCCTCTTTATATCAATTCCTAATCATTTCTCCTCTTTTAGCTTCCACATATATAGCGCACACACACACACACACACACACACGTATTTAATCCATGTTATATCTCCAATCATTACATCATTAATTAGAATTTTTTGGGATTAAATTTTAAACACCTACAGCAACTTCGTTTATCTCTCTTTAATTCGTGTGTCTCTGCTCGAAATTTCCGAATAATTTGGAATCCTAAGAAACACTGTAATAATAGCATCGAATTTCTTGGTTGGCTTTACATGCATAAACCCCTTCTGCTTGTCTTCCAGATTCCAATTAATGTTCTCTCTCTAACACAGCTGATCATCTCATGTTTACCACTGTCGGATTACTAATTTACTAATATTAATTTTTACTACAATGTAAGTTACAATTTTTAGTACAGATTCGTGGAAAGCACCAAACATATCACCGGAAACTATAAAATATTTGTCACAGCAATCTGGGCATTGATCAAAGGGAAATTATCAACGCATATATACATATAAATTATATGTGTGTGTGTGTTCAGTTTATACAGAGTGGCCTCTTTTAATAAACTAGTCTCATTAATGGGTTGGTTCTACAATAAAGAACATAGATTTGATTGTCTGAATCCAAAATTAATGGCTGAGAAAGTGTCTTAGTGGCAGTTTCTTATATTGTAGCCTTAATATTCCTTCTGACGTATGCACCGCACTGCACACTACACTGTATCTAAATAATTCAAAGGCAATAAGAGTGCAGGTTTCTGTTGGAAGATCCCGGTGTTCAAACACCAGACAGATCTATCGGATCCATTCCACAATCCTACAGCATAAAGAGCGTAGATCGATCTGGTTCTCAAGTCCCGGACTGTTCCCATAAACCATTCTATACTCCCCTTCCCACCAAAATAGTCCAAAAGAGACAACTAAAATCCAAATTTTAAACCATTTATTTTCGAGAGGAGACAAAGTGGCACCACACTCCATCATTTTATCACTATATTAAAGTGGTCTGGTTGAGATCTTCTGTTTGCTCTAACCAAAACAATTTTGGCTCAAGAAAAAAGCCATTCAAATCTCTCGTCTCATTTCATGTGATGTAAGAATTAAGAAAACCCACTTTCTATCCCTTTCTCTTTCACAAAAAGGCTAACCCAAAATTGCTTTCTTTCATCTTCTTGTTTTTTGTTGTTTTCCGATCTCTGTAGATCCGAAGATGATTCAAGAATTGTTGGGTGGAAGCAGCGTCGGGATTCTTGGAGGAGACAGATCCAAAATGTCTGCTTCAGGGATTATTCTAGAAGGTTCCTCTAATTCCCAGTCGCCATCTTCGGCGCCGCCGCCGGTGCCGTCCGTCGCCCCGGCGGCGGCGGGTGCTTCCTCGGAGAACCTCCGGTGCCCTCGCTGTGACTCATCGAACACGAAATTTTGCTACTACAACAACTACAATCTCACTCAGCCGCGCCATTTCTGCAAGACTTGCCGCCGGTACTGGACCAAAGGCGGCGCTCTCCGCAACGTCCCCATCGGCGGCGGATGCCGGAAGAACAAGAGCACCGCCATTGCTGCGGCGGTCGGGAAGTCCAATGCCGTCGGAAAATTGAAGTCGGTTACAAACGAGATCGGAAAGTCCGCCCTCTTCAGCGGGTTCGATAACTCTGACACGGCGGCGCTCTCCGCAAACCCTATAATTTGGGCGGCGTCTTCCCAGAATTCCCATTTTCTTTCCCTCCTCAGACCCAACCAAAACCCTAACCCTAACCCTTACCCTAATTCCTTTCATCTCTCCAATTCCGTCAAGGACGAAGCCATGCTGTTCGGATCGTCCAATTGGAGCTCGGAATCGCCGTTTTCCGGCGGCGGAATCACCGGCCGTGTCCTGAATTTGGACTCCCTGGGCCAGCTCCACGTGTCACCTACAGGAATGTCGTCGCCGTCATCGTTAAATTCCCTCTACAGAAACCAAACTCCGGCGAACCAAACCGTCGCAAGCGGCGATCTGCAAGAGCTCTACCAACGGCTCAGATCATCAAGCAGCTGCTATCCCGATCACGCGCCGCTCATCCACGGCGCCTCAAATTCCTCCACCATCATCAATTCAGGCATTCTGGAATCATCTCCGGTGGCAGCAGCAGGGGGCGAATTAGGGTTCTGGAATTCGTCTCTGTCCTGGCCGTGCACGGACATGCCAACCACCACCAACTCCCATGGTGCATATCCATGAAATCAACAACACAAGTAATTAAATTATTTCATTTTTACCTAAATTAATTAGAAGTATAATATATGTGGTAAGGTTTGGGGTTTGTTTAATCTTAATTATGCATTTCAAATTCAATTTTTAATTCGTGATTTTGGTTTGGGATTTGGTATATATTTGAAATTAGGAACCATCATGCATGACTGACTGTGTAGCTATACTGTCATGTCATGTCATTACTTGGTCCAGTTTATTTTATTTTAATTTTTAATTAGTTAAAGTAGTTAGGTAGCTAGGTTCAATGTACGTACTGCTTTCATTGGGATGTTATTAATTAATGAGATTGTGTGCAAGGATTAATTAATTATTTAATCTCTGATTCTTGATCGTCGAGAAGATTCACTCCAGACAAGGAAGATTTGGGCAATATTATCTATCTCGTTGAACAACGGTTAACAATAATGATGTGTAGTAGTGACAGTGTAACCTATATATATATATATACTTTTAAATTAAATAAATTGGTCAAAATCATGGGCTTCAATTTCTAATAATATATATTTTTCTTGATCTAATTACTGGAAAGAAGATACAGATGGAGATAGAAGAAGCTAAGGGCGTGGTGCTGATAATTGAGATTCTTGTCTTGTTTTCTTTTAGATTAATGGCTGAAAAGGTGAGAATGATTTTTTGTTTGGATAAGAGTCTGATTAATTATTGATCTGAAAAATAAAAAAAATTAATTAATTAAAAGATGGATCTGCATCTGCATCGCGATGAGTTGGAAGGATTCCGATTCATACCACCTGTATGTAACTGTATTTCTATATCCGTAGTTTGACCTAACTGTATTTGTGTATCCAAAGTTTGACCTCGACTCATTTAACTTGCTAATGGGAATGTTATTATATTTCTTTTTCTATATCATATTTATACTATAAAAATAAATGTATAGTGCATGTTTTATTCAGTTGTTAAATGATTTATTCATCACTTGGCAGTCATTTGTATTATTATTATTTTTATTTTGACAAAAATTTAAATAATGAATAATTGTATCAAAATTTACAAAAATAAGTAGGCTATTATTTGGGCCCATTAAAGATTTTGGACGGATTTACATTAAGCCCACATGCATGAAAGTGAACTAAAACTTGTAGGCTAGATTTACACAATTTCAGAAGTTTACACTATTTATCAAAAATATATTCTAAATAATAAATAATTATACTCCATCTTTCTTTTTATTTATTTATTTAGTTTTTTTTACAGAACAGTAAATCAAATACTTATTTTTATACTATTTGTTTGGATAACCGAGTTCTGGGTTTGAAGTTTGATATATATAGGTTTTTGGATAAAGAGTGTATTTTATGGATTTGTTTCTTCATGATTTTAAACACAAATTTACACTATTTAATGAACTATCAGATATTAAATAAAAAAATAAGTATAAGTATAAGAAATTAAAATTTATTGTATAATAATTTAATTTAAATAAAATATAATTATATAAAACATTACAGTATAATACATAAACATATTTCATAAAATTAACTATAAAATATATAAAAATAAAATTACATGATCATTTTTTCTACGATTGGTTCTCTATATAATTATTATAAAAATATAATAATAAATAATAATTTTAATTATATATTATAACTAATTTATAAGAAGATTTTTTTTAAATTTTTTTTTTTTTTTAAAATTTTTTAATTTTTGAAAAAACCCTATCAATTGAAGCACGGTTCATTTATATCAAAGTAGGAAGTCTCAAGCCCATTAAGGGCCCAGCCAATGGGATGTGGTTTTTTTTGTATCTTTCTAGGGTTTAAGAGCGCTCTGGTTTGGTTTTGAATGAGCCGTGGCGGCCGAATGTGCGTCGCATTCCTCTGCTGTCGCACCATAGAATGGATGGGGAATCGCAACCTCGTGTTCCGTCTCTCGCCTCGCCACCGCCTTTTCGTGTCATCCATGTTCATCGGAACATGCTTTCCGATTAATTTGTTCGAAAAGTACTTGTAACGTCGGTAAATAATATTGCCTTGGATATTTGAATGCTTAGGGTATAGTGGAGCTAGGGTGCGGACTGCGGAGAAACTTTGATGCTCCTGTATTCAATCACTGCGCCAAGGTCGGATCCGGAGTTATCTCTCTGAAGGTAGCTAAAATTTTCGCCGTAACTTGTTTTCTCTGATTCGGTTTCATTCGACTATCATTTGTTCTCTTAAATGGTTTTTCATTTCTATGTTCGGGTTTTAAATCGAAGCAGTAGAATTGTTTGGTTTCTCACATGATTAATTTGTATGTTTGACGCTGCCTTTTCAACGGTTTATGACATCTGTTGCCGAAATTTATAAAATCTGCATTAGCTATGATATGTTGCATTGGTTTTTTCACGTTCAGTACTCGATAAATGCCATGATAAACCTTGTAATAGAATACATATAGATAATTATCATGGCATGTTTGAAGTTTGAATGACGTAAAACAGATGTGCAAAAACCTAAAAATGTTTTTACAACAAATCAGTCAAAATTAGTGTGTGAAGTATTATGATTCAAGCTAGCGAAGCAACATACCTGTGAACATTAATCCAATTGTGACCATTTGCCAAAAAATCATTCTTTCAACATATGCAGTTCAACAAAAGTAAAACTGCAATATTAACGAATCAGGACAAAAACAACTATTCACAAATAACATTTAACTTTATTTGTAGCATGCTTGGAAGTTGGAAGAATAATATCCTGCCCGCAAATCAGAAACCACAAATTCAAAGAATTTATTAGTGTTATACATTAGAACTTAAATATTTGGCTGCAGAATTGTCCTTTCTCTGCATCTGTTTGGTATCTCTTTTAAGTGTGATCTTGTAAACCTAAAAGATCTTGCACTAGGTGTTTTTTATATTATTCAATGGATTTGGTATTTCTTTAAAGAGTGTGTATAGTTATCCTGCCCAACATCTCAATTCAGAATATACTATTGTTGTATATATGATAAATAGTTAGCTGATTTTTATTGTCATGTTGTATATCAGTTTTAATGGCAATCAGATTGGTTTTTTCTTCATATCAGGTCATTGACAACATTTGTGAAGAAAATTATATGGAGGTGGTGTGGTGGATATAATGGCTGCCATTTATATTGCTGGTGTGCCATATTTGCTTAATGCGTTCCATTAGGTGCCCGGAGTTTATGGGGAGAGAAATTTGTTAAGCATACCAATGAAAAGAGACTTCCATCACATGGTAAAAATTTTATTCTTTTTTTTTATTCTTCTTCATGGATTATAGGTCAATTCTTCCAGGAATTATTTTGCTAATCTTTAAGTTAATTATATGAATTTGAACATGTAAAAGCTGAATTCACTTGCATTTACAATTTAAGTTTAGCCAATAATCCTGTAAATAGTTAAATGAAAAATACAATCAGTTGGATATGCCTTCACTGAAGGATGTGGCTTTGTTGGGTCAGGGGCGAAAATATGTGGCCCTATCAGATGGGCTTGGGGGGTGCATCCTGGGTGGGCCTTGACCAATTGAACGCAGTTCTGTCGTTGAAACAACTGAGCATTTGTTTCATGGCAGAAACTTTGGTAAGTCTTTGTGCTTTTCATTGCCTGTTCGTGTTACTAAATTTTCCCGTTATTGCAGGTGTAAAGCAAACTATTAGACAGATTACGAGATGTTCTTTTCAATGCCCCTCTGCGTTGCGTTAAACTGCACTGGATAAGTAAAAGCTTCTATGCTTAGAGTCATTATTTATCTGTTTTTCCTTTTATGATTTTACGCTTTTTAACCTAGAAATGCACACTTTTGAGTGTCGAAATTTTTCTTGTATAAGGGTACCTGGGTTAACTAATTACTATCATAGTCTGCTGTGGGAAATGGATGGGGTTGGTTTGATGTTTGCTACCAGTTCTGGGAACTTTTTGTCCCTTTTTAGCCCTTTTGAAGTACGAAGTGACGAAATGATACGATGCGCACCTGATGAGGCCCATCTGACAGGCCCAACACCTATCACAAAAGGGGCAACATGAGCACGGATTGTCTGAGAAGAGCAAGACGGACCCGTGTAGGGCAAAGGCTCATACGGCCCAACTTAATGTTTACCCGGGCTCATTTGGGAGACCTGAGAGATGTCGCCCAACAGTCAACACGAGCACGTGCTGTCTCTCAAGAGCCGGATGGGCCCACGTGTGGCCCAATATCCGACTAAAGCACGTGCATGGCTTAGCCCAGTGGGCCTATTATTCTTTCTGTCAAGTCATTTAGCCCAATTTGGCTTTATGAAAAGGCCCATTCGGAAGGCCCAACGGCTGTTCCCCCAACCCCAACAAAAGCACGTGCTTCGTGAAAGCCCATTCGACAGGCCCAAAAGCTGTTCCCCTATAGCCGACAACAGTCGGTGGATCAACAATGCCCAATTAGCCATAATTATTAATATCAAACCAATGCCTGTTGCCCCAAAGCCGAAAAAAACACATGCTTGGTCTAGGCCTGTCCGTGAGGCCCAATGGTTCCCCCAGAGACGACAAAAGCCTGTGGATCGTCAAAGCCAACCGGGTTTTGTCAAGCCTTTTCGGCCCAATTCGGTTTTATAGAAAGTCCATTCGAAAAGCCCAACGCCCTGTTGCCCCAAAGCCGACAAAATCACGTGCTTGGTCTAGGTGCATCCCGACAGGCCCAATAGTTGTTCCCCCTAAGCAGACAAAATCACGTGCTTGGTCTAGGTCCATCCGACAGGCCCAATAGTTGTTCCCCCAAAGCCAACAAAAACACGTGCTTGGTCTAGGCCTGTCTGTGAGGCCCAATGGTTGTTCCCCGAGAGACGACAAAAGCCTGTGGATCGTCAAGGCCCACTGGGTCTTGTCAAACCTTTTTGGCCCAGTTCGGCTTTATAGAAAGTCCATTCGAAAAGCCCAACACGCCTGTTGCCCCAAAGCCGACAAAATCACGTGCTTGGTCTAGGTTCATCCCGACAGACCCAATAGTTGTTCCCCCAAAGCAGACAAAATCGCGTGCTTGGTCTAGGTCCATCCGACAGGCCCAATAGTAGTTCCCCCAAAGCCCACAAAAGCACGTGCCTGGTCCAGGTCCATCCGACAGGCCCAATAGTTGTTCCCCACAAAGCATTTCAAGGCCCAGTGGGCCAAAAATTATTCTTGTCAAGCTATTGTGGCCCAATATCCCTGTATAGGAGGCGCATCTGTCAGGCCCAATAGCCAAAGCCGACAAAAGTAGGTGCTTGGTCGAGGCCCATCCGCTAGGCCCAATATCTGTTCCCCCAAGGGCGACAGAAGCACTTGCATGGTCAAAGCCCACTGGGCTTGATAGAAGGCCCATCCGATAGGTCCAACTGCTGTTGCCCGACAAAGCACATGCTTGCTCAAGGCCCTTTCGATAGGCCCAATGGCTGTTCCCGAAAAGCCGACAATGCGTGTCAAGGCCAATTGGGTCCATAATCATTCTTCTCAAGCCAGTCGGCACAATTGGGATTTACAGGAGGCCCAAACTACAGCCCCGACGGCTGTTGCCGAAAAGCTGACGAAAGCACTTTCATGGTTTTGGCCCATTCGGCCCAACATTGTATCCCTCCTGGCCCAATTTAGCGTCAGCTAAAACCGGCAGGCCCGATAGCCGTCATCAATGCTGCCTGCCAAGAGCCCGACAGACTCTAATGCAGTGGTCAAGGCACATCAGGCCCGACCTCAGTTCTTTCCAATCCCATACAGCCCAGTACAATGTCATTACAAGCCCACCGAACACGCCCAAAATCTGGTCCGACAAGAGCACATGCTGCCTAAATTGTTAATAGGTAATCACTTATAATATCTATCTATTAGCTTAAATATTATTAAAATAATGTCTTGGGTATGTATGAATAAAGTGAAGATACAAATATAATTAGAAATACACCTGGCAGGCAACAAAACCAGTTGCAATATCTACAATACAGAATTTGAAGAAACAACAAAAACAGACAATAAACTACGACATAGAACATTCGTGGGCAAATGACCATTAACAAGCTTTTCTCACAATCAATTTGCAACACCTGATAGCACTATCAATTCAATCCTCCACCTGAAAGCATAATCATTGATGGCCAAAAGAAATAAGTACAAAATCCATAAATTCATTTATGTAAAACTTGAAAGCATAATGTATCTGTGTGTGAGCCAAAAGAACATGTACAAAATCCCCCTTCTATCAGGATTTGACACATGTAACAATAATAATTTGAAAATAGAAAATATATAATAACAATCCAGTCTTTTATTTATTTATTTTAAATCAAGCAATATCAACTGCTTAGTTATTTCATTAAAATCAGTTCTAATATATATAAAAGTAATCCCTGCACCACCAATACACGTTTTCACTTTTTTTTTTTTTTAAAAAAAACAATAGAAAATTAACAAAAATCCCAATTAATGCCATCAAATGTCTCCATAATACTAAACTTGCATACTTACATCACATAATTATTCAGTCAATAGAATCCTTAAATTGTTTACTAAATAATGAGCAAGTACATTGTCATATAGGGAAATGATTTATGTATAACAAAGGATATTCATATAGGCAAATAAGTATACCAAAGCATATTCCTATATGCAAATGATTTAGGGACATTTTCATATTATCATCTAACAAAGAGGAACTTACCTTGTGGAGCACTTTCTTACTGCAAGGTTTTAGCAAGCTGTGCAGTTGATGACACACCTCAAATTCTAACACCAAACATGGAAATTGAGGAAACTGGAACCCATCACAATGCAGCCTCATATGGTAGCAGGACATAGAAGAATATTCCCCCAGCAATGGCCACTGTAAACAAATCATAACCAAGATTTCTAATTTAATATTTTGTTCATCCAAGCAGATCATAACCACCTTCACAAGAGATGCCATTCGCAAAGCATTGTAAACAAAAGCTGAGTGAAAATGCATCTAGGCTCAGTGAATTACCAGAAAGACAACATCACCAAAGCGCACAAATCTGGGTTAGTTTGATAGTAGGAATGTGCAGCTACTGGATTTTTTCTGTAGTTTTTTGGAGTTTGGAGAAAGCCAGATCATCAGCGAGCAGCCTTTGTGATGTGTGGTAACTGTACAAGTCCAAATAACCCTTGAGTAGCCAATCGGTGTAGCTAAAAAGTGTGTTTACGGTAAATAAATGCGGAGAAAACAAACAAGCCATATGTGATGAATGTTTCAAATGGATGGTGTCATGTGGCGCCTAAACACAAATTGTAAACAGAGATCTGCCTACAAAAGATCTGTAAGACTGCCTGGCTGATTCAGATATAGCAACATAGCAGCAGACTATTGCATCACTTAAATAAGATAAACAGCCTCACAATAGCTTTATGCAAGAAGTAGAGAACACGACGGTGTTCTGCTAACAATGTAATCATTCTTTTTTAAATTTATTATCATGTACACTGAATTATCAGGATCGATCTTCCTCAGCACCTCAGTATTCCAGAATTTCACAAGGTCCTGCTATAGTTTTTCGTTGCTAAACCAGATTTTATATATTCCATACACTTTTTGGCAAATGGTCACAATAAGATTGATGTTCACAGGTATGTTGCTTCGATAGCTTGAATCATAATGCTTCACACACTAATTTTGACTGATTTATTGTTAAAACATCATTTAGGTTTTTCCACATCTATTTTTACATCATTTAGATTTCCCTATATCTGTGATTTCATGGTACTGTACCATTTAGGATCGATTTCTTAGAATAATCACAAGTTCGAAATACAAACCTTTTCGCTCTTATGAACATTTCCACAAAGAAAAGCCGTGAACGATCACAATCATAACTTAAAGCTTTCATCTCTGAAGAAAACCAGTAAAACCTGCAGAAAATGCAATGTTTATACATGAATGTTTTAAATGGCATAGCAAGCAATTCGTTCACGGTAAACGCCACACATTAGTTAATTTTGAATAGTTCCAGACTTGAGCAGCCAAAAATGCTTAGATTAGTAAATATACATGAGGTTACCTACCCCGTGCCAGTTCCTGTACTTTCATGTCAGTATCGCCGGTTTTTTTTTCAACTGCAACAAACATGGCGGCCGGACAGAGGCAGACGAAGGCGACGAAGTGGATCCGTGGAGGAGGCTGCGACGGCGACGGTACCCGAAGTCGTAGACAAAAAACGAAGGCGACGGCTACACTTTCTTTCGCCCATGACTGCGAACGCGGGGGAAGCCCTCCGAAGAAAACAGAACAAATATTGAAAGAAGATCTCACCGTGGGGAGCGGAAGCACCGGAGGAGGAGAAGAAGAAAGCAAGGAAGAACGAATAAGGGAGAAGAATGAGGCAGGAGGAGAAGGAAAAACGTGAAGAAGAGAGAGGATTGTACAAGTCGTGAGGGGGGAGGCGGGCGGTTGTGCTTAGGGTTTTTTTAGGGTTTTTACTTCTAAATACTGGTAATATATTTACCGTCGTCCCAATTACCATCTTCCGATTTTTATTCGGTTCACATCTCATTTTAAATTTTTATTTACAGAAAACATGGGATAAATTAAAATTAACTTTTATTCACAGCTTGGTTTTTTTTTTTTCTTTTTTTAGAGAATAATTTCATAATAAATATTTAAAATTTATATTGACTAACAACATAAGCAAAAAAATAGAAACTTTTTCATTTGCAACCTATTTTTCATTATGTTGATTATTCTTCAATATATCCAATTCAAACATCAACTTAACTACCAACACCATATGACTTTTATAGCTTCAATACAAATAACATCTTCGTCGAAAAACATGAAACAACAAGTTCGGCATGCCGCCACCATACAGCTCTCGAAATAAGTAGACAGGCGCCGGATGCCATTTACGTGTATGCATATATATATATATATATATATCGAGCAGATTGTGCGACCTCCATCTCTTCAACAGAATGATACAGAAACTGCAGCAACTAAAACCAGGAAGATTCACATACCAAACTCCGAAGACGGTAGTCGCGCCGCCCCGATTCTTCATATAGCATAAATGACCTCCCCGCTGCTGTCAACATCCAGATCGGGATCAGAATCCAAGTCTTCCATGTCGTCGTCCATCAAGTCCAGATCGTACAACCCTGCAGGAGGAATCGTGGCTTCAGAAATGATCTGCATGATCACTTCCAGGCTCTGCATAGGCTGGTCTGGCTCTTCGAACTGGTTGCCGGTCGGGTTTTCATCCATCAGATCTGCCGGAAGGTTCTTCAGAAACCAGACATGGTCCCTGATTTCCGGCATCGTGATGCGCTGCCAAACATATGTTACAGCATCATAAGATGATCTGTATCGAAAGGATTGAATTAATTACAAGCTTACTTGTGCAGGGTCGGCTACAAAGATCCTCGATATTAGATGCTGACATTCCTCGGAGATCTTAATATTTTCGGGAATGGAATACTGAACATTTAAGATTCTCTGTATCGTCTTACTGAAGTCCTTGGGTTCTGCAGGATCTTCAAAGGGATATGCACCAACCAGCATAACATATAAAGTCACACCACAAGACCATACATCTGCAATCTGAAGTAAGGAAGTTAAGAAACTTCCTTAATGAAAGCCTGTCGAAAAGTGCACACATAAGATGTGTAATTATTTACCTTGCCATCATATTCCTTCCTGAGCAAGACTTCCGGAGCAATATATGCAGGAGTTCCCACTGTAGAATTTGGTTGTGAATGCAGCAAGGAAGACTGTAAATGCATCGTTATAGTCAATATTGGAACGGAAAAGATTGACTAATCATGCAATAGAAAGAACTGAAAACATAAGTATATTTTCAAAATTATCGCAAATAGTGTCAACAAACTCAAACAGCCGAAGATTAGATTACCTTGGAATACCCAAAATCACATATCTTCAGCCGAGGAGCTGGGCTTCCATCCAACAAGGTGTTTTCCAATTTTAAGTCACGGTGACATATTTGCTTGACCAAGAAACATAACACAGAGATTAATCAAGCTAGCTACAACTTTACACACGACTGCACCTATGTAAAAAAAACAAGGACATATTCCAAACATAAAAGAATATTGTGATACCATCGAGTGGCAGTAGCTCACTCCGGATATAAGTTGCTGGAAAAAGAAACGAGCCTGCGAAGCAGGTAAGTGTTAGTAAAAATAGTAATTACAATAAAACCCACAAACTTATCATGCAAATAAAACATTAAGAACCTCATCCTCACTGAAGCGCCCTGCATTGCATATCCGCGCAAATAGTTCTCCGCCAGATGCATACTCCATTAAAATGGCAAGATGGGTAGGCGTCAGAATCACCTGAAATAAGGTAAGGGAAATAGAACTTGAGGAAAGCTATTCAAGTAAAGTAGCTTCATAGAGATACTCAAGGACGAACCTCTTTAAACCGAACAATATTAGGGTGCCTCAAAGACCTGTGGTTGATAATTTCCCTTTGAACATTTTCATCTATCTGCAACAAAAAAGCCAACCAGACAGGTCATATTTTGAATAAATCACCAACCTCCCCACCCCATCATAAAAAAAGCATAGACCAGCCCAGGACAAAGGACCTAGTACAACATCATGCAACAAAGTAAAAATAGTGGAGAATGCAATAATAGTGTTTTATATCATTATTAGTTTGATGAACAACATGCCATAAAAATAAGTAAATTTTCACCAAAAGAGATTCTGCAGTAAAAGTATCAAGGATAATTACGGCAGGTGTAGAACTTGATTAGGTGAAGATTGAGAAATATCAAATGCATAGCAGCTAGAAAAGAGTGTGTATCGATTAATCCACAGCTACATCGGATGCATATAGCTTGAACAAAGGGTGAATGCTTAAATTATGACCACAACTACAAATATGACCGGACACAGCTTATTCGGATCCTCACCACAGGTCCAGAATTACTCTGTACCTTCTCTTTAAACTTTTAGAGAGCACTATTTTATCACATATTTATGCCCCGATCAAATGTTAAACGTATGCATTAAAATGTATAGCTTAACCATATAGAGAACACATTTGAATGATCCCTCTTATTTGAAGTAAGCAGCTTTAGGGCATTAAATTGCATCAAAGAAGAAGTAACTTCATGATTTAAGTGAATGAATTTGGAAAACAAGCTCATACCGCGCAATGCGTACAACATCCTGCTCAAACAAATGGTAAGAGGAAATTTCTTTAATGGTATAAAGGAATCACCGATGTACAAAATAGAACAAGGCGACAACCATTATATTAGTTTCACTGCATATTATCAAATGGTCAAATTTGTTTGTTGTATTCACAAGTGTAATTCAGTCATTTTTCCTCAACAATCATTGAAACTAACTAAAGGATAGCCATCATATTGTTCAGGGAACCTGTTTAGCCTCTCAATCTTACGAAGAAATAAAATTTTGAGCAATCAAGCCTGTGCATCAACCTGCTCCCACGGTAAAGAAAAAATATATATTTTTTTTTAAGATTATCAAGAAAAGTTATGTGTGAGTGTGAGTAGAAAGACAGCGGAAATGCAGATATAGATTTCAAGTATTTTACTTTACACATAAACAAGTAAAAATTAAACACCAATGTCATAATATCCTTGGGCAAGAAAGCAAAATAAAAGACATACGGCTAACAAAAGAAAATATAATCGTCGACAAACAAAGCTGAAGTTCAAACAAGATTTTGTACTTAAACTCTTACCATGCATTGAAAAGACACTGAGGAAGAGAAACGAACATCAAAATGAACAGCAATTTGAAAAAAGTAAAAACAATTTCAGCAATTTATATCCAAGAAAATGTCTCGATGGCGTTATAAATCAACGAACAGAATAGGGAACCTTTTGGAGGACTGATGATCGCAGAACAACGGGTTTAAGATCAGAAAACAATTTCCCCCGGACGGATCCAACAACAAGAAGTTGAATTGAACAATCTTGGTAAATATCTATAACCTAACTGGCTAATTTACTGATCAGAACAGACCTTTGTCAGCTTCAAAACTGTGAAAAAGTCCCCCACCATCAGAATGCAATTTTTGCAGCACCTTTCTCACCCAAAAAGGGAAAAAAGCTATATCTCCACTAAAAAAATGTCGAACCAGGAGGAATCAACAAAATTTCTAAAAGTAGACATGCCATATTTGCACAGGCAAGAATAATTGCATCCTACGCTAATCTAAACAGCTTAACAAAAAGGCAATAAAGACAATATCAAGAACAAGCTCATATACAAAATAAGCGTAATAAATTTGATATTGGCCGAAAAATTTAAGACACACAAACCTTGTCTCCTCGCTCGATATATTTAACCGCAACCAGCTCTTTCGTCTGCTTATCCCTCATCAATCGGGCAATCCCGAAGTTACCCGACCCGATATCCCGCACGAAATCGTACCGATCGCTGTCGTGCATGATCGGCATATCCATCCCTGGAACCGCTGGTATCGCCGCCCGATCCATATCAGCTTCTTCAGAAAACCCTAATTACACCTCGTCTTCAAGAACCCAACCCGATCAGCTCATTCCAAGTAAACAACAGCTAGCGCACTGGTTAGCGTCGGTGGTTATCCGACAGTTGACCGAATGAGGAAAACGAGATGGCTCAGTGATAAGTCCGTTTTGTCCCCCGTCGGAGATCCCTAATACAGATCACACACGAGGCGGTTGTTTCTGTACTTGCACACACGCGCGCACGCACGCAAATATATTTACATATATATATGTATATCGCAAGTGATTAATTAATTGATTGATTAATTTAAAAACCCATAAAAGAAAGGGATATTTTGAGATTTGTGTGGTCGGCGAAGGATAGGTTCATAGGCAGGCCTCTTCTGATGTGAACTTTGCTTGGCACAAAACAATGGCAGTGGGAAATGGCGGAGAAGAAAGTGAAGCTGACGACACATACGGTGTCGTTTTGAGGAAGCAACGGACGTTGGATACGACGACGCGATTGGACAACCGTTTGAATAAAATGACGATAATACCCTTCTGTTTTGGATAACCTTCGTCAATACTGAGAATTCTACCAATTAATTTTTAGGTGACTGAACTTTGTTGCATTATTGCTATTGTTATTATTTTTATATAGGTGTATCATATTGGAGTAGTTATAGGCTCTCTTTACCCGCTATTTATTTTTCAAAAAATATTATATTAAATATAATTTTTTAATAAAATATTAAATTAAATACTAATTTTTTTTATATTTTTAAATTTTTAAAAATTTCCAAAAACCCTTATTTATACAAACCCATTAATATTGTTGAATTAATAAATAATTAAAGTTTTCATTAATTTATTTGGGAAGAAATGGTGTTTGGATTACGGATACTATCCAACGGCTACGGGACCATTGCAATGATGATCGGTTGACGGCAGCCCTAAGATCCTTTGTGCGGAGGGTACGGAATTTTATTTAAATATTTATTTTTTTAAAAATGCGAGCTTTGTGGGATTTCAGCAGCAGATAAGGTTGGCGGGGCCTACTTTCATCGACGATTAAGATTTGATATTGAGATGATGATCGCAGGAACTCTCCAGATTCAAGAGAATCCTATGTTGCTTTGCGTCGGTCGCGTGGAATCGGCATGGGTGGAGCGATCATTCCGGAATACAGAGGCGAATTTGAGCTCAAATTGCAGGATTAGAAATTGCTTTCCAATTACTGACTGCGTTCTTTCAATTTTGGCTGCAATCAAATTTTGGTTGCATTTCCTGTAAGAGCGTTGTTGGATCGATATCGCTGTAATGCATTTGCTGTTTGGACGATAGATGAGTTTGCGTTTGGCTTATTTAATTGAAAGTGTGTTTTCGTTGCTGAAATGTCTTTTTGAATCAAATCAATCTCCAGTCAATACTGCACCAGAAGAGCAACCAGGAAAAAGCAACAGAACTATGAGGTGAAAATCATTCTTCTTATGACGCCTCTCGTCTTACTCGGTCGATGAATAGGCTGATGAGGCTATTGCCTTTGCTCGAATCTTATTTTTCTGCAATTTGAGACTTATTCTGTGAGATAAAAAGGTTTCCACACGATTAGCTAGTTTTGATTTCTGAACCACACATCGATCATTTATTGGAAAATCTACAAATTGGAACTTTCCTACTTCGTTAACTTGAGGTTTCGTTTCAAGATGATGATGATGTGATGCAGACTTGCAGGCAATTATGTTGCCTAAAGATCAGAGTGCATTTCTTCCTTGTTTTTTTTTGGACTAATTTTATGTTCTATGTTTCTACTTCACTGTTCATTCCTTTCTTCACTAGAATGTTATTTTTCTCCATGTATTTACAGGTGCGAAGCTACAACCCACTGCAAATCTTGGTCATAAATTGATTGAAGGTACTTGGATCATATCTACCTCTCTCATATTATTATGATAGGGCTGGCGTGAAAAAAGGCTCATGCCCTGCAATCGAGAGCTACTCAAAGGCTGCCTAATCTGGTATGTAAGTCGATCGAGCATCGAACAGTTTGTCTGCACACAAATTTACCTTAATAATTAGAACACCACAATTCATGGCCCTTGATTATCTGAAATTGTCAAGAAGCAGATAGATGCCTAGTGGAAAACACGTTACTTTCCCAAATAAGACGAGGCACACAAGGGAATCAAATCCATGGATCCCCTCAATTAGGATCACGTACGTCGACTAGGTACCTTTATCATTATTATAATTATTCATTTCATAATTTTGTGTGGCGAACTGATAGCGTTTGAATAACATGTTTTAGGAATCTTGAATTGAATACCCTGTTTTTTTTGTTTTTTTTTTTTTATTCATTATAATTTTTCCTAGTTTCCCAACTTGGTTGTCTTCATTCTAGTGGATCATGAATCATCTTCATCATCACAATCATCATCCCTTCTTAGGTCAGTCAGCTGGAAAAGACCTACAGAATTTTATTTACCGTTGGTCGTGGCTTATTCTCAGAAAATTATTATATTCTGATGATCCATCTTTATTTTGCTCAACTTATATGCTCTTTTTCATTAGATTGGATGACTAATTCAGGATAGATGCTGCTGCTGCTTCTGATTCCTATCCATTTTTAAAAAATCGTGAGGTGCAAAAACAATCCATCTCGATCTCGAATATATGATGAATTCTGATAATTCCCTTTAGTGGGCTTATGCACATAACCTGTTTGTCACAAATCAGATCTGATCGATATATTCTGCAGGATTTCCAGCCCTTGGAATTATATCTTCAACTGCAACAAGAAAGGTGAGAAAGAACCAATCTTGGCTTCTTAGTCTCATTGTTCTAAACCATATCAACTTCTCTGAGATTATTTCTTCCCCAGAAGGGAGACATTTATAAGATCATGTTAAAATGGGATTCCAAGTAAATATACCAAAATGATAACACTGACTGCTGAAAGCCATGAAAAAGATTAACACTGTCTTGCAGTAATCCAGCCATTGGTGTATACCAAAAAGAAGAATCATTGGCAGCCATCCATTTCTGAGAATGGCAGAATCATGTACTGCTACAGACACAATTTGCCACCACAGAGGTCTGAAATGTGACTTTCTGCACTGAAACAAACTACAAGTATTTATTTATGTTGTACAGCTTTGTTCCATGTCTAGGAAGAATATTTCACCTGCTGCTTTATTGTAGTTTGAGCCTAAATTTCATCAATGGAAAAAAAAAAAAAAAAAAGAATCCATTGTGACCACCATTATTTCATGTGGCTTCATTTTGTTATGGTTTCTTCTTCAGGGTATTTTATTTTTATTTTTATTTTTGAAAAAAATAAAATACTTTAGCAGGTGAAATATTGAGTGGGATTTACACTTTCCAGGTCAATTCTGTCTGAAACCTTGTAACTGTCCAAAACATTTACTATATCAACGGTGAAAGCGTTTGAGTTACTTTGTTGTGGAATTTTTGTTTGTTGCTAGAAATATTAGGGTTGATTGTGATATTCCACAATGGAATTATTTTATTTTATGAAACAAAATCAATTATTGTCAAAAGAAAGTATATAATTTTGCAATTATTTCTTTCATATTTTCCAATATCACACACAACGTACGTACATGCATGCATTCGTACACTAACATTGTAGGCATTCCTCATGCCCCCTTTTTGGGAACAAGAAAAATTTTTTCTTGAAAACATTAATTCAATTTAAGGGTGTCTCCATCCAATTATCTAAAATGTGTTTAATTTTATAATCATCATTAATTTAAGAAAGGCAAATCCATGATGTAATGTCTGTTAATTTAATAACTCAACATAGAATTATTTTTGGTTAAATAGGCTTATAAAATTTAATGGATTCTTTGCGTGACAAGAGAGGGTTCATCAATAAATCATGAAGGATCGAATTTTTCATAATAGCATCTACGAAGAATATTTTTGTACCATAACATTGAAAGAATATTTTATATTACCCTTCTTTTTTTTTCCCCCTCAAAATATTCTATTAGTAAATTGCAAATGTTCTAAAATACTTCGTAATTTTATTCATTAAAGTCATTAAAGTATGATAACTTATTATCAACAATTTATTCATTTTAATTATTACATATTAACATCTTAATTTGATTGAAAATAAAATGTATATAAGAGCTTAATTGGATAGTTAAAAATAATTACAATCAATTTTTAAGAAGAATAACAAATCAACCAAAATGTATATAATTTATAAAAGTTTCGATATTTGCCATCTTGTAGGTGAAATGTGATATTTTTGCATAAAATTATATATGTGTATATATATATATATATATATGTTTTTATTGGAAACAATAAGATGCATAGTAAAATTATTGACAAAAAATTTCAAAAAAAAAAAAGTTAAATATTCCAATAGTATTTAGCATTTACATAATATTGTCCTTTATTTTTATATCTGACAATATCACAAAATTAATGTCTTTTCCTTCTAAACAAAAAAGAAGATATTCAAATCATGATACAAAAAATAATATTTCTGACTTTTCCGTTTTGAACAAATAAAAAAACAATTTTTTGTTATTTTATAATTCAAATATTTTGCGTAACAGTTACGCACCGATAGGTAGATAGTTGTTGAATCGTACTGACTCATTTATGATACAAGTAATCCACATTTATTTACTTTAACAGTTGTATACTGAAAATATAATTCAAACCGGTATAGAGTAAATTACAATAATTCAAATTCGAATACCTCAACCTAATAATCTAATATTAATAATGAAAAATTATATACAATTTATCGTAAGCAAAATTTCAAAAAATACAACCGTTTATCGTAATATTGGAAGGGATATCGTGTATTGCATAGAGCATATTTTGTACATAAAAATCACTCCACAAGGCAACTAGAATTGAATCAAATTGCCTATACATATACAAAGAATTCTTGATTCACAATGCCTTTGTTGTTTGGAAAGTAACAACAAATTCACTCATTCTTGACATGATTCTCTAATTGCAAATTCAAAAGGTTGCAAGATTAAATTTGAAAATCCAAAATTTCTTTCCATTGTATCCATACATTTATTACACCAGTGTGACTTTGACAAACAAAAATAATAAATTCACAACATATCCACCGAATCATGAAATCATCAATGACAATGAAGAGGTCGAAATCCCTCAAGAATTGAATGTCATTATATCCCATATAATAAAAAGAAAATGGATATGCAAAAAATAAAAAAGGGTAATCCCTAATTAACTTTTTTTTCCCTCTAAATGAGTCATCATCAATACGAAACTGATTTCATTTAAAGCAATTGTTGAAATTGGTCCACAATATTACAAAGAATCTGATCACTTTAATCCCACACAAGGTTTCACTAATTCTATTATTATTATTATTTTCAAGAAATCTATGGGCAAAAATCCCAAAAGCCAGAATTTCATTCTTATCAAAAAGGGACACTTTTTACCCAAAAAGACAACTTTACCCTCACCACAGACCCCTTTTGGAAATTCTTGTAAAACTGGGTAACCCAAAAGCAGCCCCTTGGATTAAAGAAAATTTTCAAAAGCACCCCCAACATTTCTGCATTTGACAAGGAGATTCCCACCCCACTAATTACCCATCAAATCTGACTTACCTGTGAATTTACCCCTGTAATAAAAATAAAAATAATTGAAAAAAAGTGTGTTTTTTCACACCACAATATGCGACGAAACGAGTGTGAAAGAATCGTCTTTACTAACTCACTCCATCTGAGAAAAAAAAGAATCACAGGTTTCTCAGAAATTTATTGCATTTCCCATTTTACCCTTCTCCTCTGTACACTCCACTTCAGGCCTATATAAACGGGATCCCGTTCCCACTCTTCCATGCATTTTTTCTCCTGGGCGATGCAAGGAAATCGAAAAACTTGCAGAAAGGGTATCTTTTTCTTTGCCATTTGATAATCGGAGGGTGGGAAGCTGAGAAATTCGGAAATGGGTTCGAATCTTTTGCCTAAGCCATTTTCTGATATCCTGACGGAAGTGTCGATGATCCATGATTGTTCTGCGAAAGTGGCGAAGCTCGACTTTTATGTGCAGTCTTTGGAGGAGGAAAGGAAGAAAGTCGAAGCCTTTGAGCATCAGCTCCCTTTATCGGTGATCCTCCTGCAAGAGGGTCGGTTTAAATTTTGATTTTTGATCCATTTAAGTTTCTGATTGATTTAATTAATTAATTTGATCTGGGTGTGTTTTGGGGCTTAATTTTTCTGCAGCGATGGAGTTTCTAAGGAAGGAGATGTTGAAGTGGAAGGGGAAGGAAATCCGCCGGCCGCCAGTGACGGAGGAATTCATCCCGCTGAAGAGCGGCGGCGGCGGCGGCGGCGGCGGCGATGGGAGGGGGAAATGGTCGAATGAAATTACGACCGATAGGAAGAATTGGATGAGTTCTGTTCAGCTATGGAGCACTCCCATTCACTATGAAAATCATCTCAGCATTCCAAAGAGTCAAGACTCTGTTTTGTCGCTAAAACCAGTCAGTTTCTAATTAAATTTTTCTGTCCTTTTAAATTTCTTTGTCATTTCTGTTAAGTTTCGACGATCTCTGTGGGGATTTTTGCAGAGGCACGAAGAAGAAGAGGGAGGCAGCGGTGGTTTTAATTTCAAGAACATTGGAGGGGCATTTCTGCCATTTCACAAAGCATCTCCATCTCCATCTCCATCTCTTCCGACAAAGAAGCGTGACAGGGACAGGGACAGGGACGTGGTGCTGCCGGAGGAGGTTCTGTCGCTGTCGATGCCGGCGGCTCAGGTGGAGCCCCTGGATTTGAATACAGTCAGGCCTCCGGCGCCGCCGCCGCTTCCCAATGCCGCCCAGAAGAAGCAGCGCCGCTGCTGGACGCCGGAGCTGCACACTAAGTTTGTGGATGCATTGCAGCTGCTGGGAGGGCCACAGGGTATGCTTTTCTATCCATCGATCGATGTCTTTCATAATTTCTTACAATCTGGAAAATGGCAAAAAGCACATTTCAATGCTTTTCAAGAAACATTTGACTAAAAAAATGGGTTGAAAGATTGAATATCAAAGGAAGAAAGCTTTCTAATTTGGGAACATTGTTGTTTTTGGGAAGCATGTGTTTTCTTGAATATCAAAGGAAGATTTGACTTAAATTTTGTATTAAAATACCTTTAACAGGTATCATATTTTACGAAAAAATATATATATATTCGAGAAATAAATTACAAAAACTAATTTTTGAGTGAAATTGTGATTGAATTTCAACATCTATGGCTATCTCCATATGTGCATTTTGCAGACGCAACCCCGAAGCAAATAAGAGAACGGATGAAAGTGAAAGATCTCACAAATGACGAAGTCAAGAGCCATTTGCAGGTAAATAAACAAATAATGATATCAAGATACAAATATTTGTACCAAATTTCAATGATCGATCTATTTCCTAATTTCAGAAATACCGTATGCACATCAAAAGGCTTCCTAATCATCCACTAGCTGCGCAACCAAATAATGACCTCTCATGGCCAACAAATGATCATCAGGGAGATCCGTCGAAGCGCACAGCTGGAAGCTCGGCTTCGCCACAAGACCATTTGCATGGCGGGGGATCAGCTAAAGGAGGATCGGCAAGCATGGAGGAAGAGGAGGAGGAGGAGAAGTCTGAAACCACAGCTAGATCGGGTAGAAAGTTAAATTGATCCATGGTTTTGAATATTACAAATATATACATGAAAGAAACATGGTGAGATTTGCGAATAATTGAGTGACATACAGATTATTGCGAGGCAAATTTTATTTTGGTTTTTCGTTATTTCAATCAGTTCCTAAGGTTAGACCGGATATTTCTCGGCTTGTTATGTTGTCATGGAAGTGTATCCATACTTTTGTAGCTTCAGTTTGAGGACTATTATCATATATGATAATATATACATGTTTTCATTTAGAAAAATTTAACATATCATTGTTGTCATGATGAGAAGATCTTGTATCTCATCAAATTCCTTGATATTTTAGGTTTGGTATCGAAATATAATATTTTGGATCAATTATTTTAAGTAGTCGCTAAATATATATATATATATAGCGCTACGAGAATTATCTTATTGAACAATAAAATGTTAATTCGTAATATTTTATAAGAGAAAAAATATTTCAATAATGCTAAAGTGTTTAAATTTATTGTGTAAAAGTTTCTCTCGTTTTGGCCATAAAAATTACTTGTAATTATTATTTCTTTTTTCCCAAAATAAATTATCAGGTGAGAAAATGTCGAAATTGGATATTGAGAATTCATTTACAAGGATTCTTTAAGGCCGGAGTTCAGATATTTTGTGGTAGAGACGCGACCAACTATAGAGATGCATTAACAATTCATTTCACGGTGCAATTATTTGTATAGACCATTTATTAATATTTCAACATGCCAAATGAAATGTTATGCTAATATAATTTTACTTTTTGTTTAATTAATTGTTATTGGGCATTCAATCCAATCCAACTCAAATTGAATTGGACTATGGACTTATTCAATATTTATTTATGTATTTATTTCTTTTTATTGGGCCATGATTGATTTGATATATTAGAATCTCAAGTTGTTCGGTGAATTTGTGAATTGGATGGATGTTTCAATCCACTTTAACATATACAATCCAAAGTAATAATCTTTTCTTAATAAAACACTTAAAAAAATAATAATAAATAAATCAATAACATAAGAATGAGGTGTGGCTCCATAACTTGAGCAAATTCCCAAGTTTCTAATTGCATGAATTTTGTTCAGATTCAGGTCCAACTTTAATTTCCTCCATATGAACAAAAGCCTCAAACTAGTACAAAATCTTTCTAGTTTCTACATTACTAGCTCATCACTAATCACACAATTCCTCCCACAAAAATATTTTCTTCAAATCTCTCTATTTAAATTTTCCAACACTTATCTTCCCTGGCATCCATTTTCCAAAGATTCTACCTATAGAAATGACTCGACTTAATGGAAAATTTGAATTTCGACTACTCGTTGTCATCGTCTTCTTCTTCCAGGCTTTCTCCTCCGGTGAACTTTCCACCTTTAAGGCCCTCGCAAAGATAATGGTCCAATGAAGGGCTTCGGTTCGAAAGGTCTACCATATCTTCTTGATGATCCCCTGTCGTAATATTACGATGTAAGTGCCTGTATTTCTGAAATTAGGACATGGATTCATCATCCAAGTTTAATAAAAATAAATAAAGGATTGCACATATAGTACTAACAACACCTCAAATATAAATCAATAAGTCCACAGCACATGCACAATGTATTACGATTGATTTTAGCGTAAGAGAAATGTACATACAACACATAAAATATGAAATTAGGGTAAATTAATGTTTCAATTAGCATAATACACAAATTAGGTTGTCTCCTTTACCTGCAAATGGCTTGCGATTTGAGATGTGGTGAGGCCTTCAGTTTTCATATGTTCATTTATCTGCGTCGCCGTGGCGTCTGCAAAATTGAATTTCAACAACAAAATCACTCTGAAAAAATTAAATTCATAAACTTTAATTTTTCCAAGCATTTAGACGTAGTATTTATGCAAATTTGTATACGTACGTTGTGGCCCTCCCAGGGATTCGACGACTTCGACGAATTTCTGGTGCAACGATGCCGTCCAGACAAGCTTATGCTTTCCCTTGCAGACGGGCTCCGGCGGCGAAGGAGGCGGCGCCGAATTCAAATCCAGAAGCTCCGTCTGCACCACCGGCGGCGCGTCCCTGTCAGTCTCCGATTCATCCTTCTTGAATGGACAAAATGCCCCGATCGTGTTCTTGAAATTAAAACAGCGATCGACGACTAGTTGTTAGACAAATGATTTTTTTAAAAAAAGAAAGGGATCGAAGAAACGTTAATGAGAAAGAATTCAGGATTCAGATTCTTACAGGATTTAAGGAATAGAAAGTGTCGTTGGGTTTTTTGGCACTGAGATCAATATCGAACAAAATGGGAGAGGTCTTCGCACCCTCGTCATCCTCCGACGACAATTTTCTCTTTCCAAGTGTATCGCCGTCGCTGCTCCGCCGCGGGAGTAATTCCTCCACCGCCGCCGGCAATTCGATTTCATTTCCCTTTCCCCCTTTCAAAAACTTCGCCACTGCAGAAATGGAAACCCTAATTCATCCACGTTAATTAAACCCTCGCTAAATCATTCGAAAATCAAAATTTCTGCAAACAAACACAAAATTATATATATATATACATATTGAGAAATTTAATCGACCCTGATCAATGACGATGGTGGTAAAAGGGAGGGCACCCTGGAAAAGGGTGACTTTTTGGAGTTCTTCTTCCAAACAATGGGCAAAACCAGCCATGGTGGCCACTTTCGTCGAACAGTCCTGAATCTTGGACATGTCCGTAAGAAATTCAGAAAATAGCTTCGCAAAGGTATTGGAATCCATGGCAGAGTTCTTTTTCGATCGTTGATCTTACAAATCCTTCCTTAATTTCGTGGAGAGATTTGAAAGGGTAAAGTAAATCCGCAACTGCATGGATTTAGATTGGAGTAATGATTCGATTGATAGAGAATAGATGGATGGATTATCGACGGATGGATTCCAATACTTTTGATTTTTATTTTTTATTTAAAAAATAAAATTATTTTATGATTTGCAGTCGTTTGATTACTCTCCAGTTTGTTCGAAGAAAGTGGCGAACTTGGAGGTTTATGAAAATCATCTCGCTCTGTCTCTCATTCGACTAAGCTGAAGATTTATCCATCTAGGGCGTGTGTTCGGTTGGAGTAGTTTTGTTAATTTTTACTATTAGGTTCTACTGCAGTTTGTATCTTATAAAAAAAATTTAAAATAAAAGTTAGACTCACACATAAAAAAATAAAAATGAAAAATAAAAAAACAAACCTGATGTAAAAAATATAAATACCATATCATTTTACCAATCAAACAAAAAAAGTTGAAATTCTAAATATAATAAATCTCGTACATATAAAATTTGAAATCTTAATTCCAAAAACAAATCTGTGAATCAAGCAGTTGATAAGAGTTTAACTATTAAAAAATTTAAATGAAATTTATTTATATAATTATTGCAGTGGGACCCACCCTATAAAAATAAAATAATAAAAAAGAAGACAAAGTCACCAAAAGTAACACTATTCACGTATCAATATATTCATTTACGTTTTAGCTGGAGTTTTAGAAATATTAGTATTATATTAGGATAAAGTAAAAATAAAAGTAAAAAAATTAAATTAACTCTAGTATTGTACTCCCTTCGTCCATTTACAAAGATTACATTTACTTTTGGCGCGGTATTTAAAAAATAATAGTATTTTAATTACAGTGAGTAGTTAAAGGTAGTGTAATGACATTTTTGCCATTACTTTTTTTTTGTAAAAGTAACGATGTGATGTAAAGTAAAGGTATTTGTAGAAAAAAATAGGATATTTAATGAAATGTAAACTTTATAATTGGACGTCCCAAAATAGAAACATGTAAACTTTGTAAGCGGAAGTAGGGAGTATAATATAAAGATAATAATATTTGTGTAATATGTTGTAAATTAGAAGGATATTCGTAATATTAAATAGATAGTACAATTACAAAAAAAAAAGAAAAAGATATTTTGTTATGAAATAAATCAAAATAAAAAAATGGATATATTGTTAAGGGACGAAGATAGTACATAACTAATTTAGATTAGTTTAGATTGGATATATAGATATTAGATTATATTATATTTATATATATATATATATATTGTAGGGTGTGTTTAGCTCATTCATATTGAGCTACTGCTTAAAAAGAGCGAACCTTTTCGAATCTTTTCTTATATCACAAGAGCGTAAGAGCATTTGTTAAGGTGAGTGTCTCTACTATATTATTTTTTTTGTATCTCTCCTTCCAATCATATATATTATTATTTAAATTATTTTTTTCAACATCCATTATAATATCATTATTTTTACCTATTATCTTTACAATTTTATAAAATTCATCGTAATGATTTATTTTTATAATTTTTTATTATCTAATAATATATAAATAATATATATTACGTAATATTGTACTATTTTATTTTTAAGATATTAATTTATATAAATTATAATAATATTATATAAATTTTTATATTATGAAATATTAAAATTATTCAAATTTATAAAATTAATGGCATTTAAAAATCTGAATGATTGAAATAGACTAGGATTAATATATTGCCCGAATAATTTTTTTTTTGATAATTTTGTTAAAGAATTAGTTGAAAAAAAAGAGTAAATATAAAATTTTTTTAGAAAAATTAAATGTTAAAATTGGATATATAAAAAAATTATTAAAAAAAAGCGGTAAGTTGTGATCTTTTAAAATAAATTTGAATTTGTATTGTACAGATAAATATTGATAATTTAAAATTTTAAAATTTAAAATTTTAAGTTATAATTAATTAAACAATTATTTATTTATTATTTTTAGAAAGTAACCAGTTTTTGATAAAAATAATAAATTGATATTAATTTTATTTCCTAACAAAAATAATACATTTTATTATAATAAAGACTTAAAAAGGTAATGAAAAAAGTAATCGTAAGTGATATTCTTGTTTCCTTTTATTGATTTCTTTTTCCCGTCGTTCCATAAGCATAGAAACTTCAAATCCAATTCCTTCATTCTCCAGCAGTCGTCTTTCTCCTCTCAGAAATCAAAATTCTCTGAACTCCAACAATAACCAAATGGCTGAACTTCATCAATGCATACATCCGACTTTACGCCCCACAGTAACAGTCTTTAGCGCGGAAGATTATGATTGTTCATACGACTATTACGTCTCCGACAATAACCCTGCCGACAATTTCTCATACACTATCACTGAAGAATCAGGGTTTCCTGTAACCTTTGAGTTCATGTTCAACTTCCAGATAAAAGAAGAGATTTGGCGAAGGTACTCAGCCAATCCACAGGCGTTTAATCGATGCGAAATGCATACCTCCATCAAAATCCAAAAGGATCAATTATTCAACGACGAGGAAGAATCCTCGAAATTCATCGACGACAATCTCCGTCTTTGGCTCTTCCACGACGACGACCGCAGGTCGGTGGTTCAGTTTGCATTGGGAAAAGCATACAAAGCTATCGACTCTTTGGAAAATGATTCAAAATGGAATGCGATCGAGATTTGTTGTCCTGTTACCATAGAGCACCACCACATTATTTACGATGAGCGTATGCCGCCGCCGTCGATGGAGGTTGCGGCAGGGGGCGCCGGCATGGTCCCGGCAAAGGAGTCGTCCATAGAGATGTTGACACGTGTAGCGATGCCGATGGATTCTGAAGAGAGCTGCACTGTTTGCTTGGAAGAGTTGCGGGGAGAATGGGAAGGCGTGGCGATGCCGTGTGGGCATGTTTTTCATGGAGATTGCATCAAACAATGGCTCAGGACGAGCCATTATTGTCCTTTATGTCGTTTTCAATTACCAAAGCAAAATTAATTAGCAGTTCCAATATTTTGTATTTTTTTATGAATTTATATTATGCATAAGAAATTGAGTTAGTAATATAGAAATTACTCATTTGTCTCACATAATTTATTTTCATTTTTTATTTTCTATCACATAATTTGTTCATCCTGTTTTTTTTTGAATTAGGATTATACATTTTATTACATTAAAAAAATTATAAAATTTAAAATGTAATAAAGCGTATAAAATTATAAAATTTAAAAGGTAATAAAGTGTATAATCTTAAACCATTTAATTATTTTAATCTTAATTTATAATTATTTTTACTGAATAATCATTATTTGTATATGGGACGAGGAAGTAATACTTTGGATTGAATTGTTGATTTCTGGGTGAATATAATATATATTCCCTTCGTCTCAAAACAATAGAGACATTTGAGATCAACACGAGAATTAATAATTATATTGATAGTTGGTGTAAAAATATTTATAAAAGACTAAAATGCTCCAATTTTTTTTAATTATTATAAAAAAATATGAATAATTTTGTAAAAAATGTGGTTGGTTATTAAAAATGAAAATGAGACTTACGTGGAAAAAATAAATATTACTTCATCCGTCCCATAACAAAGTATCCATTTTTCCATTTTAGTCCGTCCGATAACAAAGTATCAATTTCTATTTTTAGTAACTATACTATCTACCTAACATTACAAATACCTTTACAACTTACAATAAATTACACAAATGTCATTACATTTATATCACACGTACTAATAAGATTATTTTAGTAATTTCTATTTTATTCATATTATATCTCAATATAATACTAATATTTCTAAAATTACCTACAAAAAGCAAATGAATATTTACTTGTGGGACGGAGGGAGTACTATTTTATAGCACTTAAGCAGTATCATAATATTTTTATATTTCCTTATTCGTTCATATCTATTCTTTTCTTTTTTTTTATTTTTATCATTCAAATTTATTCTCGTTTTTTCTTTTAGTAAAAAAATATCACTTTTTCTAATTTTTCTTTATTCAAAAAAGTAAAATTTCTATTTTTATATATATTTTTTAAATACGTGTGGTCAAATGAACACACAATTGGACGACAGATAAAGCAATATTTATAAGGAATCTTGTCTCTTAAAAATAGATTGGGTAAACAAAATCATAATCTCACGTTGTCACGAAACTAAGTCAAAATATTTTTCCCAAAACTTTGCTATCGAAAAAGAAAAAAAAAATGTAAGGAGATTAATATTGATCGATTCTTATTGAATAATTTACAAATAAAGAGACTACCTCTTTGTGTATAAGTCAAATCCAAAATGGACGGTGAAGATAGAATATTTGATATAATGGTCTAGATCAATAATCTAGATTATATATACTCTAGTATCCTATAAACTTCTACACAATATTTTTAAATTTGTTCGTCATATATCTCATGTCATTTTTCTTTTTTTAAAAAATAATTACATACTTTAATCTCATTTTAAATTTTAATTAAACTAATTAGTTATCTTAAATCTTAATTTATAATTACTTATATTATAGGATAACTATTTTTACTATTCTAAATTCTCATGTCTACAGTGACCCAGATATCCAACGTAGGACGGAGGAAGTAATATTTATAAATGATTTAAATAACTAAAAATTCATATAATTCTACTATTATCCAAAAGGTTCTAAGAACTCTTTCCTTAACCCTTCAAAATATTGAATGGAATTTAAAAGAATTAATAACGCTGCTTCAAACCTATAGGAGGTTGAAAATTAACCTTCATGGAATTCAAATGCAAAAAGCAGATACGAATATTAAACTTCAATTTTCCACCTCCAAATTTCATACATTTTTAAATATTGATAGTAATGTTTCTAAGCATATTATTTTTTATTTTTTTGATATATATAAATTTTGGTTAAGGCATTTTTTAAAAAATAATGTTGTTTTGTATTCTTATATTATACATATCATAATATTATATAATATATGCTATTTATCGTTTCTTCTTTGATTTCTCTTCAGAGTTAATTTTTAATTGAGTATAATAATACAAAAATAGATGATACTATAGAATTCTCGAATGTTCGATTACTTTCTCACATAAATAAGTATGAAGTCAAACCAAGATATTAAATGTAAGTGTCGAATATAAATAATGTTCATTTGAGATACTTAAAGAAAAATAATAAATGCTTCTCCGAGCTAAATAGTTGAATATGCTATAAGATTATTTCCATTCGAGGTAAAAGTCGAATATATAACAACATTATTCATGCAATAAATACTGTATATTAAAGATATATATACATAAAAAAAAAAAAAAAAGTTTTCTATGTTGTATTATTTTCATATTGTGTAATTAACTTTAAATTAAAATATTAAACATAGACATGAGTTTAAATCAATATTTTGAAAAAGAAAAAAAAATGCTGTCGAAAAATATATATTAAAATATAAACCAATCAATATTATTCCTTTTTTACAACCAGTCAACCAGTCAATATATTAAAATGCTATTGGGGTGGTTTTTAAAAGTTCAACCAGTCAATATTATTACAATTATTTGTATCAGTCCTTTTTTACACACCTATTATATTAGTTGCATATGGATATGGCCTGAAGTGTTAGAGTTATTGATTTTATTTCTAGCTATTTCAAATTGGCCCCAGTTCATTCAACACTGTATAATATTAATTGGGCTACAATTAGGCCGTAATATATAATATGTCTAAGTTGACATTTAATATTATTAAAAATCAATCAGCTGTGTGGAATGTATGTGATGTAACATTGGGCATGTTAAGTAATTAAATAAAAGCATAATGATTCATTTTGGTGCATTTTTTGGAGTATTACTTTTATTTGAATAATAATTTAAATTTACTTTTTAATGAATAGAAAATGATATGTTTTTATAAGAAAATATGAAACTTTGCAAGATTAAAAAAACACAAGCACACAAAAAGAGAGAGAGAGTCTGCTTTTGACTTGTTTTCTTGATTTCCTAAATTTGATGCAAGAAAGTCATAGCAAATAAGCATGATAGAAAGATTTAAATAATAATACGTGTACGCCTGATTAAACTAATGGGAAATATATTGTTGGATTGTGTGTAATATTAAAATAATTAAGTGTGATCACAGATCTACCAGCTATAGCTGTGGTGGAGGGAGAACAGATAGAACAGTGAATATAAAACTTATTCTCTAATTAATATTTAAGTCTGTCACCCTTCTGAAGATCTAATTCTTGAAAGCTATATATATATATATATATATATAGAAATTGATGGACTTATTAAGAAAGGAGGATGACAATGTATATACACACATATGCATAAATATGTATGTATATAATGTAAAGGACAAAGAAGTGTGTTGTTGTGGTTGTGCAGGAGGCAGAAGGTATTATTACATGATGGTGACTTGACTTGTCAGGGATGGAGGGAGAAGAAGAAGACCATAGTTCTCACAAGTCATATCCCCTACCTGTGTGAATCTTGCTTTCCTATGCATTTCAGACAGTATAACCCTATTTGTGTCACACAGAGATTCATACCCATCCCCATATCTCTTTGCATTTAATATTAATGAGTAATCAATCAATCAACCAACCAACCCAAAACAAATCAATAATAATAAGAAGAAGAACTTCAAGAATTAAAGTTTACCTGGATAGGATGGATGATCAGGATTTGGGAATTTGTTTGTATGAATGTATATATAAAGCTCAGAAGGTAGGTGGGCCTCTGAATATTCGACAATATTATATATGTATTTATATATTGAAGTAATTAACAGTAGCTGTAGGTACTAAGGAGAAGGACCAATGCTCCCGGGCTCCTCGCTCTTTCCTCTCGTTTGAGATTGTGGAGCTTGCGGAACCACTAATGGCGGCTGCTGCTGCTGCTGCTGTAAAACAGGCCCATGATTCTGCACATGGAAAGGAATGGCGGCGGCTTCGTAGGAATTCCCCAGCGCCAACGATGGCTGCTGCTGCTGGTGCTGAATCTCCACGCCGCCCATCTGATTAAACCCCGCCGCCGTCACGGTCACGACGGCGCCGGCGTCGTCAAACCCATTGCTAAACCTCACCATATCACTCTGCTGCAGTTGCTGGATTCTAAGCATCTGTTGCGCCTCCAGAAACTGCTGATGCTGATGCTCCGGAACAATCATCTGGGAATTGTACGGCGGCGCCACCTGATACGGCGAGGCGGCGTAATTGAAAGGCGCGGCGGCGGGGTGGTTCTGCAGCATGGGCAGCATGGCGGCGGGGCCAATGTAGGTGGCCAATTCCTTCTTGGCAGTGTCCAGGTCGTGCTGCACCTGCTTCAACTTCTGCTGCAGAATCGAGATCAGCCCGACGCATCCGTACACCGGGTCCCGCAGGCGGCACTCGGCCTCGTAGGCCAGCGAATTCACGGCGTCCTCCCGCTGGGCGGCGCCCAGCTCGTTCAGCAGCTTCGCCACGTTGCTGGCGCCGAACACTTTGTGCACGTTTGTGAATTTCTGCGGATTGTCCGGCGGGAAGTACGGAGCGAAAGCGCAGTCCTGGGTGCACTTCCGCCGGAGACACTTGCAGGCGGCGCATGGAGAGTTCGACATAGACATGTTATTCTTCTTCTTCTTCTTCAATGCCTCCTCGCCTGTAATTGTAAACCAACATTATTATTGATAGGGTAGCTTAATCGATTGTCTAAAAAAATGGAATAGTTTCAGATTTTATAAAAGATTTTGTCGAAAGAAAGGCTTAATCGATCTATCAATCCATCAGTTGTTGGTAGGGAAGTTTATATGAAAGGTGCACATGCAAAAGGGGAGAGAAATCTTATTAAAGCATAATATATTCATTCAACGAAGCTTCTCTCACCGAATGAAGAGAAGAAGCGAAGCAATCAAAGAGTGAGAATATCGAAGAAGCCGACATGGAAAGTCAATAGCTGTCATCAAAATCAAGTCAGTAATTGCAATTTTATACCACAAAGTCAGAAGATTGAATTTAAATTGGGAAAAACAATCGAGGAAGAAGATGAGATCAGAAACAACGGAAATTGATGAACTCCGAAACTCGGAAAGATTGATGAAATTAAACTAAAAAACAAAACATCACTAAATTCTACCCATGGTGAAATCGGTTAAAAAGAAAAAGAAATTGTAATCCAGAAACTGCCTCAGCTTCGAATGCGAGGCAAAACTTTAGTGTAGCAGTGACGATTTCAATTTCTAGATCCAGCAACGAAACAAAATCGAAAAACAATCAGTATCATCCTTCCTTTACGGTGAATCCAAACCTCATCGCAATTCCAAAACAAAGAAAATGATTAATTAATTAAACCACCACACATCAGATTAACAAAAATACACAGAACGAAATTAAAGAACAGCAGTTACTCAAACTCCGGACCTCATTCCATTCCAGTCATCTTAAGGAGAAACGAACCTTCTCTTGACGGCAAACAGTTACGCCGAAGGGTTCGCGCGACAGAAATTCTCGATCCGATCTTCTTCTCCCCTCGCGATCCCGACGCAACGAAGACGCAGACCACTCCGCTCGATAACAAAATCCAAACAGGAAAAAAAATTATATATATATGTACGAAAGGATCGAAATGGAACGGAGGAGACCGCAGACCAGAGACGGATTCATTTCATTTTATATATACGTGCGTGGAAGATGATGACGAGGGCAAAACTGTGTGGCGTGATCTCGTCCGTCCGTTGAGGCGTGGGGAAACCATTTCGGCCGTTGGATTATGAGATGGTTTTAGAATAGGGTCTGCGACAATCTTTGCTGTAAACAAAATTAATTATTCCATAGATATATTAGGAAAAAAAATATTAATTCAAGAATTCAAATGCCAAAAACAGATAGGAGTATTAAACTTAGAATTTCCACTTCCAAATTTAAGACATTTTTAAATATTGATAGTAATGTTTTTCAAATCATTTACACAACTAAGTATATTATTTGCAGTTTCTTTGGTATATATAATTTATTGGTAAGAGATTTTACTAAATATTAAGTAAATTTTGATTAATGCATTTCTTAAAAAATGATGTGTATTATGTATGCTTATATTATATCGTATAAGCATATTATATAACATATAATAAATAAAACTATCGATCATTCCTTTTTTGATTTCTCCGCCGAGTTAACTTTTTTAATAAAGTAGAATAATACAAAATAGATGATACTATAGAATTCTCGAATGTTTGACTACTTTCTCACCTAAACGAATATGAAGTCAAACCAAGATATTAAATGTAAGTGTCGAATATAGCTTAAGATTACTCATACCATAAATAAGATTTGTTTAAGATATAAAAAAGAAAAATAATAAATGCATCCCCGAGCTAAAAGGTTAATTATATTATAAGCTTATTTTCATTCGAGGTAAAAGTCGAGTATATTACAAGATTATTTCCATTCAACTAAAAGTCGAATATATTATAAAATTATTTATGCAATAAAGAACAATCATTCAAAGATATACATTTAAAAAAAATAAATGCAATAAATAACAATCATTTAGGATATACATTGTGAGTTTTGGTTACTTGTGTATGAGATTTTATATTTTGTAATTAACTATAAACTTAAAATTAATAACTATTGACTATATCACAAAGAAACTTTATGCTACAAAAAAATAAGAAAATAACAATAATACATAATCCCTAATTACTCAATTTGTAGTACATTATTAATCCTTCTACATTGGAATGAACAAGAAGAAATGTTTTGAAAAATATGTTAACACTAAAAAATCAATCATCGGATTATATACTTACAAAATTAATTATGTTATGGGATGATTTTGAAAGTTCAACAAGTCCACGTCCATATAACGTTTATATATTGTTCAAATATTCAGTCTTCAACATGTCAATATCTGACCCAACATTATATATTTGATTAAATTAATTTCTCAAGACATTCAACAAATTATAATCTCAATTTTTATTTTTATTTTAATATATCATTACTATTCTAATTTAGTCACCATGAAATCCGGAGTTTTAAAATATTACCATATAAAATATTAACATAAATAAATAAAATCTATCAACACCTATACTTTTAATTATTATATATTATAAAAAAATACATGTGTGTGTTAAAAGTGGTTAATTTGACTCTTGGTGGGAAGTCACTTCTCAGGTGCCTGTCTGGACAATGCCAAATCAAACTTTCTGCAAATTTGAAGTGACTGATAGATAAATCCCCATTACGCATTTACCTGTATATATATATATATATATCTATAAATTATACGCGTGTGTCTGATGTGTGTTTATATTTGTAAAGGCTGCAAATCTAAGCCAAATCTGTTGTGAAATTGAGGGAACACAAAGACAGACAGGACATTTCCATGGCGACCATGAATATATATATATATGTATGTATATATGTGCAGCAGAAGAAGAAGAAGGTCGGGACATCCTCTTACCCTCATTAGTCATTACTCTCCAATTATATACAACTAAGAACAGCTAAACACACAGTCACACTGTATACATAAAATGTACATGGAAGCAACACCACTGCACATCATATCAGATCAGATCAGATGCAGTTTTCCCATCACTTAAATTGGGCTCCCATCTCGAAATCAAATGGCTTACTCTCCCAAACCCTAATTTGTCTGTGTTTCATTCGGCCTGTAAACCTACTTACAGTCTTAACTATATGCTCTACCTCTACCGAATATCTTATCTTCTGCTTCGCAGAATTTTTCAGAAAACTCACCCAAAGTAAATTCTTTAACCCCCCAAACCCTATCTTCGTCTTCGTCTTCGTCTTACCCTTCGGCAGACTGGTCTAGGGTTTCTGCTATGTCCCATGTGATATTACAAATCTGCCCTCAGTGTTGGGCTTAAGAATATTATTGGGCTGGGGCAATTTGGATATTGGCCCAATAATAATTTGGGTCGTAAGTTGGCCCAATTTCTAGCAAGGTCAGGTCAGCGGAGCGACGCAGCATTTTAGCCTTTGTGTGACTGTCTGGCTACTCGAGCAAAAGAATGTCGAAGTGGTGGCGCGCCGCCGCCGGCGTTCTCAAGGCAGCGGAGGGGAGAGGCTGCGGGCGGTCATACCACACGATCCAAGCTGTTCCTAGGGAGATAACGGGTAATCACGTCGCAGCACGGGAGCGATCTCAGGGGCGCATCCCGACCGTTGTTTCCTATCAAAGCCACGCCGACGATCGGAGTTCTGTTGCGGATTCCCGATCGGTTTCTCAGAAGCTGCTGCTTACTACAGAGCGGAAGCAGATTAAAGCCATTCTCAAGAATGTTACGCTTCCGTTTTTCTTTTCCACCACTTTCCCTCTTCAGATACGTGCCGGCTCGGGTTCTTCCACAATACTTGATACGAGAAAGGTTCTTCCGGTTAAGGCAAGTCATTATGGCTAATTTTGTTCAATTTGATGTGGCTTCGCCGATTTCTTGTATCGATTTTTGTTACTCTAAAACTTACAATTGAGCCGATTCTTCCTCTCGCTTAGATTGATACTTTGGAATGTGTTCGTAAAATTGATTGCTGAGTCTTAATCTGTTCAAGTATTTCGTGATAGGTGCATAGAAATGAAGAAGGGGATATACTGAATCTGGGATTTGTATGGGCAGAGGATGGAACAGAGCTTGTGGTGGATGTGCCAATTGTTTATAAAGGAGAAGATGTTTGCCCTGGGCTGAAGAAAGGTTAGTCTCATAATGTATGCGTTTCTTGATCGATTTTTTGACCCTCTCATTGTGTTTCTGAAAATGCTTTGAATGTGACAGGCTCATCTGTGAAAATCTTCTACTTTTTTTACATCGATGGTTTGGTAGTCAGCTACTAATGATTTATTTCATGTATAATTTGCTTTATCTTATCTATATAGTCACTGGACTTAACTTCTGGCAAAGGCCTAGGTTTCATGTTTGAACCTCCTCCAATGTTTATGTGCACTTTGACACTTTGTAGGACCTAATGTTTCTTGATAGCCTTTCCGGTGACAGTTGCGTCAAATGCTAGGTTGTTTAAGGGTTAATTTACTTCCTTTAACACCATATGATTCTGAAATATGTTTCATACCTGGATAGTCTTGGATTAATCTTTAGGTAAGCTTATGCTTAAAGTAGGATATTAGAAGATGTTGATTGTCGAACATAGATTAGTCGGCACATACTCAAATGGCATGTTCAAACTAATGCTAAAATTAGGAAACCTCTCTGAAAGAAAGCCAGGCTATGAAACTAAGCTGAACTTTGTTCTTGTTTTTTTAAGCTTTATGTAATATTATTCTATTTATTAAGTTTCTCCCTAAATTGATTTCCTTATTCTATTTACAATTTTTCGAGTGCTGTAGTTTCTGGAGATAATTTCTTTGATTTTATTATCCAATTCTACTTTTATCATCGCATACCTATTCCTGGTAGAATGATGAGAGGCTTATTCGTCAAACAAGCTATAATAATCATATTTAGTTGTTTTCCTACAGCACGAAACAGAGAGAATATAACATATATCTTTCATTAAACTTCATATCATTGTCTGACAAAACAGGAGGATACCTAATCAAGATAAGGACTAGTTTAAAGTACCTGTGTCCGGCTGAGCACATTCCTACGAAAATAGAAGTCGACGTGAGCAATCTAGACGTCTGGGACAGGATATCCATGCACGACGTTGAGGTTCACCCGAGCATGAAGCTCCTGAGCAAGGACGAGACGAGGCCCGTTTGTAGGATTAAGACAGCATATGTAGCAGAGCCTGAAGATGCGCAGCCCACCTGATCCACCACCGCAAGAGTTCTACATTCCCATTTCTGCTCAAGCATTTTTTCCCAGTGAGAAAGAGATCAATTTGAGGTCAGGCGTTTGTACTGTGTGTGTTTCCGCTCATTAGATAATTTTATATTCAGCTAGTCTTTTTAAGCAGAAGGAACGTTCTTGTATCCTTTCTTACATCATAATCACTTTCCATGGCAGATTTTAGTCATCTCCCTGTGTACTAATAAATGTTATTTTTAGTCCCAAATAATTCTATGCCGATTAAAACTCAGCAGTAAAGACGCACAGGCCGGAACAAATAAAGGAATGAACATGAATTCATTAGTAATCATAGAACAAAAACGATTCTTGTGTGTTCATCGGATAACTGAACTAATGCAAATAATTGAATGAACACAGGTATTGTTTATCTAGTTCGGCTAGGGTTCCAACCTAGGCCTATTAAGAATTTCGTGTAATACATGATTCGATCTATCCAAATACAAACCCCACCCCACAGTAAGCTCCATCGATACTGGAGGCGATGTCTGCCGAAGGGAAGGACTTCTTGCAATGGTGCTTCCAAAAATTTTTTAGATGAAATGATGATTTAACATGGTATTAAATATGAGATATTCCATGGATGGTGGTGGGACTGAACACACGGCTCTGATAAATGGTTACCAGTGCAATTGCTTGAAGAGGATGATGACAAGTTTGGTATATATGTTTGAGAAGCTGTGGATTATGATGATGGTGAAGACTACAGTAGCTATTGGCTTGTTTGAAGCTGTGGATATTTGTGTATCGTGCAGTATGGAAATGTATGCACTGCATGATTATGTATACATGAATAATGAAATGGTGATTCTTTCTATTCTTTGAAGTTTGCTGAATTCTGATGAACAAAGCAATGCCATTCGTAGTGTGATGTAACTGATTGAGTCATCGTCAAGAACAATTCATAATTTGAAATCCCTGAGAATTGGTAATCTGCATGGATTCAAGATTGTTAATGGAATTGCCGAAAAACTTTAATTCAAAGAAATTTCCTTCAAATTCAAGGAGCTGCCTGGCAAATCGGCGAGGACTTTGGCAGAGAGATCGTGGATCTCGGTGCTGCCGATCATTTGAAGTACCTAGAAAGCTTCTGTACGAAAAAAGTACTGATTCGAATGAAAATGGATGATTTCCTTCTCTTCTCGTAGTAACCGCTTTTTAATTGCTGTTGTGAACGCCTTCTGTTAATAATAGCTCTATACTTTAATGGCTGCGATTTGGAAAAGCCAGGACGACGATTGGTTCGGCCTCCTCCGGTATCCATCGTTACTTGAATTTTCTCCGCCGTAGTTTCGTTATGCATCCTTCGCTCCGCCGCATTCCTTGCGCCGGAAATGTTGTGATTATACAAATTCTGCAGTCTCCTAAACGACGCATTCCTGTTGTTCTCCGCTGCAAGTTTCTCTTCCGCCGCAACTGAAATTCGCCACTCTGCCAAAGCGTTTTGTTCATTAGCTTCTCTTTTGAGAAATTCGTACTCCTCCTGAGGTATCTGCACCATGATATTGGCTGCCTCGAAGTTATTGATGTAGTTGAGCGCCTGAGCAGCTGAGGTGCGAAAGGCTTCCGATTCCATCTCCACAGCCTCACAGGTGAGCTGCAATGTCTGAAGACTCTGCAACTTACTCCGTAAGATTAATTTCAGCTTCGCTCTTCTTCTACGCTTGTCATCTATTTTAATTCTATGTTGTTCTATCTCTTCCTGTGCTTTATGCAGGGCTTGATTGTTATCATTGATCACCAAGCTGTATTTCTGCTCCTCCTCCTTCGAGGACTTTATGCACATCTCCGTGGTTCCAAGCTGAGCTTGAAGCTCTGATATGGTGGTATTTGCTTTCAATAATCTGGCTTTTGCACTTGCTAATTCTGCCTGCATTTTTTCAAGTTCATCAGTAAGGGGTCGAGAGTCTAGCCACGATTGTGTTGCATCATCTTTAGCTCGTTTGAGATCATCCTTAACCCTCTCCAGTTCTGCAAGTTTGTCTGTAAGTAAGTTGCTTCCATGATCATCTTCTGAGTATTTCCTTTCTATTGAATAGTTTTGAGTGATACCATCATCAAACTCCATTCAATTCAAGGTGCAATGATCACTTCAGCTATTTGCAGAAATTGCTCAATTTGATGTTCTATATATTATCTCACCATCAACTGAAGGTTTGTCTTTAACTGAAACATCTGTGGATAGTGAGAGCTTATCTTTGTGATTTTCCGTCCAGTCTAGCATCTGAATTATTCAACCTTGCTTAGGCTAGTTGTTATAGAAGTATTCTCCATTTCAGACGGCAGATCTTGTTTGTAATTGTGTTGTCTTTGTTTAGCTGTCTAGATGCAAAAGAACATTAGAATCCAAAACATCCAATGGGAGAGAGCTTAGACCAAATTTGAGAAGATGTTGGGAAATGGCTAGGCAAATGATGGAAGTACTTATGCAATTATAAATTTAAAAACACCAGAACTTTAAGATGAGTTGCCTAAAAGTTGGCTAGGGTGGTTGAAGAATCCTATGCTGATTGTTATCTTATAGTAGTAGAGACAACTAAGTAGGATCTGGATGCTGATTAGTATCTGTCTATTTAGATACTGGCTTTTATGTTGAACACCTGGCTTTTTTTATTTTGTTTTTAAAAACTCGTGATGACTTTTTCCAGTTCTTAGGATTCATCAGGGATTCACATTCCATGCTTCCTGTGGGACAACAAAATTATACTATTTTCCTTGAGATTCTAATTGTCATCTCTAACTAAAGAGAAACGATTAATCAGTCTTCCTGTCTTTTATATACTAACCATGACTTGCTGCTACATCCTCTGTAAATTCAGCCTTATTTTTACCCTTACTTCCTCCTTATATATATTTAACAAATACAATCATTGACAACACTTAAAGGTTGTTAAGACAACCACATTACACTCAATGGAATGATGCTAGATTAACAGGAGCAATTACTACAAAAAGTACTGGAATAGATTCTTAACTACTAACAGAGCTTAGAAGAAACATCTGTGTATAACTTGTTGCCTAGAGTTTTTATTCACCACTTAACTACAGCAAACACTTCTTCTAACTTCCTTGTCTGAACTTCCTCTCATTGGATAGCAGTCGGGCAAACCGGGACAGAGCATCTCCATTTGTGCCCTCTCCTTGAACTTGCTCTGGCCTGCCCGTATCCAAGTTCACTCTCATAACCGGCTTCTTAAGCAGTTTATTACCAATCTCTACCAGTGTCTTCATATTGTTGTTGGTTGAAATATCAAGAGATGATGCGTCACCGGCCAAATTATCTTCCTGTTCATCCAAATGGCGAAAATCAAACCATAAAATTCACTAACAAGTATTGATCAAAGAAATGGTGCTGCTAATTGATCCTTGTTCAAGTCTTTACCTGAATACGAAGGTAATTTTGTTCATTTCCCAGAGACTGGAAAGTAGTTGAGACATGGATGTCCACCATGTCTGAGCTAGCATCTCCATATATATCAATCAATGGAGAAGCTCCATTGTTGTATACCCATCTGAGCATTCCCCATTTGGTTGCATCTGCTGCATTATACTTCTCTTCCTGCTTCGATAAACCAGTGCCCAAAGACAGGACAAGCAGTCTGTCTTTGTCCTGTGGTTGCATGTCCATTAATTTAAACTTCCCCAGCAAGATTTCTTTTGAAATCTGCATAATTGCAGCTAGAGTCTGCAGCACCACCATCAAATTTTCAATCTTGGTGTATAAAATGCATTTATGATTATAATTCCACATTTGATTTACTTATTTATTGATCATACTCACTGGATTATTTGCAGCCACCCCTCCATCAACAAGATCAAAGGTTCTTATATTCCCCTCTGCATCTTTTATCTCAAAGTAGTGGGGCGGGAGAAACGTTGGGGCTGCAGAGGTTCCTAGACAGACATCGGACAACAGAGCATTCTTGGTTGCATTTGTCTGTCCCTGTGCCAATCCAAAGAAAATCATTATATTTTTCATTCTCATAATTGTTCCCTCTCCTGTATCACCACAGGTTCTTCCCTTACATCTTTGGTGTTGAAGATTACTGTCTGAAGGCGCCTGATATCATATGCAGGAATCACCACATTTGTCAAGGTCTGGCTCACAGTCAGATTGCCTAGTAGTCTTCTCACCAGGGCTTTCAGGTACTTCCCATCATACTTCGGACCTTTAAACAATTTCACACTACTGTCCACAAACTTGTTTCGTCTGATCACACAAGATTAAACATTCGTGACACAGATTGATGAAAGATACAAAAAGCAATTGCCGGCAATAGATGTTATAAACACTACTTGCCTGCTCTGAGGGAATATTCTGGGGCCATGCTCCATGTAAAAGCTTGTAATGTCTTTTGCAGCATACACAGGTTGGTTATCAGCACCTGGAGCTGTCAACATTGTGGTGATCAGACCTCCACTACTCGTTCCCGCAATCACATCAAAGTAATCAGCAATCCTTGCACTCAAACCATCTATTTCCTGTGGGTATCAATCATGATATATGACAACTAACAAAGATATAAAGCAGATTGCCAAAGTAGACAAGAACCAATCGATCACCTGGAGTTTGGACTCAAGGTGGGCCAAAACTACACCAGGTACGATGCCTCTTATTCCACCTCCATCAATACTTAATACTGTCGCCAGTCTCCCCTTTGTTTGAGCATTACATATTGGGATTAGCAGTAGGAAAATGATAAATGAAACTGAAAGAACGGGATCCTTTTTCTCCATTCTTTCTGCCAAGTCTAATAATCGTTCCAAGCTGAGCCAGTAAGGTGTTTTCAATGGAGATCTTTATAGTATATATGTTGGGTAGAGAAACACTAGGGAAATTAGTCTCTCTTTAGTTAGTTTTGATCACATACAGAATAGAAACTGTATAATTAAGTGCATATTGATAGGCATTCTTGGCATCACCACATTAATTCATTTCATTCTTGATTGGTGTCAAGCTTTTCAAATTGAATTAGTTTGGTTCCCATATACTACTATAGCATTTGGTAGCCTAATATGTAGCAACATTTTCAAGGTTTTAATTTGAAGAGCAACAGAAGTGTGTCAAAACCTAACACAGAGCCCAGATAGAGTTCTTTGACCTTTATTAAATTGGGTCAAACTTGAACCTCATCCAAAAAAATTGGAGCTTGACCCAATTTGAACCCTATTCGCCTATTCTTTTAAAATACTAATCATATTATTTTCTTAGATGTAAATATATAAATAATAAATATAACACACACTCTTTAAAATATTTGTACTTATACACTATGAATATGTTTTGGTGTCTTGAATTATTTGAACTAGAATCATTTTTCACCTTAATTATTATTTGAACCAGTTTTGTCTTGGTATGAGAAAGAAATTTGTATTTTTATCTAGTGAAAATAATTTCTTTTCTGTAGAAAATAATCGGAGTGTATATATTATGGAATTTAAATAGGCGCACATATTCATTTACTTATAATTAGCAAGTTCTGTGGAGTTAACACATCAATTTTTACTTTGATCTAAATTGGACTTAGTGTTTTCTCAAATCCATCATATTAGATGCGAATAGACCCAAATCTATGGACGCTTAACATGAACTCATGAATTTTAAAGTGAAATTTAAGTATTAGAAAAATAAAATAAAAGTTAGATCTGGGTAAAGTTTGTGACCCTAAATACTACTTATATTCATTTGTAAAGGGAAAGATTCAATATTGGTTAATCTTGATGTTATCACACACTATATCATGTTGTTGTTGGTGGATTTGTGTTGTGATTGTGTTTATGTGAGTGGGGTATGATGAAGGGGAGCATGCGTGGCATGTGTGATGGGCCGGCCATTAGTGATGCTGCATGTTGATGTCTGTTAGTGTTACCACCACCATTTATTTCTGTTATTTGATTGATTTGCCATTGACTTTCATTTCTTGCATATACATACATACAAACAATTGGATTCCACAAATCATTGAGTTCCATTGTTCATTCCCCCCCATACTTGTATTTTTTTTATTTGCCCACCCAGTCAACACCACACCCCAATGCACTAGCAAATACTATTATGTATAGTAGTATATTGGAAAGAATCTTCTATCATATCTACAAGTGCTACTGAGGGTGAGCAAATTAAGGAAAATTTTCCATTTGGTTGTTAGGTTCAAATTTTGTATTTATTGTGTGTAGATATATATATATATTGTTGTGATATTTTGTGAGGCAGTAGGACATAAATGTACACGTGACAGTATTATTATTATTAGGAGATAGATGTTGTTTATGACAAGTTTGAAAATTGGAGAGGGGAAAAGAGCAAAGTGAAATTAAAAAGAGAGTGGTGAGTCCACATAACACTTGATGAGGTTTGCCACTTTGCATGTGATAATGGGCACCAAACATGCATACATCTTCATCACTATTTATTTCATTTTTGCCTCTCAAATTAATTGCTTTCCTTGCCCCACTCCCCCCCCCCCCCCTTCAAATAATCCTCTCCATTTTCACTTTTATTATTATTATTATTTAGAAATTAGTATGGGATTGCTTACTTCTTGGCATCAATTTATTATTTTATTTTATTATACGTATTCATTTCAATGAAGCTAGATAGATTTCAACTATATATATATATATATATATATGTGGTGATTGAGGTTTCAATTTTATTATAAATATGATGAGATAACATGTGCACACAATAATATTTAATTGAAGAGACGGTGCATGATTGAGATTTTGTGGTCGAATAGCTGAGATTTTGTGTGCAGAACCATTCATGCATCTACCTTTCCATTCATTTATTCCCCTGATGTCAACATTAACCCTATAATATATATTTACTTATATATACACCTATGTGTATGTATATACATATATATTAAAATACCACACACACACACACAATTCTGATGTCTGTAGATTGATGTTGATTAGTTGCATTAATGAAATATTTTTGCTGGGAGATGCCAAATAAATATATAAGAGAGAAATGACACTAAAAAAAAAAAAAAAAAAAAAAAAAAAAGTATATTTGTAACGGAATTCCGTCACTAAAGATCACGTAGCTAACGTAATTTCATCATTAATTCCGTCTCTAATATCATTAGTAACGAAAAAAGTGAACTTAAAGACGAAAAAATCTCGTTACAAAAATGATATTTTCTCATAGGGTGAGAAATGGACAATGGTTAGAACATTGCTTATAGTTATTAGCTACAGAATATATTATGTTCTATTTTATACTGTGTTAGTGTTAATTGTATTTATATATTATTGTATTTTGTATTATATTAATATATGCATTATATTGTCTTATGTATAATCATCAGCAGAGAAATAGAATTTGTTTTTTTTTGGATGTTCTTATTATATATTTTTTTATTGTTGTTGTTGAGGGCAGTACAATTACATGATGGACACCCGCATCCTACCTAGGTTGTATCTGTAAGAATTCAATGAGGTTATAATTAATACAGTTATTTAGGTTTGGTTTGAGGTATTATTACAACAGTAATCAACTAACTTGTACCATTACAAACGTCTCATCATTAATAGTTACGACAGAACCATTCAATGTTACTGATAATGTTTTTTTTTAAATGATTAATTAATTGATTTTGCATACTTACCAAAAGTGAATATATATAAAAGCCGAACAATCTGCTCAAATTTAGTTGTGTAAACATAATTATTTTAATGACTCTCTCTCTCTCTCTCTCTCTCTCTCTATATATATATATATATAGTATACATGTATGTGTATGTATGTATGTTTGTACGTATGTATGTCAGTATGTATATGCTATTATTGCACACAATTAATTTCAAATAAAAGTGCATTTATAAGTGGTATAGTGGAATTGATATACAACAATACTTGCTACTCTGTTATCCAAATATCTGCCATTCTTGTCTCTGTCCAAATATATCAGACAAAATATGAATACATTTTGATTAGAATTATTTATTTATCATATCTTGTTCTTGTCTTGCCCACTTTCCACTCTTAACAAATAAAGAATTATGTAATCAAAGTATTATTAATCAATTGCTCAGAAAATGAAACCTCACCTCATAAAGGTCCAATCTTTAGAATTTTTGACCTCACCACTGTTGTCTTGTTTCTACCCTTTTTCTTTCTTTTTTCTTGCATCAAGAAATTCCATTGGTTTACTCCCAAATTTGCTCCATTTTCAGTTCTTCAATTATTACTCAAGTAATTAGCAAAAATTCAAATAAATCAGGATCTTTATATACTTTGTACTCCATATATATATATACACACATACATATCTAGGAAGTCCAGGACCCCTCCACCCCAATCATGCTACACCGGATTTGTAACCCCATCAGGAGCCCGAGGCCACGGACTTTGCATGAAAGTTTTTGAAAGTGATGAGATTGTCATTTGTCAACGATACAAAATCTTTTGTAATAAAAATAAGTTAGTAGATTATAAGCAATCAAATCAATGCCACGTGGACGTCAACTGTACAGGCTGGACCAACCCTCACCTGCACCATCATCATCTTCTCCTTCTTCTTCCTCTTCTTTAAACTACTTCTCACAACCTTTTTCTTTCTCTCACATAAAGAATCCATTTTTCCCTTTTCTTTTCTTTTCTTTTTTTATTTTATGTTTTTTTTATTTCACCCCATAACATTATTTATTTAATTATTAAATTCAATTTTTCTCTCCTCCCCCTCTTTTTAGGCTTCTTGACCAAAGCAGGCAGGCAGCAGCATCCATGGGTCTGCTGCTGCGCTTTATCGTCTTCTTCCCAGATCCCTTCGCTTTAATAAAAAGTTTAAACTATCCTCCCCCCATTGGAGAATGTATTTAAAACTCTCGCCTTCGGATTAATTTTTTTTTCTTTTTTCTTTTTAAATAAATAAAAAGAAAAAAATCAGTTCTTGCAGTGTAGTGGGAAGAAGCTTCCAGAAGGGATTCTTGTTTCTGGTCGGAGAGCAAAATGGGAATCTGTACTTCCAAGCCCAAAGCCTCGCCGGAACCTAATTCAGATTTGTACGGCGCCGCCCCTATTCCGGCGGAGAATGCGAATGATTCGAGCAACCTCGACAATCCCGACGCCGGTAAGAAGTCGCCGTTTCTGCCCTTCTTCTACAGCCCTAGCCCCGCCCATTATCTCTTCTCCAAGAAGTCTCCGGCGCCGGGGACGGCGGGGACGCCGAGGAGGTTCTTCAAGCGGCCATTCCCGCCGCCGTCTCCGGCGAAGCACATCAAGGCGGTGCTCGCACGGCGGCACGGCTCGGTGAAGCCGAACGGCGCCGCGATTCCGGAGGGCAAGGAGGTCGGCGAAGGCGCCGGTCTGGACAAGAGCTTCGGATTCTCGAAGAAGTTCTTCGACAAGTACGAGGTCGGCGAGGAGGTCGGGAGAGGACATTTTGGATACACCTGTCGGGCAAAGTTCAAAAAGGGGGAACTCAAAGGGCAGCCCGTTGCCGTTAAGGTCATTCCCAAATCGAAGGTAATCACTGTTCTTCCATCTCCGATGACCCGTAACCTAATTTTGCTGGAGATCTGATTGATCCGTTTGATGTCTGCAAATTTTGTTTGGGATTTGAATCGAATCAAAACGCCTGAAAGAATATCCTAGTTTCATCACTGCCTTGAAATTTAAATTTGATGATTTCAACTTATAAGCTGCTCTATTTGAGGAGATTAATGTCACAGAATGTAATTTTTCCGGCGATGATCGCCCGAGAATATGTCGAAAGATGGCTTCGCCGAGCTACATTTATGTATCGATCTAATCCCAACATTAGAATCTGCCTCGATCATCGATTGTTTGTATTATCTAACGTTAGTTGTTCGCCATGCCAACATGAATATATTTCAACTTGAATGTGGTAACGAATTGTTCGTCTAATCGTGCATTCCTCTGTCCAGATGACGACTGCAATTGCTATCGAGGATGTAAGGAAAGAGGTTAAGATATTGAGAGCTTTGACGGGGCACAGCAATCTAATACAATTTTACGACGCTTTTGAAGACCACGAAAATGTCTACATAGTGATGGAGTAAGCTCAAGTTAAAGTCTCCGTCATGTTTAATCTACTTCGAAACGGCTACTTACACGTTGTCGTCTTATGTTTCAGGTTGTGCGAAGGTGGCGAGCTTCTGGATAGGATACTTTCGAGGTATATCCATTCAGACTGTTTAGGAAACAAAAGCATTATGTCGAATAGGCCAAATTTATCGTAGGCGACAATAAATTCAGTTATATCTTATTACAGGGGTGGCAAGTATACCGAGGAAGATGCAAAGGCTGTAATGATACAAATATTAAATGTTGTCGCGTTCTGTCATCTCCAAGGGGTAGTGCACCGGGATCTTAAACCCGAGGTGCGTATACGTCGAGGTTCATAAAACTTTACATATCCATCGAGATACTTGCGAAACGAACTTCCTTTCCGGGCTTTTTCCGATCTTTCCTAATGTTGGCTATTTGTCTTGCTATTACATTTTTGCGTAATTTCTTGTTGAGGATTGACACGAATCATTTGTACCAGAATTTCTTGTTTACGTCTAAGGAAGAAACGTCGCTATTGAAGGCTATAGATTTCGGTTTATCGGATTTTGTGAGGCCAGGTATATTCTTTTCTAATAATTTCGTGATAATAGAGACTGTCCCGTAACGTCCCCACGAAGTGATACATACACTATTCGTATTATCCATTGCAGACGAGAAGCTCAACGATATTGTCGGGAGTGCATATTATGTGGCGCCGGAAGTTTTGCATCGAGCGTACAGCACTGAGGCCGATGTTTGGAGCATTGGCGTAATAGCGTACATCTTGCTGTGTGGGAGCCGTCCTTTTTGGGCTCGAACTGAGTCGGGAATCTTTCGTGCAGTTGTTAAAGCTGAACCGAATTATTGCGAAGAGCCTTGGCCGAATCTGTCATCGGAGGCAAAAGACTTCGTCAAGCGTCTGCTGAATAAGGATCCGAGGAAAAGAATGACGGCAGCTCAAGCGATTTGTGAGTACCTTTCTGTTAGCGACTAAAATGAACCGACCTTTGATTACGGGTAACGATTCTTTTTTCCTGTCTCAGGTCATCCGTGGATCAAACATACCGTCAACATAAAAGTGCCGTTGGATATACTGATATTTAAGCTTCTGAAAGCTTACATGCGCTCTTCGCCTCTCCGGAAAGCTGCCTTGCGGGTGTGTAACAAAACATTGCTTACTTTCTGTTTTCGGGATTCTTTTTGTTTAATCTTTTCGTATCGAATCCTCGTAGGCTTTGTCGAGAACCCTGACTGCGGACGAGCTTTTCTATTTGAAGGAGCAGTTCACGCTGTTGGAGCCGAACAAAAACAGCACGATTAATCTAGACAACATCAAATCGGTTGGTAGCATTTCGTTGCGACTTTAGTAATTTTGATCGGAAACTCGGTAACACCTGCTGGTTATTGATCAGGCCTTGAAGAAGAACGCAACGGATGCCATGAACGAGTCGCGAACATACGATTTTCTTGCCTCGGTATGTTTTAATCGCCCGACTGCCCATGTTTGTAACTAACTACGATCGCATGCTAGGCCTTAATAATGTTCTTTTCCCGTCGAGGCAGCTCAATGCGCTTCAATACAGAAGAATGGACTTCGAAGAGTTCTGCGCGGCTGCAGTCAGCGTGTATCAGTTGGAAGCGCTCGATAGATGGGAGCAACATGCGCGATGTGCGTACGAACTCTTCGACAAGGATGGCAACCGGACTATAATGATTGAGGAATTAGCTTCGGTAAATTATAAATCTACCAAGAAAGTTCTTTTTAGATTTTTAAACCATGATACAGAAAGCCTTTCTCCTCACACTGAATTCATGTTTCAGGAACTGGGTCTCGGCCCGTCTGTCCCCGTCCACGCCGTTCTCCATGACTGGATTCGACACACTGACGGGAAGCTCAGTTTCCTGGGCTTCGTGAAGTTGCTACACGGCGTCTCCACCAGGTCGCTCGCCAAAATGCATTAGCGCTCACTCGGGGCTTCCATACGAACGGCGACTAGCATCATATATACCAGTAAAAGGCTGATTGGAGGCAATGTGAATTACTCCCGACACCATACGGGTTTGTAGCGATGAAGCCGGTTTTCGAGCAACAGTGTTGTGTTGGTTTTGAAGAAATAGAGAGTTTTAATGCTTGGTAAAAATTCTTATGCACAACTGTGGAATCTTCGATTGGGTTGTGTGTGTGTTTTGATTGCATTTTCATTCAGCTGGTTACTGAGGGAACATCATGTATGTCTTATTACAACCTTCTAACATAACATAACATTACATATATAGTTATACAACCAGAAAAGACTTGAAGCCAAACTATGTGATAAAACCACAACACACATCCTAATTAAAAAACGACAATGCAAATGCAGTGTAGTGTAGTGCAGTGCAGTGAACAACAAAAGAAACCTACCCAAACAAAAAAAAAATAAAGAAAAAGTGCAAATATTACGTCTACAGACAGGATAGGAAGGAGGAACAATGAAATATAATTGAAAACATGTGCTATGACGATTTGATGATTGCTTGCTACTGTAAACTTATTGTCCCAAGTCCAGAATTTCCACTGAAGCATCAATGACCGGGACCTACACAAAGAAAATTGTTGCCAATTGAAAATAAGAATAATAATAAATAAATAGGATACATTTTCTGCTCTCTCTTCCTACCCATTAATGAATTTCACCGTACGTATGCTCATCATATGGACTGTCCCGGCATGACCAGGACAAGAAAAAAACACAGGTAACTCGACAGTGCATTGTGACTGTGGGATTCAATTGACTTGGAACAATATGGTCCATTCCATTTTTGCACTTTCAAAGAAACACTAATGTTTTAGACAGTGGTCCATATTCATTTCATATGGCTTCTAGTGTCGAAACATTTGTGCACCTAATTGAAACACCAATGCCTGTTATACCCCACCAACCATTTCCTCAATTTTAACCCCTTTTTAGACCCTACAAATAACCAATCTTACACTAGGGAATAAAGTAAAGATGGGATAAATAAGGATTGAATTAATATAATCACTAATCAGCATATCAAAGTAATGAATGAGCTTTGGCTGGATTGAATTAAGGATAAGGATAACTACTTACAGGTTGTTGGGATTGCTGGCCTTAGCATGTTTCACTAGAGGCAGTAGCCGCCGGGGCGAAGATCGAGCTCTTGAGTCCAGGTGGTTCTATCTTGAATGTGCAATTGCCAGTAGGTTTGAGCCAATGCATCGGGGTCCATTAAGCCATCCCAACCTCTTGCATGATGCGGATCCCCGACAGACGAAGACGAAGAAGATGATCTTTGACTTGCATTTGAGACAACTGCACACCTGCATGCCAATTTTGCACATCTTCAAGCAATAAAACTGCCCTTTCAAGATCACTCATGTCTTTTGAATTTTACTAATCAAGAAATCAATTCTATTTCTAACTGTTGAGTAAACATTGGGTTGTTACCTTAATGGAAGAACTTCCAGGGCACATTATCCAGAAAGAAAATCAAAACTAGTTGTGAATATCTTAACTACACATTAATTCTCAAAGTCTAAGAATAGTTGTGAATGTCATTGCGACACATCTTCAAAGTAGGAATAATATGTATTTCTGGCTATCTCAAGAACTATGAGTAAAGTAAGGAGATTCTAGGTATCTCATGCAGCAAGAATCTTTAAAGTGCAATTCAGAAAGATTAACAGCTCATATGTATTAGGTTATTTGATTGAGAAACATCACGGAAATTCCAGGAAGAGGACAAACCTAGGTGGACTAATGATGCCGTCGATGATGACATGAGCCACGTGTATTCCGAGCGGCTGGAATTCTCGAGCTAGACATTGGGATAAGCCTCTCATCGCAAACTTGCCACAACCTGTATTTTTTTTTTTTTTTTTTTCAGAAAGAAGAAGAACAGTTATCAATTATCATGGTGCTAATCGAAATTTGAAGTATGATAATTGCAAGTGGTTAAGTGGTTGATTGCGTACATAAATCTGAGAGGCCTGCAATGCCGTTGAGCGAAGCGGAACAACCTGTGAAGAGAATCGTCCCTCTCCCTCTATCCACCATCCCGGGCAGGACCTGATGGTTTCACCATGAACATTAGAAAATGTAGAAATTCCTACTGAAATTTGCGGAGAATGAAATTGTGGACGACTTGTGCAAACCTGTTGGGCGCAGTGGAAGGCGCCGACGGAGGAAACGGCGACGGACTTCTGGAAACGGTCGAGGCGGATGTCAGTGAAGCAAGTAGGGGTCCATGATACTGGATGGTAGGCGTTGTAGATCAAAACTTCCACGAACCCCAACGACAGAACACCTTCAAACGCCTCCTTGATGCTCCGAGTCTCCGAGCAGTCGATTCGGATCGCAAATACTTGTGCCTTTTCTTCTCTCGCAATTTCATCTGCGAACCTGGATAGTCTGCCTGATCCAGCAAATTCAGATTCCAGACCCAAAAAAATCAGTCCATGTATGTATGTGTGTGTGTGTGCGCGCGTGTTTGTGTTTCTATGAAATAAGTGAATCAACGAGTCAATTGAAAATTATTTGAAATCGATTGAGGAGAAAGGTAAATGTGATAGTGAAGAATCTAACCTAGGTCTCGGGCAAGGATAGCAACGGTGTAGCCTTCGTGAGCGAATTTTCGGGCGATTGAACGGCCAAGCTTGGCACCAACGCCAACAATGGCAACTATGCCTCTCGGTGGGACTGATGTCGCCATGCTGCGCATCATATATCCACTGGCAGGCAGGAAAAGCAACGGAATCCAGAATGTTCCCAACAGAAGAGCAAGTTAAAAACAAATAAAGCAAAAATTAAACCTCCTCTGCTATAACCTAAAGGAGAAATTCGATTCGCAGATTTGAGGGGAAGAAGATGCACACTAGAATCAAGTAAAAGCTACAAAATTCTTCCCATACATATGGCACCAACATGCAACGTCCGTGAGGAGGTTCTCTGTCACCGATACGGCACTGTAGTGATGATTGATGAATCGAACTTTATCCTATTGCAGAAAGCTTACCGAAGAAATTATAAAATTGCGTGAATTTGTCCTTGTGCGCGTGTTCCTTCGAGCTCCACAGTATCAACATCAATTGTGACAGCAGTCGACTCGACGCTTTATATATATTCCGTCATCTCTTCTGGCCTATAAATTAATAATGGCGATTAGATGCTACACCTGATGATTGCCGGCGTGTTTATAGGCCAGTGGTGGCCGAAGGCGGCGACCACGTCCGCGGTGGCGGTGGCTCCGTCCAAAAGTTTCAATCAATTTTAATTAAAGGTAGAATAACACTAATTCATATTTCATGAAATTAGATTACCCAATTTATCTCATCTAATACACTAATATCCATTAAAAATATACTTTATTTTGTTAATACAAGATTTATACGAATAAATAAAGTACACAATTACTTGCACAAATCAAATTAAAAGAAAAAATAATAATAAGAGAAAAAAATAAGATTTTTACGTAAAAATTTTACATGCAGACAGTTAATACAGTTAAAAATAGTAAATGAATATATATAGTATAAATAATTTGAACATATTGAAATTTATAACAAATCAATATTATATTTTATATAATTGAAAATAAAAAAATTGTTTTTTACATCTATCTATTCACAGTTAAAATAGTATATATAAATATAATTATAGAAATAAAAAAATGATGAATAAATGAAAATTTAAAATAAATTTACTATTATATTTCATATAGTTACTATGAAGAAGATTTTTACGTATGTATATACATAAAATAGTTAATACAGTTAAAAATAGTATATAAATATGTATATAATATAAATGATTTGAACATGTTGAAATTCATAACAAATCAATATTACATTTTTTATATAGTTAAAAATAAAAAGATTATTGTGTGCATGTCTGTTATAATTAATACAGTTAAAAATAATATATAGATATAAATATAATTATAAATGTGAGAAAAATGATAGAATAAATGAAGGTTTAAAATGAATTCACTATTACATTTCATATGATTAATAAGAGAAAACTGTATATACGCATGCATGTATAAAACAGTTAATATAAAGATGGTATATAAATAAATATAATTATAAGTATATGAGAATAAATTGAAATTTATAATAAATTTAATACTATCTATGTCCGGCTCTAAGAGTTTCATTTACTTTTTGCGTGTTGATATTTAAATATTTATTATTATATCGAAACGTAGTACAAATTAAGAAAAAATTGCAAAAAATACTTTCATTAGTATTTTATAATACTGATAGAAGGACATTTGTAAAAAATATATATATAAATATAAGAATATTTTTAATATTAAGTACAATGACGCAAAAGATAAATGTGACCCTTAGAGATGGATGGATGAAGTATTACATTCATATGATTAATAAAAGAAAGATTTTTCTAGTATTTGTAATATAATTTTATATGAATAAAATAATATCCACTAAAAATATAATTTACTCCGATAATAAAAAATTTATATGAATAAATGAAGTACACAATTATTTGTACAAATCAAATTAGAAGCAAAATTGATAATAAGGAAAATGAATAAGGAAATTTGTATAAAGACAATTAATACATGTAAAAATAGTATATGAATATATATAATATAAATAATTTAAACATATTGAAATTTATAACAAATCAATATTACATTTTATATAGATAAAAATATAAAAATTGTTGTGTATATGTCTGTTACAGTTAATACAATTAAAAATAGTATAGATATAATATAATTATAAATATGAGAGAAAATAATGAATAAATAGAATTTTAGAATAAGTTCACTATTACATTTCACATGGTTAATAAGAAAAAAAAAATTGTGTACATGCATGTATGAAAAAAATTAATTTAAAAATAATATATAGACATAAATATAATTATAGTATATGAGAATAGATGAATAAATTGAAATTATAATAAATTTAATATTACATTCATATGATTAATGAAAGAAATTTTTTTCTACATATATTTGTAATATAATTTATATGAATAAATAATATCTACTAAAAATATAATTTATTTCGTTAATACAAATTTATATTAATAATAAAGTACACAATTTCTTGCACAAAACAAATTAGAAGAAAAAATTATAATAAAGAGAAAGAATAAGATTTTTAATGTAAATTTGTATAGACACAGTTAATACAGTTAAAAATAGTATATAAATATATATAATATAAATAATTTGAAATGTTGAAATTTATAATAAATCAATATTACATTTTATATAGTTAAGAATAAAAATGTTGTTTTATATATATACATATTACAGTTAATACAGTTAAAAATAGTATAGAGATATAAATATAATTACAAATATGAGAAAAAATGATCACTACAAAAAAAATAGTATATTTGTAACGGAATTCCGTCACTAAAGATCACGTAGCTAACGTAATTTCATCATTAATTTCGTCTCTAATATCATTAGTAACGGAAAAAGTGAATTTAAAGACGAAAAAATCTTGTTATAAAAATGATATTTTCTTGTAGTTGATAGAATAAATGAAAGTTTAGAATGAATTCACTATTACATTTCATGTGATTAATAAAAAAAAAAAAAAAAGTTATGTATACATACATACATGCATAAAACAGTTAATTTAAAAATAGTATATAGATATAAATATGATTATAGTATATGAGAATAAATGAATAAATTGAAAACTATAATAAATTTAATATTACATTCATATGATTAATAAGAGAAATATATGTATTTATAAGTAATGATCGAGTCAAAAATAACGTAAAGATATAATTATAATTACAAAAAATTTGAATAAATTAAAAACTATATAAATTAATAACTATTACATTTCATCCCAATGATGATGATGATTATGATGTAGATGTATAAATACAATCATAAGAATATAAATAAAAGAAACTATATAAAAGTAAAAAAAAAAAAAAAAAAAAAAAAAAACAAGATAAAGCAAAACAAAATTAATATAGAATGAAGGGAAAATACAATCAAAATTACAAAATATTGTATCAAAATATTAGTTAAATAAAAATTCAAATTAAAGATCTCATTTTAAATTAATTTTAAATCATAATCGAATGACCATATGACTGGAATATTATAATATTCAAATTTTGAAAAAATATAACAAAAAATTAATATATTTAAAAATATCTATTGTTATAACTACAACAAATAAAAATGTTTAATATAATTGCATATGCAACAAAAATGGAGAAGATTTTTTCTTACATTTATGTAGGTAAACAATTAATACAATTAAAAATAGTATATATATAATTATAAAATCTAAATAATTAGAATAAATTGAAGATTATTATAAATTCAAATTTACATTCCATATAACTAAAAAAATAAAAAATAAATTCAATAAAAAAATTAAAGAAAAATATATAAAAAAAAAAAAAAACATCTTCTGCATGCATCTGCATGAGGCAGGTTATTCAAATACAGTTAAAGATAGTATACATATATAATTGTTATTGTAGAAATTAATGACGACCCAACGGATCTAGACCTGTCGAAATCGACACTGATTGAATTCACAATTTTCTTGAGAAAATTTTGATTTGATCTTGAAATGAAAATAGACATGCAACAACAGTTAATACAGTTAATAAGATTCCCAACTTTCTTAATAAGATTTTTTTTTTATGTATCTGCATACAACAACAGTTAATACAGTTAAAAATAACATAGTATATTAATTAATTGAGATTTTTATAGTTAATACTAAGCGTACTAAACTTTTTCTGAATTAAAATATACTTATAGTTAATATTTTTACATATGTTATAGTAATACAATTATATAATATTCAAATATTGAATAAATTAGAACACGAGACAAATTTAATATTACAATTAATATAATTATAAAATATGAAAAATAAATAAATTGGGAAAATGCAATTAGAAACACCTGTTTTTCTTTTACTTTTTTTTAATTTTTTTTAAAAAAAAGTTAAAATACAACTATAAATTTTTTAATACATTAAAAAACAGCTAAATGTTATATAATAATAATAATAATAATATAATATTAATAAAAGTGTATATGTATATATCTCTACGTTTGTGTACGTTTGTGTATGTCTGTATGTATATAAGTAATTATTACACTTATATTAGTATGCAATTAATATATATATAGATTAGTACGTAATAAATGCCCAGAGAGAAAGATGCAATGAATGGAAAGGGAGGGAGAAAATGATTTTTTTGTGTGTCCATTTTATAACCAAAGACATACATATATATATATAGGTAAGTGAGGCGATAGAATACATGATTATAAAACATCCACATTCCGTCGACGTAGTTGTTGTGTGGTGTATAACACTCCCCCTTGGATGTTTTACACAAAGAATGTGCCTCGTTAAAACTTTATTATGAAAAAACCCTGTGGAAAAATATCATAGTGAAGGAAAAATAGTACATCATTCTTGTATTAATGCGCTCCCCCTATTTTGGATTTTATTTAATGTCTTTCATCCGACACATTCCAATTCTTTGCACCAGTTTGTTGAATGTTGCAGTCGGTAGCGCCTTCGTAAATAAATCTGCAAAATTTTCAGACGATCGAATTTGTTGCACATCAATTTCACCATTCTTCTGGAGATTATGAGTGAAGAAGAATTTCGGAGATATGTGCTTTGTCCGATCGCCTTTAATATATCATCCGTTTAATTGAGCTATACAAGCTGCATTATCTTCATATAATATTGTAGGATGTAATTTATCATCGGTAATCAAGCCACAATTTTTCTGAATTTGGTGAGTCATGGACCTCAACCAAACGCATTCACGACTGGCTTCGTGAATTGCTAAAACCTCAGCATGGTTTGAGGAAGTAGCTGTTATCGTCTGTTTAGCAGATCTCCAAGAGATTGCAGTTCCGCCACAAGTAAATAAGTAGCCAGTTTGAGATTTTGCTTTGTGCGGATCAAACAAATAACCAGCATCAGCATAACCAGTTAATTCATTTCGAGATTTACTCGAATAAAATAAACCGAGGTCATGAGTCCCCTGAAGATAACGAAAAAAGTGTTTGATACCATTCCAATTGCGCTTTATAGGGGATGCGCTAAACCTGGCCAGTAGATTTACTGAAAAAGATATATCTGGCCTGGTACAATTTGCAAGGTACATTAATGCGTCAATAGCGCTGAGATATGGTACCTCGGGGCCAAGTATTTCTTTATTTTCTTCTCTTGGCCTAAATGGATCTTTAATGGGATCAAGGGATCTGACCACCATTG